CTCTTTTCTTTTTCTTTTCCCTGCTTTTCCCAGCTTTTCCTTTCTTTTCCCTCCTTTTCATTGTTTTTCTCTACTTTCCCTTTTCAAAAAAGATGGGAAATGGGGGAAAATTATGTGAATCGCTTTTCGAATCGACGTCATTTACCCCCCTCTCTCTCCCTGCTTTTCGCAAAATCCTCTTTGTTTTTTTTCTGAATTCCCCCCAAAATCTATGGCCTTCTTTTCATCGATGAATGCTCGACGAGGAAATAATAAAACGGATTAGTGAAGAAATTACCCCAATTTCCTTTCAATCAACACAGAAACGGTCATATTTTTTTCAAGTCAGCTTCGAGCTTGAGTGTCTCTGGTTTAGTTTTGGGAGAATCCAGGATTTGTCGAGAAAATACAACCGAATTTGGGGCGGGGTTTTGGGAAAGGAATAGTGGTATAGTGCGGGGAAAAAAGGAAATATTTAGCTGTAAATTTGTGCCCAGGGTTTTCCTAGTCGTAGAATCTATTGGCGGAGTTTATGTTAGCCGTTTGTCCCAACAAAATCGAATTAACTTTGTGTTTTTTCGAGAACTTTCACGATGAAGACCCGGATTTTTTCAAAAGACCCCGATTTTTTAAAAAGACCCCGGGTTCTTCAAAAGACCCCGATTTTTTAAAAAGACCCCGGGTTCTTCAAAAGACCCCGATTTTTTCAAAAAAAAACCCGATTTTTTCAAAAAACCCTGATTTTTTCAAAAGACCCCGATTTTTTAAAAAGACCCCGATTTTTTAAAAAGACCCCGATTTTTTAAAAAGACCCCGATTTTTTAAAAAGACCCCGATTTTTTTAAAAAGACCCTGATTTCTGAGAACAAATATTTTTAAGCATAAACTATTTTTAAGCATAAATCTATTCATCCAATTCCATTCTACATTCTATTTTCCTCATTTATTTCACATCAATTCAAAAATGGGCACCAGAAAAAAAAAAGAAATGTGAAAACACTCAAAGGGAGACAAAAATTTGGAGAAAAGGGGAATTCGAGAAGCGATTTGTCCCCCTTCCCCATTCCCCCAAAAAAATAAAAAGAAAAAACGCGACACGAAACAAACTAACCCTATATAGACTGAAGCCAACCAGGGAAACGAGATTTTTTTTTCTCAATAAAATCCATTTTTCTTGAAGAGATCTTTTTGAAATATCATATTATTAGGTAAATAACAAAATTAAACCCAAATCATAAAGTTTGGTCCACTTAGAAGAAAGTTATGGCGAGTTGCGCAAACGACCCAGCTGCGCAAATGACCCAGTTGCGCAAAAAGAATTGCGGAAACTAGCCTACCCCAAATAGAACCTACACTGCCCCTAGAGCACTCTGGAGTAGAGTGTGTTTCTCTCAAATAAGACTTCTTAAATATAAATATTAGTAAAAAAAGTACCGTAGTTTTTTGCATAACAATAAAAATGGCAAAAAAAAACTTGAGAAGCGCGGCAAGGCTGCTACGAAAGCTAGTCAGTCGTTTGGCTGACAAGGGAAGGATGATTGGATTGAGGATTGAGTCCCGTCGCCTTTTCCAATGAAATAAAGGGTGCAATAATTGTCGCAACAAGATAAAGTTCTGATTTTAACCCAGACAAGAGCAAAAAAGACAAATTTTTAACTGAATAAGATTTATTGTACATTGACCGGGTCCATTAACGATTATAAATGAATTCCAATCGGCCATTAGCATTTGAACAGGCTTGCTGGCGCTTCGGGAAGGCCTGGCGACCAAATAGGCTTCATCGAGCTCTTCCCACGCTTGAACAGTGAATTCAACAGTGAATCCAAATGCTTTTTCCAAAATGTTTACGAGCCCAGGGCAAGAGTTCATCCTTGAGAAGAGCCAGGCAGTTATCCGGAATTGATTTTCACGCCTTGGGGAACAAATATGAGGAGTCTTTTCTGTGATGCCGCCGAAAACGATCACAGAAGCTGGATGTGCACGAGAAACCGTAGCATAGGTCGAGAGGCTGAGATTTGGCCCATACTCGATCATTTTGCTTGTTAAGGCCTTCAACGGTAAATATCTTTTCATCTGTGAACAATATTGTTCTTGTTGTGAACGACGACAAGATTTTGTGATGGTCGATTCCATTGAAGCGCATCAATAACTGATCTGCTCTCAATTTTCGTATTTAGCTTGTTTCGCTTGTTTTAAGCGCCATGGAAAGTTGAGGCTTTTTTCTTGTAAGCAGTAAGTTTGAGCTTATTTTTGAGGATCCAACGCAATGAGGTGCTTGAAATCGCCATCTTCTTGGCCATTTGCCGACTGGTTTGGCTTCTTCCGAATTCGGTCCCTCACTCCCTTGGTGTTTGTCTTTGTGACAACAGTTGGGCGTCTACCGCTTCTTGGTGCCTCAGCAATTGTTCCCGTAGCTCTTCATACCTCAGTAATTGTTCCCGTAGCTCTTCGGGCCACAGCAATTGTTCCCGTAGCTCTTGATGCCTCAGCAATTGTTCCCGTAGCTCTTCATACCTCAGCAATTGTTCCGTAGCTTCGTAGCTTTGAATAGAGCGGAAAATGACACTTCTGCCGATTTTAAGACGCTTATAGAATCTCCGGCGCCAATCTCGTTTGTCTTGTGCAATTCGATGATCGATTGTCGATGGGGATTTTCCAGCCATTCTAAAAACAGCAAATTTTATATGCAAAAAGTTTTAATCATATTCCAAATATAATAAAAACACAAAAAAGCCAGAAACGTAGCTTAAATCAATGAGCTATTGTCCTTCAACGCGCCAGTTGTCGTTGAACCGTTTGTGTTGCGACCATTATGGCGCACCCTGTCTAGACGATTCGACGCAGAATTTTACGCTGATTTCAATGATGCAAAAATTAGCTGTCGAATGGCATGTAATCACCACCAAACTGGCATAACAGCTTTGAGCTTTGAGTCTCTTCATTTAAGCCGATATTTTCTTTCAACACAAACCGTTCATCGGTGGCCGAGTGGCTGAGGGTTAACTCGACCCGCCTCATTTGTTTTTTTGTGCTTTTTTAACTCATAATTGTGTTCTATTTTAAATATTAGCACAAAATCAACTCTCCTTTTACTAGAAAAATCAAGAAATTATAACATTTTCCCATAAAGAACACCCATCGAAGAAAGAGGCGATTTTCTAAAGACGAAAAAGAGGATAGGCAAAAAAAAAAAGCGCAGAGACGAAAGGAAAGCCAGTCAGCAAAATAGGCTGTGAAATGGAGTAGAATGGGGGAGTTGGGAAAAGAGGAAAGGATCCCTTTACCCTGGAAGAGACCCGGGGGTAATCTACCCCTCGCAGCCCCACCCAGTCCCCTCCATAGAGTCCAGGCCCTTCTATAGACCCTTCCTAGGCCCGGACGTCCCCTGGACCCTGGAATACATATGGTTTCCATATTTATTTTATATATTTTTCCATTTCCCCATTTCCGACCCATCTTTCTGAATGGATTTTATGATTTTAGCGTTTTGAGTAAATCTTTTGGTTCCTTATCTCTACAATCTTGGTTCCAATCGAAATTTGGTTCCTTATCTATTTAAATTTGGCTCCTTATCTCTCTAAATTTGGTTCCTTATCTATCTAAATTTGGCTCCTTATCAATCTAAATTTAGTTCCTTATCAATCTAAATTTAGTTCCTTATCAATCTAAATTTAGTTCCTTATCTATCTAAATTTGGATCCTTATCTATCTAAATCTTTTTTTAAAGACACGATTGAAATTTTATCTCAATATAAAGCCTTTATCGCCTTCATTTCTACATTTTTAAACTTTAAAAAGCAAACTTTTGAGGGACAATCGCTTTTATGAAAACTTTCCGAACTGTTTTCAATTTGAAATTTGCATATCTTTTTATTATATTTGAGGATTTAGCACCATTTCACCAATTCACTGAATTTATGGTGAAACTTGTTTATGTTGTTGTTTTTGTTTAACTTGGTAAAGCCTGTTTCAACTCGTAAAACTTGTCTCTTTTGCTTAAAGCTTGAGCTTAAAAAATTGGACCGGGTGGTTGGGGTTTGGTGGGGGGCCGGGCGCGCCCCCCCCCCCCCCCCCCCCCCCCCCCCCCCCCCCCCCCCCCCCCCCCCCCCGCGGCCCCCCCCCCCGCCCCCCCGCCCCCCCCGGCCGCGCCCCCCCCCCCCCCCCCCCCCCCCCCCCCACCCCCCCCCCCCCCCCCCCCCCCCCCCCCCCACCCCCCCCCCACCCCCCCCCCCCCCCCCCGGGGGGGGGGGGGGGGGGGGCCGGCCCCCCCCCCCCCCCCCCCCCCCCCCCCCCCCCCCCCCCCCCCCCCCCCCCCCCCCCCCCCGCCCCCCCCCCCCCCCGCCGTCTCCCCCCCCCCCCCCCGCGCCGGGCCCGCCCCCCCCCCCACCCCCCAAACCCCCCCCCCCCCCCCCCCCCCCCCCCCCCGACCCCCCCCCCCGCCCGGCCCCCCGGGGGGGGGGGGGGGGGGGGGGGCCCGCCCCCCCCCCCCCCCCCCCCCCCCCCCCCCCCCCCCCCCCCCCCCCCCCCCCGCCCGCGCCCCCCCCGGCCGGCCCCCCCCCCCCCCCCCCCCCCCCCCCCCCCCCCCCCCCCCCCCCCCCCCCCCCACCCCCCCCCCCCCCCCCCCCCCCCCCTCCGGTTTCCCCCCCCCCCCCCCCCCCCGCCCCCCCCCCCCCCCCCCATTTTCCCTTCCTCCCCCCCCCCCCCCCCCCCCCCCCCCCCCCCCCCCCCGAGCGCCCCGACCGCCCCCCCGGCCCCGCCCCCCCGGCGGTGGGGGTCGCCTTCTTTTTTTTGGGGGGGGCCCCCCCCCCCCCCGCCCGGCCGGGGCCCCCCCCCCCCCCCCCCCCCCCCCCCCCCCCCCCCCCCCCCCCCCCCCCCCCCCCCCCCCCCCCCCCCCCCCCCCCCCCCCCGGGGGGGGGGGTTTTTTTTTTTTCTGCGCCCACACCTCTCCGGTACGGTAAAATTGAGCTCTAAATTTGAGATACTCAGCCTGAATATCCAGGCTGAATATTCAGAGATATTCAGTGGGCGTCCTTGAAGGTGATGATTGTTCCTCCCTTGACGAGGTATTGATCGACACCGACGAGACCAGCAATATTTCCGGATGGAATGTCTTCAATTGGCTCGGTGTAGCGGCCCATCATGAGGATGGTGCGCTGAATGGTCTTCTCGTAGAGGTCTTCCTTCTTTCCGGGCGGATAGTTGGGTTCTTGGATTCGGGCTTTCATTCGAGTGGCGACCTAGACAATAACAGACGTTATAATAAAAGTAAACTCATTCAAACCTTTCCTGAGAAGACGCGACCTGAGACCTGAGAAACAGCGTAGAAACGTCCCTTGCCGGAAGTGGGCAACATCTTTGAGATGTACATCATCAAGGGTCCATTTGGATCGCAAGTCTTGATCGCAAGTCTTGATCGCAAGTCTTGATCGCAACAGCGGCCTCATCGTCATGTGGTCCCTCATAGAGCATTTCCATACGGTATCTGTAAAATGAAAATAACCACAGTCGAATGCACAAAAATCACTTCTGAGCCGTCACTGGTGATGGAAGATCATTTGAAGCATTTAAAATCATTTGAAATCATTTGAAATCATTTGAAATCATTTGAAATCATTGGAAATCATTGGAAATCATTTGAAATCATTGGAAATCATTGGAAATCATTGGAAATCATTTGAAATCATTGGAAATCATTTGAAGCATATTTCAGACTCTATTTAAATAAGCAAAAAGGCGGATTCTCTAAAAACTTTTCCTCCTTTTCCTCCTTTCATGCATTTTTTGTTGTTTAGCCGAACTCACCTCCAATTATCGGCTCAATGGTGGTGTGTTTACCCCTTTTCTCTCAATGATTTCTCTTCTTTCACCAAAAAAAAGAAAAAAATTGTTAGGAAATAAATCCTTATTTTTTCAGTAAACTTTAACCCTTTAAAAAGTGGTTTCAAATGTAAAAATAGCTTTTTTTAACTTCTCCAGAGCTTCTCCACAGCCCCAGATTCAAGTTTAAACGTTTGTTTAAACAAAATGGAAAACACTTTTAACGTTTTAAATGACTCCAATCTCACAAATCTCTCAAATCTCTCAAATCGTGGAAAATTTCTTTTTTCAAAAACATTAGCACATAGAAATTGAATGAAAAGGAATGAAAAGGAACGAATTTTCACGTTCAGATTACCCAATATTTCCATTAAGAACCGTGAAAACAGCTGAAAACAGCTTTTCCACAGCAAAACCTCCCGTAAAAGCTCTAATAAAAGCCGATCGAAATATTGACTTTTGATTTATTATGTGGAAAAATTTGAGCATAAAAATCAATAATCTGCGGGTCGGTGGTAAAATTTTTCGAAATTTTTTTACGAAAAAAATTTTTGGGTTGAGGCACAATTTTTTGAATCGTTAATCTTAGTTGGATTAACGTGAAACAAAAAATTCCCGAAATTCTCGATCAGAACCGGATAAGGCAAATTATTTCACTTTTGAAACCCGTTTTTCGTACCAAGGGCCACAAAGTGCTTGTGGAAAAGTTAGATTTTCGATGTGGGCGACCCTAGAAACATCTGAGCATAAGATTGAAGGCTACTTTTTTGGTTGGCCGATTTTTGAGGGTTTAAAAAGTACAAGTCCATGGGCTTCTAGTAGAGTTTTTACGGTATTGCTTTTTCTATCTGAACTAAATCTTTGAACGATTCGAATTTGCGAAAGTGTTTCCATTTCGGTTTCGGCTAAACTGATTCCATTTCGAGTTCATTTGCAGATTCCGGGCAGCGCTCGAGTGGGGTTTCTCGGTGACTCGGGAGACTCCTCGGGTTTCGTTGATGAGCCATCGCCGATGGCACTGCCAGCAACTCCACTATCGGCAAGCAGGTGCGAAAAAGCTACAGAGTATAGAGGAATATAAGAATATAAAAAATCGGAACTTTAGCTATCTGCCTGATCGATTAAATGTGAAAATTTAGTACAGTACTCTTCGTTTTTACATTTCGCAAGATTTCCAATTAAATAAGGCAGATGAATAGTTTGAGTAACATGCCAAAATGCCATCTCAAGATGTTCAATTTCCAACCTCAGTTCAATCGACTCAAAAAGCCCTCATTTTTCCTTTACCAAGCCCACATCACTCTTTCTATAGATCCTCTATTTACAGCAGCATTTCTGAGGGTTGGAAATATTCGTCGCAAAAGATTTTGTGGAAACTCAAACCGAAATACATGCATTTCTCGCACGCGAGCAGCACGAGTGCCTCGAGTAGCACGGATTCGGCGTGGAGGAGCCAGGTGAATAAAAACTGAAACGAACAATATTGGGATTGGAAAATTAAGCTTTTTAAGCCTCAATCGATTCCAGGACTCGGCTACATGGAGAAGTGTTGATGGAAGCGAGGTAGTCCTCCGTGGTTCACGGCTGGAAACGCTATCAGCTGCTGAAAGAGCCGCGTTACGATCTGTCGCAACGGCAACACTTGCGAGAATGCTGCCTGGTATCTCCTTGCATAGACAAAAAGGTAGAATCAAGAGCTTATAAATTGAAACGCAAACTTCTAGACGCGTTTCAAACTCTTCGAATGAAGCGGCAGAAATTGATGAAAGCGACAAGGCTTGGAATTGGAGGCTCAGAAGTGACAAGACGACCATCGTCTTGTAGTACGGATGGTGAGTTCACTACCGAATCCGCTTGATAACAAATGAATAGATGAACGGCGATCAGTCTTCGGAGCTCCATTATCAGCGGCCTTGGAGTGGGAACGAGGTCAAGATGCCGAGAGCAGGTAGCATTTGCGTATTCAAATTCACTCTGCATGCGTGTCAGTGTTAAAGTCGTCCTTTTACATGTAATTTCTTTTTATTAGCTGCAACTTTAGCACAGAAGTCAACAATTTATTTCAAACATAACAAAAACCTTTAAATCTATACGCTTTCCTTTTCGGCGAGGAAATCTTTCTTGAGTTTTCCCATGAAAGTCTTCTTTTCGGCAGCAGTTTGGAAACGTCCATGTCCGAATTTGGAAGAGGTGTCGATCCACTTGAGGTTGATCTTCTCGAAGGCGAAGCGCTTCGTATGAGTGTAGAGTGATTTGCGGAGTGTGATGGGCCTTTTCTTGGTTCCGAGGCAGCATCCACGAATCATGACGAAGTCCTGCTTGACGATTCCATAGTGAGGAAAGCCTCCCTAAACAGAAACATTTTATAATTGTACAATTGATCGCACAGCAAAATAATTTCTTTCCGGCTCAGTTCAGTGTATTCTTTCCTCACAAGTGTTATAGGGCCACTACTTTGCACATCATTGCCAGATAAAAAAATTTTAAAGTAGAAACACACCATTGGGTTGATAGTCTTCTCGGTAACATCAAACTCGGTCGCTCCGTTGTTTTTGCCTTCCGGGGTCTCACATGAGCGGCCAATGCGGTAGATCTTCTTATTCATCTCAGTACGATGGTGGTATCCTTTCTGACCGGCACGAGCGACTGTGAACTGAACACGAGATGGATGCCAAGCTCCGATACAAGCAACCTAAACAATTACTAAATTCTAATTATTTAATGCAACGTCACCTTTCGGAGACCCTTGTGAGTCTTTCTGGGAAGCTTCTTGGTGTGCCAACGGCTGGTGACTCCCTTGAATCCGTGTCCTTTGGTAACTCCAATGGTGTCGATGAGCTCATCTTGTGAGAAGACGCTATCGATTGGCACTTGCTTCTCGAGGTGTTCACGAGCCCAGTTAACTTTGTCCTCGATAGTTCCTCCATTGACTTGAATTTCGACAATGTGTGCCTTTTTGTCGCGCTTCTTCAACAGCTTTTGCTAAACAGAAAACACCAGTGATGTTTTCGGAACCAAATAAATTAATTTTTAGGAAAACTCGGGCTCAGAAGGAAGGCAACATTGACTGATTGTGTAATCCTCACAACTGTAGGCATCAGTCTATCGTCATTGCCCATTACATTGTTAAACGTAATGATACGAATCAAACCATACCTGAGTGTGAGCAATGACGCGAATCTTGGTGCAGTACCTCTTCATCTTGTTCAGATCGGCCTCAAGCGATTTCTTTCCATCTTCATCTTGCCATTTCTTAGCGTACTTGGTGAAAGCCTTCTTCTTCGATTTGTACCTATATGATAAATAGAGTTGAGCTCTTTTTCTCTCATGTCTAATGACAGCGGAGAGTTATCATAAGGTTTGATACTAAAGCAAAACACATAATAAAGTACCAAAGAGTTAGTCTTTCAGAAACAAACGCACCAATTCTTGTAGAATCGACGACGACAATCCTCAGAAAGATGTTCAGCCCAGACCGTCTTGAAAGCACGAGGACCGTGTGGAGTCTCGATGTAGCCGACGATTCCCACGATGACCAATGGTGGAGTCTCAATGATGGTGACAGCTTCAGTGACTTCCTTCTTGTTGACCTTTGAGCCAGGCTTATCCACCTAAAAATACAAATAGATCAACAATGTAATAAAGGATCTTTGCATAAAAACCCGTTACTAGTAAGCGTAGATGAGTGTATTTAAAAAAATACAAACCACTTAGAAAGTTATAGTTATAAAAAGCAAACAAACTCACATCTCTGACGATATGCGTCATTCCTGCCTTGAATCCGACGAACGCAGTGAGATGCACGGGCTTTGAAGCGTCATCCTTGGGGAACGCCTTTATTCTTCCACGATGAGTCTTTGATCGCTTCTTTGGCACAAATCCCATCGATCCATGGCGCGGGGCCGAAAACTTCCGATGCGACATCTTATACCCTAAAGAGTAAATATAAGAAACATTTAATTGAATTGAAACGTAAAGAAAGCTATCAGCAAATATCGGGCATTCCGTTTTATCTCTAATTCTAAGCCAAATTGATAAAACCTGATAGGCGAGACTTAGTTAGTACAATTTTAAATGAGCCAGGTGCATTTCAAAGGATCTAGGAGTCAAATTTCAAAACTAAGCTGAACAATTTGATAAAACTTTATGCATTGTACGCAACTAGATTGCAAATTAGACAAAACGTATAGAATTTGGAGCAACTCTTACTTAAAGAAAAACATATCCACGAGGCGGAACAAAAAGTGAAGAATGACGGAATAAAATTTTTGAAAAATGTTTTCGACGAAAAGGCGACTACCGTACACCTGATGTGTCGCCGCTGACGGTTTTATCCACCGTTTAGAAAACCAAAATCAATAATAGCACGTGTTAACATCAAAATCAGCACGTGTTAACTTTTTTCAAACTTTACCCTTGTTTTTCTCGAAGAAATTTAATATTTTCTCAGATGTCAAAGCTTGGACGACAGTGCCGTGTCGCTTTGCGTGCCGCCAAACTCGATGAACAAGTTGAAAACATTGATTTTTGGGATAAGAAGGAAATTTTTTAGAAAATACTCCCGACAATCGACGAAACCCGTGCACTCGGAGCCGGAGATCGTCTCAGCGATGGAAGAAGAAGGACGATGGTTGTATCCACAGACACCGGTTGGTGATAAGAATAAAGGGATGCCTACCTAGACACATATGTTGTTAGGTTGTTGAAGCTGTTGTTGTTAGGTTGGCCGAATACCAGATTTTCCAAGCCGTCGCTTGAGTTTTGGCTTTTGGAACAGCCCTAACTATGGCGTATAGCTAATTGTACATTATCCAAGGATCCAGGGACACTAGTACAATATCCAGGGATGTTTCAACCAGACTGAGACTTTAAGTCAAGCCAAATCAGTACCTGAGCTAGAGCCAGAGCCAATTGAAATCCATTGGCTTTGGCTTGTCTTGGCTTTTTTACCAACCTTGGTAACCTGATCCTAAAACTGCCAAGACAACTGACCAAGATATTCTAAGATGCTAGCAAAAGCGCCGCGTTTTTTGCGCCAAGATCCTTTGCGCCAATTTCATTTGCGCTGAGTATCGTTTGCGTCAAATTTGCGCTTATGAAAATCGCTATTACAAATCCATATGACAAATCACTTTTCCCCAACTTCTAAACAAACTTTTTTTTTCGTTTTCTGCTTTCTAATTTTAGCTCTTACTGTTTTCAATTAGAAAACATTTTAAAATATCTATACAGACCCGAAAAACAGTCATTTTTCTGGCTTTTTACTCTCTAAATCGATCCATTTTCATTTTCAAATCCAGTAAAGGCGGTAAAATAGTGTCGACGACAAGGAAAAACGGAAAAAATATATAAATAGTAATCAGAGTTGTTAGGAAAGTATTTTGAAAATCTCAAATTTGACGCAAATGATACGTGGCGCGAATAATTTGGCGCTTTTGCTAGCACTTCGATATTCTACTACCAAACTTTTCTATTATCGAATTTATCAAAGATCAATCAATGACTCGACTTTCAGAACCTTCATCAACGTTCCCTTCCCCTCGTCGGCTCTTCATCTCCCCCCTTCCTTGCCCAGAGTCTTCCCTTCTCCACCACTCCACTCAACTCCACTTCCTTTTCTTCACCGCCTGTCAGTTGTAGCACACAATTGCTCAGTTCTTCGCTAGATGCGCAACAAGTTTGAGTGAGAAATTTCATTGTTAATTGCTTTCTTTTAGTCAAAGCCTCGTTCTCGCGGATTCTCAGCATCACTTGAGAGAGCTTCTTTAGGAAGAGATCCCAGAGAAGTACAAACAGGTAGGAAAAGAGACTTTTGAGTATTTCTAAAGTTCTTCTATACTTTACTATACTATATTTCTATAATATAGTATACTGTAAGTATTTCTAAAGTTCGAATTCAGGTTCTCAAGACACCGAACCGCATCAATTAGCGGTGCCGAGAGTAGTCGATAGTTGCACGAGTTATGTGATACAACATGGTGAGTAATGTTAAAGTGTTAATCACTAGGATTACGGTAAAAGAAGTCCGATTTCTTGTTAGATTTCAAAGTTTATTTTCTACTTTGCAACAGATCCTAATCAACTATGCTAGAAAGAACTCAAAGACTAAAGCTGAAAGTACTAGAGAGGTCAAGCTCAAACTTACTGAAGCTCAAGCTCAAGCTTGCTAGAGCTGAAAGTACTAGATAGCTCAAGCTTAAGCTTACTAGAGCTAAAGTACAAGCCCTTTAAACTTACAGTGCACAAAAGCCTATCGAAAGAAATTCAGGTTTACACACAGTGGGCCTATTTCGAGTGGCCGGTTCAGCGAAACGATGCCGAATGTTGAGAGCTGTTCTCGAATCTCCCGCTCCGATGATACCACAAAATTCACAGGTAAACAAAATGAGAAATTTGATAGAAATACAAGAAATTCCTTTCAGTTAACGGCTCACGATGTGGCGACAGTGTTGAAAGAATATCTCCGCGATCTTCCACAAAGTCTTCTCCCAAAAGAACACTATCAAGCATACATGGCAACTGCAAGTAAGCAAAGAGCTTTTACGGACTACGGCAAAGCTTTTTGACTTTGCTTTTTTGAAGTGACGAGCTCGCAAGCTTTAAAAATGAATCTTTAAGATCATGTAGATAGTGATCAGCTTTAGATCACTATCTACTATATATAAAACAGAAGAGACGTCTGTCTGTCCGTCTGTCTGTCTGTGCGCAAAAGCGACATTCCGTAGTTACGTTTGCTCTATCGGTTAAAAGGCAAAGTATTCAGCTTTCACGTGCAATCTTTTGCCCCGGATCGTATGGGCGATAGACCGGCACGCTATCCACTGCTCCATGGCGACAAATCCATCCCAAAACATCCAGAAAAACCCACCGTTAGGCGGGTTTCTGGCCTGGTATAAGATAAAATTAAAAAATTCGAAATTGAGTGGCACTGCGGGGGTCGAACTCGGATCGGCTGGGCCGTAGACAAGCTCACTCCTGGCTGCGCCACAGCGACGACGCGTCTAATCAGAAAAATCAGCCAGAAAAACCCGCAGTTAGACGGGTTTTTTAGTTTTTCGGTTTTTCGGCTGGTCTTTTCTATATACTACGACCTATCTCGTCTCCGGGCTGTTGTATAGACCCTGGGGCACAAGACTGAAAGCTATAGTATTGACAAGTAAGCTATAGCTATAGTATGACCACATTGCCAAGGCCTATAGGCCTATAACCAAGGCCAAGAATACCAAAATGACCAATATACCAAAATGAAAATAGCAAACCCCCAATACATCTCCAATTTTCAGGACTCTCTGGTGAAGAACGTCTCTGCTGTTGTCGACTCCTCGTCGCACTCCTCCCAACACCAAATGCCGACACTTTACTCGTCTTATTAAGATGCCTTCATTTGGTTAGTTAGTTGACTAATAAGAACGACTAATAAGACTTTATTAGTACGGTAGTTCTATAGATTTACAATACTACGGCAATTTTGTAGCTCTATAGATTAATAAGACTAATAAGACAGACTAATAAGACAAACTAATAAGACAAACTAAAAAGACAAACTAATAAGACAGACTAATAAGACAGACTAATAAAACAGACTAATAAGAGAGACTAACAAGAGAGACTAACAAGACAGATTAATAAGAGAGACTAACAAGAGAGACTAATAAGACAGACTAGTAAGACATTGATAAAGCGAAAATCAATTCCCCTATATTACTTTCTTTCAGGTGGTCGATCACTGTAACGATACTGTTGATGAGGATGGAATGGTGAGTAGATTTTCAAGTTTTTAAACCTTCCCAGAAATACGATAGACTTTATTTGTACGGTAGTTCTATAGTTTTACAATAGTACGGCAATTCTGTAGCTCTATAGATTTACAGTAGTACAGTAATTCTATAGTTATATGGATATTACGATAGTACGGCAATTCTGGAGTGTAGAATTTTAGAGTACGATAGCTTTTTCCGGGGCGCACCTTTTAGAAAAAGCTTCTTAATTAAGAAAACTCTGTCTTTTCCATTCTTCCATTCATCAAAATTCTCTCAAACAACTATTAAATCCGAATTTTCAGATTGAGCCGGGCAATCGAATGGATGCCCGAAATTTAGCCACCGTTTTCGCTCCATGCATCCTCCGCGCAAACCATGACAAATTACACAATTGTCTGGCTGAGAGTGAGTTGCAGATTGGGATTGTTGAGACGATGATTCGACACGTTGAGGAAATATTTACGGTATGAAAAAAAAAGCAAGAAGAATTTCACTCTCGAGTCTCCGCAGATCCCCCGAGAACTGCAGAATAAAATGTTGACAAGAATGCGAGACACTGAGCCGGATCGACTCGATCGGATACTTGGAGCGATGGCAAGGGCTAATTATGAGTGAGTTTGAGTACATCTCCTGTGAGTTGAAGTACAGTTTGAAGTAAAGTATAAAGTACAGTATAAAGTACAGTTTAAAGTAAAGTATAGAGTACAGTATAATGTACAGTATAATGTACAGTTTAAAGTACAGTATAAAGTACAGTATAAAGTACATTTCAATCTCAATACAGTAAACGGATTTAGTTATATCTAAAATTCAGAACGGATAGTGCTCTTCCATCACCATTCCCGCCGATGCTCGAGGAGGAGAGCTTGAAGACGCAGAAATCGAGTGAGATTTAAGAATTAAGAAATAAAACGGGTAGAAATTTAAGAATTGGATTTAAGAATTAAAACTGGTAGAGCTGGTAGAAAGCGTTTCTTGAAATGAAATGAATTAACATTAGACCGACTTAACATTAGATCGACTTAACATTAGACCGACTAGTACAAGATCTATGTCAAATCTGATTTCATCGCTCTGTTACTAGACTAGCAAGTCATCAGTCTCAAAACGAGACTCAAAACGAGACATCAGTCTCGAAACGAAACTTTGGGAAAAGTTCCAAAGAGGATGTGAGACTTTTAAACGACGATTCGATGCAAACACCTATCGGTGTTAAACCTATGACGAATGCTGTGTTTATTTTTTGCCCACCGACTCAAGCTTTCGAGAAAAGCGCATGAATTTTCGGTCATTAACGGTCATTTTCGGCAATTAACAGCCATTTTCAGCCATTTTCAGCAGTTTTCAGCCGTTTTCGGCCTTAAAAGGTGGTGTCACGCCGAAAGAGAGAAAAGCAAATAGGCGATAGTGCGTCAGGCTACCGTCTAGGCGATAGTGCGTCAGGCTATCGTAGTTCTACTCCAGTTTTTACTGGAGTACTCCAGTTCGATTCCCCTCATCACTCTACTTTTTGCTTTTAAGTTCTTTTGAGTTATTGATGAATGAAGAACAATTCGGGACGTTCCCTTGTGAAATTGTTTCACTTTGCTGGCCTCAAAAGATATCTAGAAAAAAGATATCTAGATATCTATCTATCTAAACTCTAAATTCCTAATTCCTAATTCCTAAAATTCCTATTTCTTAGGGAAACAAAGTGTTGGTCTCCGACGATCGGACAGTTGGCCGAACTCGATGGTTGACGAGATCGGAGTGGGACAACAGGTTTGCAAAGTCATTACTAGCTTATAGCTACATTACTTTACTAGCATTACTAGCTTATAGCGTATGGCTACTTGGAGCGCTTATAGCTACAGTACCAAATAAAATATGTGGAAGCTACAGTACCCATAGAATACAAAAGCTACCATAGCAGCAAGCGTTACAGCAAGAGCAAGAGTTTTTCAGCTAGTTTTTTTTAAAAAAATGAATCAAAATTCAGGAATCAAGCAGTCAACAACCGTCCACCTCTTCCTACACCGATGAAAAAGAGGAACGACCCGAGGGACGGACAAGTGGAAGAAGGCACACGAGAAGGGATACACACGCTATTATTGTTGAGTGAGTTCAACATTGTATAACCTAGATCGTTAAATTGTACATTCTAGATCGTTAAATTGTACATTCTAGATCTGAAATTGTACATTCTAGATCAAGATTTATCAAGGATTAAGCCAAAAGTTTCAGCTCGATCTCCGCTGTGGCGTTGAGAGCAAACGCGGCTCGTCGTCGTCTCCGCAATGTTTTCCGAGCTTTTCGTCTAACTTCTCGATCAACTCCAAATGTCAGCACACAAGGATAGCCGGAAACCCTACTTTTATTTACGGTTTTAAACTTCTATTTAACTAGAAAAAGCTTTTGGATACTGTAGCTCTAGTTGCACAATAGCAGCGAACTTTTCACCGCCTTGTCTCTAAAGCATTTCCCAGCTACCGTAACCCAGCCCCGATCTTTCCGTCATGAGTTTCATCGTCCACAACTCAGTTAATTAATGTTACAGTAGCCATACCATTTAGATTACGATAAGAGATAGATTGACTGAGTTTCGGGTTACGGTAACCGAGCCACATTTTAAAGGATTATGAAAACTAAAGGCAAGTTTACGGTAGAAAAGCAAGGTGGCATGTTTTAGAAAACGGATTATTTAAGGGAAGTGCCCTTTCGCGGCCCCTTTTTTGGCGGATTTTGGTACATTTGACGATCCGCTTTGCCCTCTTTGCCATCGACAATCTGACTTTGCCATTGGCAGATTTGTATGTCAACCGTAAACACTATAGAAGCCATTAGCAATCTTTAGATTGCAATCTTCATGTCTAAATTAGTATTGCTAAGTTACTATAAAAATAAAAGCCATACTTGCTTTAATTTTTGTTGGTGCTGGACACCTTCTTGTTGGAGTACTTTAAAAACATCGGCATATCGATGCGCTTCTTTGCTTACAACGAATGCACATGGAACAAACAAGTTTGCGGTCTGAATATAGGATAAAAATATTAAGAATATGAAACGAACTTTCACTCCAATCACAAAAATTTGTTTGAAACCGAAAGGACTTGCAGAGAATGTTTAATCCATTGACCATTGCCATTGGCAATCAAAGCTTGCCATTGTCCCAATCAAAGCTTGCCATTGTCCCAATCAAAGCTTGCCATTGTCCCAATCAAAGCTTGCCATTGTCCCAATCAAAGCTTGCCATCGGCAATCCAACTGTGGCATTGGTAATCCAACTTTGGCATTGGCAATCCAACTGTGCCATTGGTAATCTAACTTTGCCATTGGCAATCCAACTGTGGCATTGGCAATCAAAGCTTGCCGTTGGTAATCTAACTTTGCCATTGGCAATCTGACTTTGAACTCAAATATCTCAGTGTTCAGCTGTTCAATTTAAATACTTTTTGTACCAATCGACAGAGAAAGACTTGGCGCATTTAATGATACAAAGAATATTTCAATTGAACAGCCTAACACCAAGAGATTTGAGCTCAAAGTTGGATTGCCAATGGCAAAGCGACGGAACCAATGGAAAAGGGTGGGGCGCGTATGAAATGTCCAATACCGGTTATCCAATACCAATACCAATATCAAATGTCCAATAACCCTTGTGCCGGTTACCCGAGCTATAGTATCCAAAGCTATCAACAGTATTACTAAACCCTTCACTACGTTTCATATATTATCTAAACATTTGCATATCCATCAAATCTCTTATGAACAATCTTATGAAGTTATTGAAGTTATTGAAGTTATTGAAATTATTGAAATTATTGAAGTTATTGAAAAGACTGGTCTCTTTCTCAAAAGACTTTCTTTTTTCCTTTCTCGACTTTCTCGACTTTCTCCCCTCTCTCTCTTTTCTGTGATCTCTCCCAAATTCATCCCAGATGATCAATTCCCGAAAAATTCTTTACGGGTTTTATATTTTTTAAAATATTTGATTTGAATTCCATGTATTTACATTCATTTTCTGATTTTGTTTTTAGAAATTCTTATTTCTGATAAAATTTTATTGAAAAAAACGTTTTTATTTCAACATTTGAGATCGATTTTTGGGGATTTTCAAAGAATTTTTTGCAAATTTACATTTGAAAAGGCAAATTTACATTTGAAAAGGCAAATTTACATTTGAAAAGGCAAATTTACATTTGAAAACAGAAATTATATAGAAAGAAAAGAAGACACAAGCTACACGTAAACAGAAATCACCCGTAAAGTAATATAGAAAATTTGAAATTTACATTCAAAAACTTATCTGAAAAAAGAAAAACATGAAAAACAAAGAAAAATTTGAAAGATTAGAGAATTTTAGGTTAAATTTATGGAAAAGTTTATAGATCTTTTGCTGATAGAAGTTTAAATATTAGGGTGGTGCAAAAGAAACTGCCGACGGGTATCAGCTCTCATTTATCAGAAACGAGCAACTTGTATGCTCATCAGCTGGACAGAGTGTACCAAGCAATGGAACGCCAGGGTGCGGACATGGTCGGTGAAGCTCTTGCATGACAATGCTAAGCCGCATGTTGCGAAAATCACACAGCAGAAAATCGAAGAATTTGGATGGGAAGTCCTGCCTCACCCGCCATATTCTCCTGATATGGCTCCAAGTGATTATCACCTATTTCGCTCGATGCAGCACTTTGGAGAAGCAGTCCAACCTGAAGGAGCAGTCCAAGAATGATGATGAGATCCGTAACTGGGTGCTCAACTGGATGAGATCCGTAACTACTGGGTGCTCAACTGGATGAGATCCGTAACTGGGTGCTCAACTGGATGAGATCCGTAACTACTGGGTGCTCAACTGGATGAGATCCGTAACTACTGGGTGCTCAACTGGATGAGATCCGTAACTACTGGGTGCTCAACTGGATGAGATCCGTAACTACTGGGTGCTCAACTGGATGAGATCCGTAACTACTGGGTGCTCAACTGGATGAGATCCGTAACTGACTGGGTGCTCAACTGGATGAGATCCGTAACTGGGTGCTCAACTATTTCGAATCCCAGGAGTCCCAGTTCTTCGAAGATGGCCTCTTCTCTTCGATGGAGGAAAGTCATCGATGCTTGTGGTGAATAAAGATTTCTCGCTTTGATGTTATGCTTTTTTTTCAATTTACCGTCAAATCGGCAGTTTCTTTTGCACCACCCTAATATCTGAAATAAATTTGCATAAATGATTGAAATCAAATTCAAATTCAAATTCAAATTCAAATCCATATCTTAATTCAAAGCTTTCCAAGCAAGATCGGCCACTTCGGAATGAGCGATCGAGTTTGGATGAAAAGCGCCGAGCACAGAACCCTCAAGACGTAGAGATTCAGCGACACTGCTAAAAAAAGAAGTTTTGTCTTTGTAAACAAAGTTCTACTCTAAATTAGATCTATTCATTTCCATCTATTCATTTCGAATTCGATTGTGAACAGGAATGGACTTAGATTTAGACTTAGATCGCTAGACTTGCTCTTCGTTGTGAACTTTGTGCTCACCTTTACTCACCTTTGCTCACCTTCTGGTGCACTAAGTTCTTTTTTTGCTCGCTATGGAGTTTTAGAAAGAAAAGTATTAAGTGTGCCAGAAAGAATACTTTTACAAGAACACACAAAATCCACCGAGCTCATTTGCTTTTTGTGAAACTTTTCTGCTACTAGTTCACACTGTAACTGATTGTGAGTCAACAAAGAGTGGAAAGTTGAAGCATGCTTTGGGTATGGTATTGTGGCTACAGTATTGTAGCTATTGTGGCTACAGTATTGTAGCCAAAGCTTTGATTGTAAGGAGAACTGATCGAACTGATCGAACTGATCGAACTGATCGAACTGATCGAACTGATCGAACTGATCAAGCTGATCGAGCTGCTCGAACTGATCAAGCTGCTCGAACTGATCGACTGATAGAACTGATCGACTGATAGAACTGATCGACTGATAGAACTGATAGAGCTGAACGACTGATAGAACTGATCGACTGATCGAGCTGATCGACTGATAGAACTGATCGACTGATAGAACTGATCGACTGATAGAACTGATCAAGTTGATCAAGCTGATCGAACTGATCGAGTGATCGAGTACTACTTGCCCACCAAAAGTTAGATTTCTTGATGAACGCTCCGATTCACAATCGCACACAGGAATGTTCAAGAGAATTCCTCTTCTCTCCTGACTCCTGACTTGAATGTTATCGAAAACGTATGGGCATTTATGGTTCGCAAAGCAAAGCATTTATGGTTCGCAAGTTAACGACGGAAACAAGACATATCAAAACGTTGATGAGGTCAAGCTCAAGTTAATGGCAAGCATTATCCTGCACCAAATCGACGAGAAATCGATTGACCTCTACCATAGCTTGGATACTCGAGTTTTTCAGCTAATTCAGCGGAATGGAGTCGCTACTGATTATTGAATTCGAAATTAGCGCTCAGTTATTGAGGCTATCACTATCTGCAACAGTATATTTTGCTTACCGTATCCTCGACGTTCGACTGCAGACGCCTCCTTTCTCAAAAACCTTCGAGATATCGACATCCGTCCACCCATTCTCCACACATTTCGCCGTGATCAGCTTATTCAATCGCTTCAGAATCAACTCCTCAGCTGTTTGCAGATTTTGGGAGCCAATCTTGAATGTTTGATTGCTTTCAAATGCTTTGTTACTTTCAAATGCTTTGTTTTCAATGTTTTCAAATTCTTACATCTTTAAAATCGTCACAAGATGCGTCGAAATTTCCTCTTTCATCTCTGGATGGGTCAAAATAATGCGGGAAAATCACCCGCTTTGGTCTCAGCGCTGACAAACGAACAGCCAAATTGTCGAGTTGTTGGGAGGCGAACATGAATCTGAAAAAAAAGGGTTTAATGTCTTATTCAAGGTGGGTTAAGACAAGCAAATTGTCGACGAAGCGAACAGGAATAGACTTAGATTCGCTAGACTTGCTCTTCGTTGTGAACTGTGAACTTTGTGCTCACCTTTGCTCACCTTCTGGTGCACTCCAGGGAAGCACTTGTTAACTACTGTAGCCATGTAGGCCATGTAGGTCATTGCACTAGCCATGTAGGCCATGTAGGTCATTAAACTAGCGATGTAGGCCATGTAGGCCATTACACTAGCCATGTAGGCCATGTAGGTCATTACACTAGCGATGTAGGCCATGTAGGCCATTACACTAGCCATGTAGGCCATGTAGGTCATTACACTAGCCATGTAGGCCATGTAGGTCATTACACTAGCGATGTAGGCCATGTAGGCCATTACACTAGCCATGTAGGCCATGTAGGTCTTGTAGTTTCTAAGTCTCAGCTACTAGATCAAAAGATAATCAAAGATTTAGCAGCAAGCCCAGAACTTTGTATGCTTTCTTGGACTTTGTTTCTCTTGATATCGTCATCTTATTCATCTTATTCATCTTTGAAAGCTACGGTCATCTTATTGGTAATCTTGGGAACGATAAGTACAGTAGGCTAGAGCTTAGAGCTGACTCTACCATCCCAGAAATGTTGCTTGTCTCAGAAATGGGATCTTGCTTGTCCCAGAAATCTTGTCCCAGCCTTGATCCGTCTAAAGCCAAGTCTAACCCTGGCATTTGTCATTTGAAACATTGTTGAAAAGACGATCTACCTGAGATGTAACGTCCTAAACAATGACACTTCATGGCCACTCCCCAATGCGTGCATTATCTCAGCGTATCCGATATCATTTCCACCAACCGACATCAACACAACATCCGGGCTGATTTCCCTGAAATATTGAGCTTAATCTAAAGCTTAATCTAAAGCTAAAGCTAAAGCTTAATCTAAAGCATTAATCATTAAGGTTACGGTAGTCTAACACGTTCTAGCCAATCACTATTACCGTAATCATTCTAATAGAAGCAATAGAAGCATACTTCCCAAGCTTACCCATTCATTTTACAACTTCTTAGCTATTATATAGAAAAGAGCAGTGTTTGTCTGTCGTCTGTCTCTCTGTCGGCTTTTTCTCAGCCTTCTTTAAACCAAAAAAAACTGAAATTTCTTTAAAAAGTCTTAAAATATAATATAGTTGTGCTATTTAAATTGAAAAATTAAAAAATCAAGATTGAGTTGCACTAGGGGGAGTCGAACCCGGCTCTTGTGGGTTGTAGACCAGCACGCTGCCGACTGCGCCACGGCGACGGTGGTCTCGACTAGAAAAATCCGGCTAGAAAAACCCGCCGTTAAGCGGATTTTTCGGCTTTTTCCTTTTTGTTGCTTTTTTTCGGCTATTGGACCGATGTCGATGTAGCTCATTGGTAGAGCGTTAACGAGCGGTAATCGAGAGGTCGCGGGTTCGAATCCCGGCCTGACCACTTTTTTTATTCTCAGCCCCATTTTTGGCTAGAACCAAAAGGATCCAAATTTACATACAAAGAGAGTGAAATTAAGTAGGTATAGTAGTAGTATTACGGTAATGTTGAGTATTGGAAAATAAAAGCAGACTAGAAGCAGCCTAGAAGCAGACTCTCTATTAGAAGGAGACTCTATTAGAGGCAGACTCTCTATTAAAAGCAGACTCGGCCTATTGAAAAATAGTAGCAGATCTGCTTCTGATAGAACAATTACGGTAAGAATAGAAGATTTACGGCAACCCAGGCCTACCGTATCTCCAAAAACTCACATCGTTTTCCCAATCTCTTCCAATATCTCGATTTGTGCCTTGATTTGTTGTGGATTTCCTTTGAGAACCCCCGATTCCACCGAGGCTCCCGTACAGCAAAGAAAGGTGAAAATTGTCGAGGAAGATTTAGAAGATGACGAAAAACGAGAAGCGACTTTCGAAGCCCAAGAATTTGACGAGCGATGACAACCTTCTGAAATGTGGAGGGTTTATTTGTTAAACATGTTAAACATGTTAAACATTGTTTTCGTCTGAAGCCTAAGATTAGATAGAGTACACGAGATAGACTGAACTTTGGTTCTAAAAGGTTTCCATTACTGTAGCGTGGCTTCAAGGCTGTTCAAAAGATCGTCGTACAGGGCTTTTGAGCTTAGCCATAGAGTTTACACAGAATCTTTGAGCACGGCTCAACCATGGACAGTTAAGCTGCTCTTGCGCAACTGCTCTTGCTGCTCTTGCACAGCTCTGATAACCTGGTTAGTGGCTTGGTTACTTGTTGTGGCCTACTGGTTAGTGTGCTTGTCTTCAGTTCTTTACGAGATTGCTTCGAATCAGCTTGCGGACATTTTAGTAATGTAGAAACTCAAAGCAAACAATTTTAGGGGATTTTTATCGATCCCTAGTGAGCCGGCTTTGGTTTTTATTATGCTTAAATCCTTGGGATCAATGTTTTCCTTAAATTTGGTTAGATTTTTGTTAGAAATTCTGGATTCTGTTAGAGTATTGTGTAGAAAAAACGAAAAATTGAGAGAACAATTGGATATTTCTTATTCGAATACCTATTAGATTCTATTTTCTAACGCGTAAATCCAGCTAGTAGTAGTCTAGGACTTGTTTAGGCTCAAGTTTTGTCCTTGATGACAAAAGAACTGGATGAAAGCTCAGCTGCTGAACAGCTACAGCTACTGAACAGCTACAGCTACTGAACAGCTACAGCTACAGCTACGGAACAGCTACAGCTACTGAACAGCTACAGCTACAGCTACGGAACAGCTACAGCTACTGAACAGCTACAGCTACAGCTACGGAACAGCTACAGCTACTGAACAGCTACAGCTACAGCTACGGAACAGCTACAGCTACTGAACAGCTACAGCTACTGAACAGCTACAGCTACAGCTCACAGCTAAAGCTCCAGCTACAGCTCCAAGCTAAAGCTCACAGCTACAGCTACTGAACAGCTACAGCTACTGAACAGCTACAGCTAAAGCTCACAGCTAAAGCTCACAGCTACAGCTCCAAGCTAAAGCTCACAGCTACAGCTCAGAGCTGAAGCTCACAACTACAGCTCACAGTTACAGCTACAGCTAAAGCTTACAGCTAAAGCTCACAGCTAAAGCTACAGCTACAGCTAAAGCTCACAACTACAGCTACATCTACAGCTGACTTAAGACTTGAGCTTCTCTTTCAAGACCAAGATCAAGACAAGACGGTTATTTTAGAAAGCTAACGTGAACTAACGAATTCCTTGCAGCTTTTCCCCTTAAAGATTTCCTAGATTGAACGTGGTGATCTTTTGAAAAGAAGGAAAGATGAAAGATAGAAAAAGCGGTGCCCCTTTGATGTGGGCCCTTCATAATCAGAGAGGGGCATTGTCCCCTCCTTTCCCCTTTCCCTTTTCTTCAAAATGAAAACCCTTTGATCTCACCGCCTCATCAACAACAAACCCACAAAAACTATTATATTTCGAGAATCGTTTTGCTGCGAAAAGCAACTACGGTAATAAATAAGAGACTTAGATTTATGGGGCTCACTTGGGGAGAAGCGGTCAGTTGAAAGGGGAAACATCAAAGACAAGAAGTCAATTTTTGAGAGAAAACAGAATGATAAAGTTTTGGGAAAGTAGAACGATAGAAATGAAATGGAGATTTAGAAATTTGATCTGATCTAGACAGAAGTTGGACTTATTTATCATAATGTCTTCCGAAGCTTGCTTGCTTTGTAGTTTGACCTGAGCTGGATCTAGACTGGAGCTGGATCTAGCTTGAGCTGGAGCTGGATCTGCCTGTGAATTTTTGCGTCAGACAAGAGATTTGGTCTTGAATTGGCTTAGCTTGGCTTGGCTTGGTTTGGCTTGGCTTGGCTTGGCTTGGCTTGGCTTAGCTTGGCTTGGCTCAGGCTTGGCTTATCATCAGCTTGATCAGCTTGATCAGCTTTTTGATCATTTTTACAAGCTTAGTTGGACCAAAAGCTTGATTTAGACCTGGCTTGGCTGGTCTTGATGGCCTTGATGAGCGGAAAGCGGTGATTGACATCAAGCGCGGTCCCGCACGAGTCAGCGAACTTCTTGAGCCAAATCTTTTCCTCGTCCAAGCGAATCGTGTCCACGTGGTGATCGAAAACGCGTGAAATTGCGTGAAAGCATCCATTGAAAGCCCGCATTCACTTTGGCCAACTCGATCGTATCTTTCGCGTCCATTTCCTTCAGCACTTCCAACTTCAGATCGTAAGAGAGCTTCTTCATCCGAAATGACGAAACGAAAGGAGTGGAATCGAACTGCCGAGCAGAGATGGCATAGTTTCGTAGACTAGCTCACTATCCTCTAAGCTAACACGGCTCTTCTTTCCTTTTGTTCGACTTGGGCCTAGCTTAGCCTAACCTAGAGTGAATCCATTTTTAAAAATCCACCCACCATCCATCCATTGTGCTTCCCTTTGTGCACTCCTCGATCGATCCGGATTCCCCTCACCCGAGCAAAAAGAATCCCCCAGCGCAACGATCCATCGATCGTTTACCTGAATATTTTAATCGTAAGCTTTGTTTTCCGGTAGTCGGTAGTTCTAAAAGACATATCGTACAATTTTAAGTTTCGTAGACTAGCTGAACAGACTAGCTGACTAGCAGACTAGCTGTACAATTTTTAACGACTCACTTGAACAGTTGTACTCCCAGCGCCGAGTATCGTTCCGTCTCCTCCTCTCACCACAACGCTCACCTTGTAAGCACCCTGAACGATCGAAATGAAAAGAAAAGGAAGGGATCAAAGCCGAGCAAAGCAAAGCAAGCTCTGGAGCAACCCCAGCTCCAGAGCTTGCTTTGGAAAGACTCTTATCCACTACACAAGCTCTTATCCAGCTCTTATCCAGCTCTTATCCAGCTCTTATCTAGCTCTTCTCAAGCTCTTATCCAGCTCTTATCCAGCTCTTATCCAGCTCTTATCTAGCTCTTCTCAAGCTCTTATCCAGCTCTTATCCAGCTCTTATCCAGCTCTTATCCAGCTCACAAGTTTGGGCGGTGAAAAAAGCTAGACTTTAATGCCTTCAAAGCCTTATCTAGGCTTTAGTCTCACAAAATGAAACGCAAGGAACCTAGTAATCTAGCATCTAGATCTAGCAAACAAGTCCTTGTCTTTTCCATTTAGAGAAAGAAGGCAGATAGCTCCCAGCAATCTAGCTATCCCAGGTAGAGCATCTGGCTGTTAAGCAGAAGCAGAAGCAGAGGCATAAGCAGAAGCAGAAGCAGAAGCAGGAGCAGAAGCAGAAGCAGAAACAGAAACTGTAGTGATTATTGTTGGTTTAGATATAATCTTTATTACAGAAATAATAGTTGGTTCAATGGTTTGACATTGGGAGAGTAGAGGCACTCCACGGCACACACACCTCGGCAGCTCGTTCACATTGCTTTTATACGGAACTCGGGCGTTCGTCTCGTCTTCCACACAATGGAGTTGAACGGATAGCGACGCATATTAAATCTAGCACAATAGGCGTTCGTCCCCATAGGTGTCTAGCTGGCCATTTCCATACGTGGCAATCTCGATCACGAGACCGTCACGACAGAAGCAGAAGCAGAAGGTCAAGGTTTTCTTTGCCATTTTCTTTACCTGTTTGAGCACATTAAACGACGTCCTACAAGATGTTGATTGCAATGGAAGAGTCAATGATCCCTCTCCTAGAATCTCCCACCAAAATGTGGCCTCTTTTGGGAAATGTTTTGAACAAGCCGACACTTCAACAATGCCTAAAATCAGCAAAAGCATAATCTGTTTTTTTCATTCTCTTCACCAACCATATCTCCGTCGAAACTCCTCGAGAGAATTCGCAACAATTGGTGTTGTGTCATTGTCGAAAAACGAGGGTCTCCACGTTTCGATTGGGATAACTGTGTGAACAGGGACTATCTAAAAGCTTTAGGCTTTGATTTATTGCAAAATTTTGACTCTTAAGCTTTAGAATTCATAAATGCATCAAAAGCAATGCATCAATGCATCGATTAAGCATCAAAAGCTAGCAGCAAAAGAATTTTTCGCCTTTAACCGTTTAGCCGATCGTTTAGCCGATTCAACTCGCTCTATCTAGCACAGGAAATCAATTTTTCCCTGTAACAAAAGAGATTTAACAATTTAACAATAAAATCTAGGCTCAAATTGTTCGGATAAAGCCGATCATATCCTGTTATCAGCAAAATGATTCAGCTATTTCAACTATTTCATTCATTCACTAGATTCCAACGTGTTATTTCTCTTCTTCCCTTCTTTCTCTTCTTTCTATCAATTAAAAGATATCATAATACTTTACAATACAATACTTATTGCATTTGTAAAGTTAAAATAAAGCGAATTCAAGCGCAAAACAAAAACGAAAACAAAAGGAAGGAATCGAACCTGAGCAAAAAAGCTCATGGCCAGTTTGGGTAACAAGACTCCTATCCACTACACCACGAAGCCACAACTGAAGGCAGTCAAAGAAGCCTTGTATAAGCTTCAAAGTGAAACAGTGAACAAAAAAGAAATTTGGAAAAAAGTTAGAAAGTTAGTTAGAAAAAGTTAGCTCAGCCAAATTGCTCGTCCTTTGCGCCTGGACGTAAACTAAATCGATCTGGCACACGAAATTCCTCTTTTTTCTTAGCAGTTCGATATCACGAGAATAAATTGGGATTTCTGTGTGCCAGATCGATTTAGTTTACATCGGAGCGCAAAGAACGACCGATCTAGTTTCTATAGGCTTGGGAAAAATTGGGATTTCTGTGTGCCAGATCGTTTTAGTTTACGTCGAAGCGCAAAGAACGACCGATCTAGTTTCTATAGGCTTTTTTCACAGTCTCTTGCGCGTGTGGTGTAGTGGATAAGTGTCTTGGTTACGAGGCGAACTCTCGGATTTTTGCTCGGGTTCGATCCCTTTCTTCTGTTTTCACTCATATTTATGAGGTTTTCATGATTTCATGGTGTTTTAATCGCTCAAATTCACTCTATTAGTATTTTGGCCTGTTTAAATTGCTACGAAATTGCTAAGAAACAAAATAACACAAATGGCAGCATTCAATAAAGTAAATGAAACACAAGATGTCTTTAAGATGTCTGAGTGAATGATTTCTTAGAGCTGAATCCAGCTGAATCCAGTCTCAGAGCTGAATCCAGCTGAATCCAGTCTCAAAGCTGAATCCAGCTCTTCACAAACCGTGTTATCCCAAAGGAACACGAAGAATCTCGGCCAATTATTCAGCAATTGAAAGAAATAAAGGAATGACGGGGTGTTGAGCATGATTTGAATTGAGAGAAACTAATGAGAACGAGAAATATTCGAGGTGATAAAGGGGCGGGGAGGGACAGGCTCGACTGGAGGGGACTGGAGGGGACCACGTCCTGTCGGCGAGATCAAAGCCTCTCCCCCGGGTGCCCCTTTTCGATCATTCCTCCTTTTCCCTATATTCTTTTCTCATTTCTTTCTCATTTCTTTTCTCATTTCTTTCTTTTCCCTATATTCTTATATCAACTTTCTCCCCTGATTCTCTTTCTTGAAGGGAAATGTTTCCGTCTCCAACTCCAAATTGATGTGTGACTTTTAGAGATTTACGAGCAACAATCATTACGGGTTTTTGAAAGTTAGATAAATAAATAATGGATAAATTGGCGCTGGATTTTCTTTAATGTTCTTTATGCTAAAGCTTCATAATTTCAAAGCTTTTTGAAGATTTTCACTTGAAATCTCAGTGTTTAGAGCACATTTAGAGTTTAGACTTACAAGGGAGCTGACTGAGTCGGTTAAATGCTATTCGAGCTATACCATTTGACGCAGAATTTGATGCTGATTCCGAATCTATATTCCGTTCTTGCTAAATGACAATCTGTCAAGAGTTATAAGCGTTTAAAGTTTTGTTAGGACGTAGGAAGAAGTCAAGTTTCTTAGCGTCTTAGCGGCCTCCTTGCGATCTCCTAGCGGCTTCCTTGCGCACCCGATTCAGTGCTGCTGTGGCCGAGTGGTACAGCGTTCGCTTCCAGAGCGAGACCTCACAGGTTCGATCTCGTCAGCTAGAAAAATCCAGAGTGAGGATCGAACTTGTGAGGTCTCGCTCTGGAAACGGACGATCTACCACTCGGCCACAGCTGCACCTAATCGGGTCCGCAAGAAGGCCGCTAGGAGACCGCAAGAAGGCCTTTAGGAGACCGCTAAAACCCAAATGTTCTAACAAAACTTTAAACTCTTATAACTCTTGACAGATTGTCATTTAGCAAAAACGGAATATAGATTCGGAATCAGCATCAAATTCTGCGTCGAATGGTATAAGTATCATAGCATTTGGCTGGCTCTGAGCTAAGCTATTCGCCTTCTTTTCCCAAGAAGAAATAGAAAAGACAAGAAAGAGAAAGAAAGAAAGAAAGAAAGAATATGCCAAGATCCGTTCGTTTGCAAGAGCCCAGAGTACGCTTGGAATCGGATTTCCAGAATCTCGATTTTGTTATTTTGCTTTCAATCTACAATCGCTGGATCCCTTTGTGCTTTGCCCGTCCCTTGTCGGTATTTCCCTTTGATCTCGATCAAGAGGTGCCCATTCATTTCAAGCTCTCCCCTTTCCTTTGACACTTCTCTCATTTTTCTTTTCTCGAGATCTCGGGATCTTGAATTCTTTCAAGAATTTCAAATCATGAGATGAAAATCGGCAAATATTACATTGACAACAAGATCGATCGATTGAAATGACACTGAAGGGATTGGTGAGATAGACTTCTGGACTGCTGGACTGCTGGACTGCTGGACTGCTGGACTTCTGGACTTCTGGACTTCTGGACTTCTGGACTTCTGGACTGCTGGACTGCTGGACTGCTGGACTGCTGGCCTTCTGGACTGCTGGACTTCTGGACTTCTGGACTGCTAGACTTCAAAAGCTGGACTTCAAAAACTGGACTTCAAAAGCTGGACTTGAAAAGTTGAACTTAAAGAATTATGCAACTCTGGAAATCTGTAAACCATAGAAGAAAGAAAAATCGAAACTTAAAGCATAGATTTTCAGATTTGTAAGTACAGTCGACTCTCGATTTAACGATTTAACGATCTCGATACGGTAATACTTAAATGATCCTCAGATTACTGTAGTTGCTGTAGGTACTGTAGGTACTGTAGGTGCTCTAGGTACTGTAGGTGCTGTAGGTGCTGTAGGTGCTCTAGGTACTGTAGGTGCTCTAGGTACTGTAGGTGCTCTAGGTAATGTAGGTGCTCTAGGTACTGTAGGTGCTCTAGGTACTGTAGGTGCTCTAGGTACTGTAGGTGCTCTAGGTAATGTAGGTGCTCTAGGTACTGTAGGTGCTCTAGGTACTGTAGGTGCTCTAGGTAATGTAGGTGCTCTAGGTACTGTAGGTGCTCTAGGTACTGTAGGTGCTGTAGGTGCTGTAGGTGCTCTAGGTACTGTAGGTGCTCTAGGTACTGTAGGTGCTCTAGGTACTGTAGGTGCTCTAGGTACTGTAGGTGCTCTAGGTAATGTAGGTGCTCTAGGTACTGTAAGTACTGTAGCTGAAAATGTGAATTTGTCTAATATTCTAAAAGAAAATCGACCGGCGCCACCCCTGATTTCTGTCATAAATTGTCGCAAAGGAATCGCAAAAGAATTAACAAAAGAATCAACAAAAACTGCAATAAATTTCGCTCATTTTAACGTCATATTTCAATTGATTTCTTTTTGAAGAAAGATAGAGATTTTAAATTGAAATTAAATTGAAATTTCCTTTGATATCATTTCCTTTCTTTCCTTTCTTTCCTTTCTTTCCTTTTAGCGGCAAATTTCAAAGGGGAAATCAAAAGCAAAACGCTTTGATTTCCTTTCAAACTTTTCAGAAGAGAACTTTTGAAATTTTCATAAACAAATTCAGCTTAAAATGCTGAAAATGCTTAAAAGCTAAAAGAATAAAGAATTCAGTGCACAGGAAAGCGTGCGTTTAGTCAAAGAACACCAGAAAGAACAGTTGTGATTTTGAAATGAGAAAAAAATCATTTATCAATTGAATTTTCTAATAATGGACACTTTGATTAGAAGAAGTTTCACGGTAAACTACAATCAGAACCACAACAACAATCAGACAATATACCCGTCTCTTTTTTGGGGACAAAATCTAGAATCAGAGGTCGGTAATAGAGAGAGAAAGGAATGGTAAAGATATTGGAGCAGAACCGGGATCCCAGGACTCAATCCCAGGGAATTGAACCCTGGGACCCTCACCTGGGACCCTAGACCCTGGGATTGAACCCTGGGACCCTGGGATTGAATCCTGGGACCCTGGACCCTGGGATTGAATCCTAGGACCCTGGACCCTGGGATTGAATCCTGGGACCCCGGGGCCCTGGGATTGAATCCTGGGACCCTGGGACCCTGGGATTGAACCCTGGGACCCTGGGATTGAACCCTGGGACCCTGGACGCTGGGGTTGAACCCTGGGACCCTGGGACCCTGGGATTGAACCCTGGGACCCTGGGATTGAATCCTGGGACCCTGAACCCTGGGATTGAATCCTGGGACCCTGGACCCTGGGATTGAACCCTGGGACCCTGAGGTTGAATCCTGGGACCCTGGACGCTGGGGTTGAACCCTGGGACCCTGGGACCCTGGGATTGAACCCTGGGACCCTGGGATTGAATCCTGGGACCCTGAACCCTGGGATTGAATCCTGGGACCCTGGACCCTGGGATTGAACCCTGGGACCCTGAGGTTGAATCCTGGGACCCTGGGGTTGAATCCTGGGATCCTAGGATTGAACCCTGGGACCCTGGGATTGAATCCTGGGATCCTGGGATTGAACCCCGGGACCCTGGAGCCCGGGATTGAACCATGGGCCCTCACCTGGGCCCCTGGAGCTTGGGATCGAACCATGGGCCCTCACCTGGGCCCCTGGACCCTGGGACCTTCTGCTTACCTTCCTCTTCTGCTCGATGCTCAACCACTGAGCTATCCGCCTTGTTTCTCAGAGAAATTAGAAAATATAAGAGAGATGATTGAGCTTGAATACAAATACAAAATAGAACTTTAAATTATGAGAATTTAGTGATATTTCGTGATTTCACAAGGCTTCTCCCTCGATTTCATCGGCTTTCTCGACCCGGCGATATTTTCGACGAATTGCTGACGATTCCAATAAAAGTTCCCAAGAGCTGAAAGCTGATGATCATTTTGAATCTCAGGGCCTTTAGGGCTTTTGTTTTGCCTGATTTCGCTAAATGTTTGTGCTTCTTTGTGCGCTAGAAAAGGTGTGTTTAGAATTTGGGCGCACAAATTGCCCTACAAAAACTTCAATTTTCGACTATTTTGACGACTAGCTTTGTAGAGATTTATTCGAACTTTAACTAAAAAATGTAAACGCAATCTTTCTAGTGCACTGAATTCTTCATTTTTGGTCGCAACATCGCAAGAAAACTGTAGAATCCGGTGCGCTAGATCGAAAATGTTTCCCACAATTTTTCGAGCACAAAGTACGCCGTGGACAATTCTTACATTACAGCACTGGACACGCTAGAAGAGCTACTGTAAGCGTACTGTAGCGTACTGTAGCGTACCGTACAGTAAGCGTACTGTAGCGTACCGTATCGTACTGTACAGTAAGCGTACTGTAGCGTACCGCATCGTACTGTACAGTAAGTGTACTGTAGCGTACTGTAACGTACCGTATCGTACTGTAGCGTACCGTATCGTACTGTAGCGTACCGTATCGTACTGTACAGTAAGCGTACTGTAGCGTACTGTAGCGTACCGCATCGTACTGTACAGTAAGTGTACTGTAGCGTACTACGTCTGGGTTTTGGATACGATAAGAAAAATCTACTATATAAAAGAGTTTCTGTCCGTCTGCCGGCTTTTTCTCAGGCATCTTTGAGCCAAAAAGCTTAGGTTTTTTAAAAATTCTTAAAATCAAATATAGTTATTAAAATAATGTAATATGATATGATATAATATAATAATATCGTCTAATAATTAAAAAATGCAAAGCCGTTTGGCACCACGGGGGGTCGAACCCGGCCTAACGGGGGAGGGACGTGCGGGCGATAGACAAACGCCCTCCCGACTGCGCCACGGCGACAAAGAGTCCGTCGAAGAAAAAACCAGGTGAAAATCTCGACTAATGGCGGATCCGCTGATCCGATCCATGGCGGGGATTTTCAACTGATTTTTTTCTCGCTGCACCCTTTGTCGTCGTGGCGTAGTCGGGAGTGCGCTTGTCTACAACCTGCATCCCCCTCCCCCCAGTGCCGGGTTCGACCCCCCGTACTGCCAATGAATTTCGAAATTTTATTTTTTTTCAAACTTTTAGCTAGATAAACTCACTGTTAGGTGAATTTAAGATATTTTGGTTGATTAGCTGTTAGCTTAGGCTGTTAGCTTAGGCTGTTAGCTTAGGCTGTTAGCTTAGGCTGTTAGCTTAGGCTGTTAGCTTAGGCTGTTAGCTTAGGCTGTTAGCTTAGGCTGTTAGCTTGGCTGTTAGCTTAGGCTGTTAGCTTAGGCTGTTGCTTGGCTGTTGCTGGCTTTAGCTTAGGCTGTTAGCTTGGCTGTTAGCTTGGCTGTAGCTTAGGCTGTTAGCTTAGGCTGTTAGCTTAGGCTGTTAGCTTAGGCTGTTAGCTTAGGCTGTTAGCTTAGGCTGTTAGCTAATCAGCTAATCAATGCTAGCTAACAGCTAATCAACGAAAGCTAGCTGCTAGCTACCCTATGAAAGGTCAACAATGGAAAAAGTCCAACTAATAAGCCCACCTAACAGCGAGTTTACCTAACCCTAGCTTTATTCATTATGAAATTTTCAAAAATCTAAAACCAACCGATGCGTGATGACGACGACAGCCGTGTAGACGAGAAGAAGAACGAAAAAGAGAATCAACAAGAAGGTCCATTTGATGAGAATCTCCCTGCCCATTCCCTCGACTAACACGAAAAGAACCATTGAGAAAACGACGCCAGTTGAACTAGAAAGAGTACGGTAAATGTTTTGAATACAGTTTTTAAAAGACACTTTATCTACTGTAGTCCTAGCGTCGATTTCTACTGTTTAAAGCTCTCTTAGCCAGCTCTCTTAGCCAGCTCTCTTAGCTCTCTTAGTCAGTCTTAGCTCTCTTAGCCAGTCAGAGTCAGATCTGGAGCTGGCCTCTGACTGGCTTCTGGCTGATTTACAGATCGCTGATTATCAAATCAGCTGAATTACAATCACTTCCCATCTCTTGTTTTCTAGAACTCACCAAAAGATAAAAGCGACAACGAGGAAGAGGACGTCGAGGACGAGATGCACGACGAAAAGTGATCGAGATGGGAGACAAACCGAGAGAAATGATGGCATACAACAAACACATTGGATTACGCACCTCAAAAAGGATCTTTTCTCTTGATTTCAAGAGATTTTTATCTCTTGAATCTTCTCCCCAAAATAAGCTAATAAGTTTCCAAATTTCTCTTAAATTTTAGATCAATAAAGCCTAAGATCCTCTTGCCATTGGCAATCTAACTTTGAACTCAAATATCTCGGTGTTGCTTTGTCCAATTGAAATGGCTTTTATACCAATCTATAGAGAAAAACTTAGCGAATCTAATGATACTAAGAATATTTCAATTGGAAAGCTCAACACCGAGATATTTGAGTTCAAACTTGGGTTGCCAATGGCAAAAGAGGCGGGGCATGTATGTCGCACAATTTGGCTATCTTTACCCGCAAATTCTGGATTCTATTAAACCAATAGCAGTAGTTAAATTGAGAAAACAATGCGATCACCAATGAGAAATGGATCTCTTCATTTTCCTTGAATTGTGTGCCCCGTTCTACTACTGTATTTTCTCTAACAGTAGTGCACCCTGAGCGTCGCTTAAATTACTCGACGATGCTTAGCTGACGATGAGATCTAGTGGGGGATTTGAGAGTTGAGCTTCTGCAACTTCTGCAGCTTCTGCAGCTTTTACAGCTTCAGCAGCTTCCACAGCTTCACAGTGAAGCCTTTAGAAGTCAAGCCTTTAGAAGTCAAGCCTTCATTTTTGTCGTTGTTCCCTTGTTAGCTATCTTTTCCCTTTCTTTTCCCCTTTCTTTTCCCCTTTTTCCCTTTTCCCCTTTTCCCCGCACTCACCAAACATCAAAAAGCGTTCTCGCAATGCAAATCGCCGAATCAGCAAACGATTGCAGATTATCCTGAGATTTTTGATATAAAATCGTCGTTATCGTTATACATACCCCAAAAATATCAATCGTTTGCTCATTCTTCGGCATCGGCGCTTTCTCAGGCGGCTCTCCTGGAGCTTTTGACGAGTACCGATCGTATTTATCACCGTCTAAAGGAGAAATTTGGATATTATAAGGATTCATAATCGATTATCATTATATAAACTAGATAAAATTCATAATATTATCGAGTTTTTAATGTTTTTTGATGTTTTTGATGTTTAAACTCTTCTTTTCACCTCCTCTTCGATCAAAACCCGGTTTCACCTCAATCGGAACATTTTTTGATGTCGGCAGCTCACCATATCTAAAGATTTTGATCTTAAAACCCTCAGAATCTTATTTAAGCTCTAAAATTAGCATTTAAAGACTAACCTAGTGATTACAGTAGTTCTTCGGGGTTCCTCAGTGACATCAACCTGAAGAGAGTCCAAGCGAACGATCGATCGCTCCGTCGTGCCCATTGGTTTCATTGTGGCCTTGAAAAAGAGCAAGATTACTGTAACAGGACTAGTTTAGATCACGTACTAATGGATTACGGTAGAAAAAGCAGGCTTTAAAGTGTCTACAATTAGCTGAGAATTATCTACTTTATCGAACAGCTAGATTAACATCAATTTTCTTCTTCCTTTCTTCTTTCTTTCTTCTTTCTTTCTTCTTTTTAGTTTTTCTCTTCATCCAAACAAGAAATAAAGTTCAAAGTCGATAAAAACGTGTAAAATACTCCTATTGTAAATCCTGTAATTGAACGATAGTCTAACTTCAGTCTTCAGAACGGTTCAGTTGCTTAGTCTTTTTAGAAAATCAACCCCTAGATCTTTCCGATCTTTTTCTCAGTCCCTAGATCTTTCCAAACTTAACTTTTGATACCAAAAAAATACTAGATTTCAAGAGCTATCATATGACACGCAAATGCACACTGTAGCATAAAGCAGTGTGGAGAACAGGACGTCTAAAGTTAGACTACCCGACTGTACGCTCGTCATTATGGGGGCCGTTCTATTAGAGGATTTATGATGATATTCTAAACTTTGATAGCAATAAAGATTCGTCAAACAAGAAAGACAAAGAAGCCAAAGAAGCCAAAGAAGCCAAGGAAGCCAAGGAAGCCAAAGAAGCCAAAGAAGATAAAGAAGCCAAAGAAGCCAAGGAAGACAAAGAAGCCAAAGAAGCCAAGGAAGCCAAGGAAGCCAAAGAAGCCAAAGAAGCCAAAGAAGACAAAGAAGACAAAGAAGCCAAAGAAGCCAAAGAAGCCAAGGAAGACAAAGAAGCCAAAGAAGCCAAAGAAGACAAAGAAGCCAAAGAAGCCAAAGAAGCCAAAGAAGCCAAGGAAGCCAAGGAAGACAAAGAAGCCAAAGAAGCCAAAGAAGACAAAGAAGCCAAAGAAGCCAAAGAAGCCAAGGAAGCCAAGGAAGACAAAGAAGCCAAAGAAGCCAAAGAAGCCAAAGAAGCCAAAGAAGCCAAAGAAGCCAAAGAAGACAAAGAAGCCAAAGAAGCCAAGGAAGCCAAGGCAGCCAAAGAAGCCAAAGAAGCCAAAGAAAGTCTATTAAAGTCCTTAAAATTAAAAGAAAGTCGCTTTAAGGCCTTCAATTGAGTCAAAGAAAACACTAGAACATATTGTATTTGTGTCGTTTCATTAAAAGAATTAAGTCAAATTTGAGTGGCAGGGATCGAACCCGGATTGTGCGGGCTGTAGACAAGCGCGCTCCTGACTACATCACGGTGACTTACCTCCAAAACATTCATATTTCTTAGCTGATCTTTTTATAAACGAAGCTAACCTGTATCCTGTGTCCCTCCTCGACTTTCTTCTTCCAATTGCTGAACGAGTCGCCTGGATTCGGTTCTGGAATTGAGTGACTACAGCTGACAATACTAGAAACAAATCTACTGTGGCAGGACTGTAGCTCTGCTCTGATATTGATTTGATATTGGATCAATGGAAAGGAAAAGCTTGCTCTTGAGGTTCCAGGGTAGAGCTACAGTATCCTTTGACAACTACAGTATCCTTTGGTGACTACAGTACCTTACAGTATTGCCAGGACAAAGCTACAGTAACCCGAAAGTTATTTAGCACAGTACTATGTCCTATGTACTGTACAGTATGTCCCATGTACTGTACAGTATGTTCCATGTACTGTACAGTATGTCCCATGTACTGTACAGTATGTTCCATGTACTGTACAGTATGTCCCATGTACTGTACAGTACTATGTCCTATGTACTGTACAGTACTATGTCCTATGTACTGTACAGTATGTCCCATGTACTGTACAGTACTATGTCCTATGTACTGTACAGTATGTCCCATGTACTGTACAGTATGTCCCATGTACTGTACAGTACTATGTCATATGTACTGTACAGTATGTTCTTAGTACTGTACAGTACTATGTACTATGTACTATGTACTGTACAGTATGTCCCATGTACTGTACAGTACTATGTACTATGTATTGAGCAGTACTATGTCTTGTGCTCTGCAGTACTACGTGATATGTACTGTAGAGTACTACGTGCTATGCAATGTACATTAATATGTACTATGCACTATGTACTGTGCAGTAATATGCACTATGTACTGCACAGTACTATGTACTATGCACTATGTACTGTACAGTCCTATGTACTATTTACTGTACAGTACTATGTACTATCTACTGTACAGTCCTATCTACTATCTACTGTACAGTACTATGTACTATCCACTGTACAGTACAGTACTATGCACAAATTCTCATCAATAACTCATTTACCTTGAAACTCGTGTGCACTTTGCATGGTGGTTGTGATTGGAATGGTCTCCTGAACCCTCAAAATCGGTTCTTTATCCATCTTTATTTCCTCTTTCTTTTCCACAAGCGTCTCCATCGTTGTCGTACTCCTTTGTTGTCTCTGGATGACTTTCTCAAACTCAATCTCAATCGCATTTGTCGTAGTTGTCTCAATTTTCGGCTTCATCGTCGTTTTAACAAGATCCTCAAAAACCTCGAATACGTTAAATGATCCAAATTCAGTTTCCAAATCTTCCAATTCTAGCTTCGGGTTCGTTTTCGTTTTCGGAGTCGATGCCAAATCGAAAGTGATCGGTTGAAGAATGACTGACTGATGGGAGGCTTCTTCTCTAAGAATTTATAAATAAATATTCAGTTATAAGATTTGTTCTAAGATAAATAAGACTTCTTTTCTCTTTTAGATATTTTATACACTACTGGAAAATGAAAGATGATATTTGAAAAACGATCGTCACTTTCTTCACTTTCGCGCGTCTGTAACTCCCTTGTCTTTACCGTATTTCTAAATATTAATATGACCATTGTGTAGCCCTTGAAAAGAGCTTTCAGAAAATGTATAACACTAATAGTTTAAACTCAAAGACAAGGGGAACTCTGGAGCTGGAGCTCAGGAGCTCTGGAGCTCTGGAGCTGGAACTCTGGAACTCTGGAGCTGGAGCCCCGGATCTCTGGAGCTCTGGAGCTCTGGAGCTGGAACTCTGGAACTCTGGAACTCTGGAACTCTGGAACTCTGGAGCTGGAGCGCCGGATCTCTGGAGCTCTGGAGCTGAAACTCTGGAACTCTGGAGCTGGAGCTCAGGAGCTCTGGAGCCCTGGAGCTCTGGAGCCCCGGATCTCTGGAGCTGGAACTCTGGAACTCTGGAACTCTGGAGCTGGAGCTCAGGAGCTCAGGAGCTCAGGAGCTCAGGAGCTCAGGGCTCAGGAGCTCAGGAGCTCAGGAGCTCAGGAGCTCAGGAGCTCAGGAGCTCAGGAGCTCAGGAGCTCAGGAGCTCAGGAGCTAATAGTTTAAACTCAAAGACAAGGGAGTTACAGGCGCGCGAAAGTGAAAATCGTTTTTCAAATATGATATTTCATTGTCCAGTGCTGTATCTTCTTATCTGGTACCCTAGTAGTAGATAGAGTACTTTTTGATTAAAGACTAAACCTCTAGTCATACAAAGAAAGCCTATGAAACTAGAGGACGGTAACTGGGATACGGTAAGTCGGGTTTTTCGGCTTTTTAAAGTACTCATTAATAATGCTTAACAAGCCTGAGAACAAGCGCTTAACGAGCCTGAGAACAAGCTAAGAAACAAGCTGAGAAACAAGCTGAGAACAAGCTAGGAACAAGCTGAGAACAAGCTAAGAAACAAGCTTCGATATTTTCAAATATTCAATTAAAACTCACTTTGTTGGCACAGTCCCAGCCGGGAAAAGAGTCGTGAAATTGAGCTCATCCAGGTGCCACATTAAACGGGTTGAGTCAGTGATCTATAGTTTTTCGTTAGAATCAGTACCGCATCAAGAGATTATTAAACATTTGATACGCCCCTACCCCGAAATCGAACTTTGAGCTCAAATATCTCGGCGTTGAGCTGTTCAATTGAAATCTTTTTTGTATCATTAGATTCACCAAGTCAAGTTCTCTATCGATTGTTATCAAAACTATTTAAATTGATCAGCTGGACACTAAGAAATTTGAGCTTAAAGTTAGATTGCCAATGGCAATGATCGATGAATGGAATATTCTATGCAAGCCCTTTCGGTTTCAAAAAAATTTTTGTGATTCAAAGATTTAAGCTCAAAGATTGCGGTTATATTGCGGGGCTGAGCGTTTCAAATATCTGAAAATCGTATTCAAATTCACCTTTAACTTGGCCGGCTTCTTGCTTGCCGTTTTCATTGCATAGCCACGGATATGACCTAGGATTTTTGGTTTGATGAATTTGATTGAGCTTTGAGTATTTGAAAGCTTTGAGCATTAAAGCTTTGAGTATTTGAAAGCTTTGAGTATTTGAAAGCTTTGAGAGCTTTAAAGCTTTGAGTATTTGAAAGCTTTGAGCATTCAAGCATTAAAGCTTTGAGTATTTTAAAGCTTTGAAATCTCTTAAACTTTGAAATCTCTTAAAAAGCTTTACAGATTACAGAAAAAACCTCTTAAAAAGCTATTTTAGCAAAGGGAATGCTTGAATTTCATTGAGAAACAATTGAGTGCGACAGGGAGGGTATATTTCCACAAGCACAAGCCAGGGCTTTGAGCACAAGCCTAATCTCATGCAAATAATAAAACCTTTATTGGTGAAGTGTGGATCGTGTGGATCGAGAGCACCGGAAAGGAATGGTGAATGATTTGGAGTCGGTGTGGAGAAATGAGATGACGAAGATTGTGGTGATTGGGGGATTGATGGAGAAACGAGGTGACGTGGGAATTTGGTGGTGAAGTGACGGGCGAGTGAAGCTGTGAAGCTGGAAGACGGTGAAGCTGGAAAAGGAAAGGGGACATGCTGGAAGGAAATGAAAAATGTGCAGAAAATGATTAGAAGAACTTTGGATAAGTAAATTTGGGACTAATACTAGTAGGATGAATAGTTGATCAAAGAAATCTGCTCATCGAATCGAGCTGGAGTCGAGCTTCGTTTTCTTGGAGTCAGACTCTCTAGCATTCTACCAATTCCACTAATCTGACGAATTCTAGATAAAAACGGAACTGTTTACCATACTTCCCTCTCTTCTTCCTCTCTTTCTTCCTTCCTTCCTTTCTTCCCATCCCTTCCCTCTCACTCACCCCGATCTCCTTCATCGTTTCTATCAAGAATCTCCGTCTCATTTCTGTTCTTTTTCCCTTTTCCTTTCTTTCCTTTACCTAAAATCTCTATTCTTATGTTTTCTTTTATTTTTCAAACCTTTTCCTTTCTTCTTTCCTTTTCCTTTTCTCGGTTTTGTGGTGGTTGAAGGCTCTTCGTTCTCCTGGAATTGAGATTTTTGTGTTCAGAAACAGATTACATATGGTTTAGCTGATAAAAACCGAACCCAGACCTGGCCTAGCCCTTGGTTCGGCTTGGCAGAACCAAGGGCTAGGCTTGGCAGAACCAAGGCCAGGGCTTGGCAGAACCAAGGGCTAGGCTTGGCAGAACCAAGAACTAGGCTTGGCAGAACCAAGGGATAGGCTTGGCAGAACCAAGGGATAGGCCTGGCAGAACCAAGGGATAGGCCTGGCAGAAGCCAAGCCGGACCAATAGAAATCAATAAAAGCCGGACTGGAGAATAGGAATTCTAGAATATAAAATAAATCTAGAATTTGCATAATATCCACCGGTCTTCTGAGTGAGATATTATTAAAATAAAGTAATGAATGGCAAAGAATGGCAGAGAACCCTCGATCGTTTTTCCTTTCCAAGCTGATGCTCAGCTCAGCTATCCGGTATCTTCTTGCTAGAGAAGAAAGAAGATTTACAAGAGGAAAGGGAAGGAAAGAAGGAAAGAGGGAAAGAGGGAAAGAAGGAAGGAAAGAAAGAAGGAAAGAAGGAAAGAGGGAAAGAGGGAAAGAAGGAAAGAGAAGGAAAAGAGAAAAGAGAATGAAATGCCAACTTCTGGTGAATTCAAACGATACTAAAGTCGTGCTAAAGTTGAAAGACTTACTTGTAAACTCTTCTCCACCTCACTTCCATCATCATGAACCTCTTCAATTTCCCCAATAACTCCATCTCCGATTCCCATTTTGCCCTTTTCTTCTCCAGATTCTCTCGCGACGATTCGCGGTGGTTTCACTGGTTGCGGGAGACGAATTGGAGGACGGAGACTGAAAAGTTAATGAAGTTAATGAAGGAATAGATATGCTTGAAATGAAGGAATAGATATGCTGAAATGCTGACATGCTGAAATGCTGGCAAGCTGCATGGCTGTGTCCAGAGATATTGATATCATTGTTATTATTATTATTATTATTATTATTATTATTATTATTATTATTATTATTATTATTATTAGTATTATTATCATTATTACTATTATTATCATTATCATCATCATTATTATTAACTCCAAGCCCTCAACTCTCATTTCCCAAACTACAACCATGCAGCATGCCAGCATTTCAGCATTTCAGGCATATCTATTCCTCAACTCTCATTTCCCAAACTGACCGATCGATCTGATCGATCTGATCAACTTCTCCATCGTTTTCCCTCATTTTCATCACTGGTTGTCTCACTCTTTCCTTCTTTTTCTTTTTCATTCCATCAATTGGTATATCCAATCCATTTTTCGGTTGTTTTGTCTCGATTCTAAAGTTTTTCTTTGTTTGTCTCGATTCTAAAGCTATTTTCTGCAGATTTTCCAAAAGCTCATTACCGATTTCTGATCGTTTTTGTGCGAATCGTGTTCCCGCCAGTCGATTGAAGGAGTTGAATGCGGCTTGTTTGCTAAAATTTGTAGGCAATTTGTGGGCATGGCCATTTTGTGGCCATTTTGTAGGCTAAAATTTGTGACCACAAAAGCTAAACGGTTTCTCGAATTTTTGAAGCTAATTTTGAAAAGGTAACGAGATTTTTTTGCCTTACGAACCACCGGCTGAGTTTCCTGCGTATCCGACTTTTTTCGACCCATCAAACCGAAACGGGGATCAAGGATTGGATCATCGCTTAAAAGTTGAACATTTCATTTGAAAAAAAATCGATGATTCTTTACGTTAACTTTGAGTTTTAATTGATTTAATTGTTTTAATTGATTTAATTGATGGAATTTGTTAAAAAACGTTCTTTAAAAGTTGATTATTGGGCTGGTGAATTGAAAACTGCGGGACTTTGAACTAAACACAAAACCATCAATTCATTTCAAATAATTTCCATTATTATTGACGACTTCTCCCCATTTTACAGGCAATTTGCGGATTCCTCTTTCGTTGTAGGGTTTTGGTTTTGAATCAAAAAACTTTCAAAGCCAATTTTTGACTGCTTCTTCCGGATCGAAGTGTTCTCCCGCAAGCTCATTACTCATGGTCCGGAATAAATAGTAATCAAAAGGAGCTGGACTGTATGGGGAATGCGCCAAAAGTTCCCAAACAAGGCTGTTTATTTTAGAGCGAGTCACTTTTGTCAGACAAGTGTGAGACTCAAAAATGGAGTACTGGAGATCTGGAGATGTCCCAGTTTGAGCACTTTCTTCAAAAGAAACCCATTTTGGTCTCAACAGAAAAGTTGTAGAGAATCAAAAATTATATCCAAATTTTCAAAAAGATACACTTAGTAGTTTCGCTTAAAATGCAAGTTTGCAAAAAAAATGCAATGCATTCGTAAATTTGGGCATTTCTTGAAAACCATTTTTTGAATCGTTCTGAAAATTTGGATACAAGCTTAGTTTTCGATTCTCTACAACTTTTCCATTGACACCAAAATGGGTTTCTTTTAAAGAAAGTCCTGAAACTGTCACATATGACAATAGCCGGCAGTTTTCAAATTCACCAACCCAATAAATTAAAAATAATGATTAAAAAAGTAATTAAACAAATTGGGTTTAATTTCATTTTACTTTAAATCAATTTAAAGGAATTCCCTCTTGAAATAATAAAATTCTGACGACAGATGCCTTTCGGACCGTCCACCGTACACTTTGCCTTTCAGACGTTTCCGCGCCAAACGTCGGAAACTACCGTAACCCGACGCAATAAAAGGACCCCGCCACAAAGAATTTTTCATTTTTCATTTTTCAGTCTTTCGTCGTGTTTTATTTTTTCAGTCTTTCTTTTCTTTTTTTCCATTGACACCTAAATGGATTTCTTTTGAAGAAAGTGTTCAAACTGTCACATATGACAATAACCCGCAGTTTTCAATTCACCAACCCAATAAATTAAAAATAATAATTAAAAAAGTAATTAAACAAATTGGGTTTAATTTCCTTTTACTTTAAATCAACTTAAAGGAATTCCCTCTTGAAATAATAAAATTCTGACGACAGATGCCTTTCGGACCGTCCACCGTACACTTTGCCTTTCAGACGTTTCCGCGCCAAACGTCGGAAACTACCGTAAGCCGATGCAATAAAACGACCCCGCCACAAAGAATTTTTTAGTCTTTCGTCGTGTTTTATTTTTTCAGTCTTTTTTTTCTTTTTTTTTCTATTGACACCAAAATGGGTTTCGTTTGAAGAAAGTGCTCAAACTGTCACATATGACAATAGCCCGCTATTTGGTTCCTATTTGGTTCCCATTTAGTTCCTATTTAGTTCCTATTTGGTTCCTATTTAGTTCCTATTTAGTTTTTTGTAGTTCCTAGTTTTCAATTCACCAACCCAATAGTAAGCTGAAAACAGATGTTTTTTTGCCTTAGAAAAACTAAAAAACTAAAGAAAACTTCAATCATATGATGTTTTTAGTGAGCTCTGAATGAAAAATGACTTCTTGACGATGAATTTTTCTTTTAACTAGCAAAACTTGCTCATTCTCCTCATTCTCCTCATTCTCCTCATTCACTCACTCATTTTGCCTTTTCTCTCTCTTCAATTGCTCGTAACGTCCCTCTTTTCCAATGTCGATTTTCTTTTGATTGTCGTTGAGATCCTTTTCCCTTTGAATCCAATCCACAAGCGCACATCCTTTGTCGATTTCCCAGTATTCTGATATAGATATGAGTCTAGATTTAATTCTAATAATTTAATTTAATTCTAAATCTAATTAGAAATAGTCGAAATCGAATTCTTACCTCTCACCAACCATCCGGCCAAAATCGCGAATTTAAATGAGAGAACCGCCGCCAGAAGAAGCCACGGGGCACAGCCGAGATAACGAGTTTTACTTAAAGAGTTCAAGATATTTAAAAACTATTTTTTACATGAAAAATGTCTCACTTTTGGCTTTGAACCAACCCAGAAAAGGTTGGTTCAAAGCCAAAAGCCAGACAAAGTAATTGTTGATTTGAATCTTCATGAAAGGTAACAGATTTCGGAGAGGCAAACGCCATCCTGTAGATTTTGAATTCAGACCTTTGTCAAATCTTTTCAAGCAGCTTTGTCATTGCCAATTCCTTCTTTACTAATAATACAAGTGATTCTAAAAAATCCGTTTTGAAAGAGTGAAAAAGATCTATTCATTAGACATGGTTATCGGACTGGATCAGATCGGATCCGTTTAACCGATAGGGCTAGCTCGATCCGATTCGTCCGACCGATAGGGCTAGCCCAGTCCGATCCGTTTAACCGATAGGGCTAGCTCGATCCGATTCATCCGACCGATAGGGCTAGCTCGATCCGATCCGACCGGGCTAGTTTAACCGACCAGGCCGACCCGATCCTATGCATGCTCTTTTTACAGGGTTGTCCAGGATTACGGGGACCAAAGAGCTTTAAACTTAGGTTTCCATAATCCTGGACAATCCTGGACATCCTGGACATCCTGGACATTCTCCCACCTCTGATGCTTCCTCCGTATAATCGATCCGGCTCGTAGATCGATTCTCGACTCGTTTCCCGAATCCGAACCAATCATCGATGTGCTTCTAAAAGAAAAGTATTGAATTCGAAAGTTAATCAAGTTCAAATAAAGAAAGCCATCAATTATAAAATGCATTTATAGCTTGGTTCAAAGACACATAAATCTCTCATAGATTTATTTGAATAAAATCTTTATATCTCTAAAATCTCTCATATCTTTTCAAGCTTTCACTCAAAAATAGAACCCAATAACCTCTAAAAAGGGGAGTGGGACAAATGCGACCTTTTTTTTGCGCACCCGGACATTTGCGCACCTTTTTTTCCGCACCTTGCCCATTAACGCACCTTTTTTCGCGTTTTAAAAAAGCTCTAAAAGCTAATATTAAACAATTTCTATTCCGAAAGTTGTTTTTCTGTTTTTCTAGGTAATTTTAGGGCGTAGAATCGAAATTTTGGCATAACAGAGTTTGTGGAAACAAACGGACGGAGTTATTCAAAAAGAAAAATCGACAATTTTCTGTAATTTGATCTAGCCGTTTTGTCTTTCAAATTGGTTCCACACGCTCTGTTATGTCTAAATTTCGATTCTACGCCCTCAAATTACCTAGAAAAACAACATTTGGAATAGAAATTGGTTAATATTAGCTTTTTAGAGCTTTTTAAAGCTTTTTTAAAACGCGAAAAAAGGTGCGCTAATGGGCAAGGTGCGGAAAAAAAGGTCGCATTTCCAATCCTGGACAATCTTGGACAATTCTGGACAATTCTGGACATCCTGGACATCCTGAACATCCTGAACATTCTCCCACTCCCCTAAAAAGCACTTTCTCAAATAAGCAATTTTTTGAGAGAAGCTCAAATTTTGAAACTTTTCACCATGAAAGGCCTAAATGAAAGCGAATAATCTGTGAGTAAATAATTGAAAGATATGAAGAAAAGTAATGAAAAGGGGAATGGGTACCGTTTGAAGTGTTGATAGAGAAAAGAAGAGAGGGGAAAAGGACACCTGATAGCCTGGGGGACCCTATGGGCCTATAGGGCCTTTCCCTTAGGCCAAATAACTCGAAAGAAAAGCTCATCTAGTTTTGGTGGGCCTGGTCTGTCAGAATCTAAAACTTTATCAGATAGTAGTTGTAAAATGAAGTAAAATGGAGTAAAATGGAATTCCTATGAGTCCCATAAACCTTCTAGCTTTTAGGGCACCAACTTTAACAAGTAAATACAACTTTAAATCATAATTCTACTATGAAAAGCAAATACTATGCAGCTTAATAGCTGGTCGAGCTGAAAATGGAAAGAATAAGGCTCAGGATTCAAGTTTTGATCACTATGGGACCTTTAGCTCTTTTGAATAGATCCAATAGCTCATGGAAAAGATTCAGAAAATCCAAGAAGAATAAGACTTTAAGAATAAGAAAGCTTTAAGATACACCTGGTGCTAAATGCAAGACTAGATCTACCATCAGTATTAAGATCGGAATCGGAATCAACTAATAGCTATTGAGAATGGTTGAATTCTGAAGCTAGAAATGAGAATTGAGCAGATCTAATTTGTTTGTTTGAAGAATTGGGATGCACAGGATGTGCAGGACTAGATTTACCATCAATATTAAGATATTTATTCAAAATCATTAATAGCTATTGAGAATGGCTAAATTCTGAAGCTAGAAATGAGAATTGAGTAGATCTGGCTTGTTTGGTTGAAGAATTGGGATGCACAGGAAGTGCAGGACTAGATTTACCATCAGTATTAAGCTATTTAATCGGAATCAACTAATAGCTATTGAGAAGGGCTGAATTCTGAAGCTAGAAATGAGAATTGAACAAATCTGACTTGTTTGGCTGAAGAATTGGGATGCACAGGAAGTGCAGGACTAGATTTACCATCAGTATTAAGATATTTATTCAAAATCATTAATAGCTATTGAGAATGGCTAGAATTAGAGGTTCAGGATCCCCATGGTGAGGCCTTTGCCCCATGGATAGGTCCAATCTATGAGTTCTATGGGGCTCTATGGGGGAAAAGCTCATCCATCTCCTCGTCTTCTCTCTTTCATTTCTCTTTCCCTTTTTTCGTCAACTAAATGAGAGCTCCTTATTTCTTTCGCGGAAAAGCCGAAAGGATGAATTTGATATGGAAGAGTTGTGAAAAAGAAGAAGATTTAAGTGCAACAGGAAGGTTTCGTTTATAAATTCAAGCACAAAGTACAGAAAGTACAGAAAGTACAGGAAGTACAGGGAGTACAGGGAGTACAGGAAGTACAGAAAGTACAGAAAGTACAGAAAGTACAGGAAGTACAGAAAGTTTCAAAGTTTCAAAGTTTCCAAAAAAATAGCTAAAATAGCAGATTGAGATTTCAAATTATAATGTAAAAAGAGAAGAAATAAGAAGAGAAATGGAAGAGCTTTGTTTTTTTTGTTTTTTTTTTGTGAAGAGATAGATATTTGCCTCTTGAAGAACCTTCAAAAAAGACCTCAAAAGACCTCAAAATGAGCGCTCCCTTGGGAGAATTTTGAAACGAAAGGAACATCTCAACATTTTATATTTTAAAAGAACTAGTTGCTTGAGATTTTTCTATACAATCTTAGTTTATAGTTTTCTAAAATGGTTTAATTGTAGCCTCTCTAGTTTCTCTAGAATTCTAGCCTCTCTAGCTCCTCTAGAATTGTAGCCTCTCTAGTTAGTTAGGCTTTAAATTTGACTCGGAACTAGATTGATGTTGTTGTCATAACACGGATTGACACGGTTAACGTAAAAAACCGTTAGATAAAGGCTTGGCGTTAGAAAGGCGTTAGAAAGGCAGAAGTCAGAAACATCACAACCTTTCCGTCAATAAATTACTTTACACAAGAAAACTTGAAAATGGGGTTTGTAGTTTAACAAATAAGCAAAAGGAGAGTTCCCCTTGGAGACTTGACGCTGAGGGGAACCGAACCAGGGTTGGACGGAGTGAGGGCCCGGCACGCTATCCTCTAGACCATCCGGGTCTCTTGACCGCTGGAACTAATTCGGTTCTATACCCCGGCGGTGTCGTTTTTTCAAGCGCCATTTTTCTAAAAGCATTTTGGTTCAGCAAAATAGTTAACTCCCTCTAGAGCAAGGGAGATCGAATGCGTTGTGGTGTAGTGGTTAGCACGTTTGACCGGTAAGCGAAGGGTCGGGGGTTCGAGTCCCGGGGGCGCGAGATTTTTGACCTTTTCTATTTCCAACTCACTGTACCAGACAAATTGATCCATTTTTTAAGGGCGCTTTTTCTAAACCGTGTCCTTTCTCTTTCTACCGTAGTCTTATCTATTCTTCTCTAATCTATTCACTCCTTTCTATCTTACAAGATCCTTTGTGAATTCTCACAGAATTAGACAAAAAGTGGAAAGATATTTACCTTGACGACAAATCAACAACAAAATATGGTGGCTGTTCGTCTTGTTGAAAGGTTTCTTGACGGCAAAGTGGTGGAGTGAATGATTCTTTCATTGCAGAAAAACGGAATCAGTAGACTGAATATTTGAGCCTCTACAGTAGACCTTTACTGAATCTCTACAGTAGTAGAGAGAGTACAGTAGTACAGAGAGTACAGAGAGTACAGAGAGTACAGTAGTACAGAGAGTACAGTAGTACAGTAGTACAGAGAGTACAGAGAGTACAGATAGTACAAGAGTACAGATAGTACACTAGTACAGATAGTACAGCAGTACAAAGAGTACAGTAGTACAGAGAGTATAGTAGTACAGGGAGTACAGAGAGTACAGATAGTAAAGATAGTACAGTAGTTCAGTAGTACACAAAAGCCACAGTAATCCCCGACACTTGTCTCAAAATAGAGCTGTATATCTTTGCAGCTATCGTACTCTTTGCAGACTGTAGATACGATCAGTACGATCAATATCGATCAGTAAGATAGCATACAGATATCAGTACAATAATAAACAAAGCTACAGTAGTCCAGTTGCTATTGTTGAATAGCAATTGTTGTTGAATAGCAAATGTTGTTTAGCCAACTACCGTACTTCTTTTCGAAAGAATGGACGAGAGTTGTCGATAGAATCCTTTTTGAGATCTCCTTTTCCATGGGATCCTCTCCTCAAAGTGGGAATTCCCACCGAAATCCCGATTTCGATAGCTTTTATTTAAGCTTTAAACGTATCATCTTTCACACGAAATCCTCGAAAAGTTCCATAAAACTTTCGTTTCTTAAGGAGAATCCATGAATGTTCAAATAGAAGATGGAATTGTAGATAAAGTAGATAAAGATTTTCAGATACGAATATCATTTGAAGAAGTACCCCTCTAATCATTTGTAGAAGATTTCTAATGTTCAAGAAGCTCGAGCTGTTAAAGTGTTAAAGTACCCAAATTGCTTCTGAAGACTTTCTTTCTTCTTTCCCCTTGTGTTTCCTTTTTTCTCTTCGCAGTTTAGCTCTTCGCAGAGCCGGATGGCTCAGTGGTTAGAGCAATTGACTGGAAATCAATCGGGTTTTTAGGGTCAAGGGTTCAATCCCGTCTAGAGCCGGAGAAGAAAAAAACCCTTTAAGAAAAAAGCAAAGAAAAAATTGACGGTGCGCGGAATGGAACCAGGTTCAGAGTGTGTGCAATTCGTCAGATGCAATGGCAAACTATTCTCTACGCCATCATGTACGCCTCTACGCCATCCTGTACGCCTTTACGCCATCCTCTACGCCTCTACGCCATCCTCTACGCCTTTACGCCATCCTCTACGCCTCTATGCCATCCTCTACGCCTCTACGCCATCCTCTACGCCTTTACGCCATCCTCTACGCCTCTATGCCATCCTCTACGCCTCTATGCCATCCTCTACGCCTCTATGCCATCCTCTACGCCTCTACGCCATCCGGGTGCTTTGTGAGGGAAAGTAATCAAATAAATTTGTTAATAAAATTCTTTCCTCATCTTATTTCGATCTCGATCTCGATGCCGAATTGAAACGGTTTCCTAGTCAGCGTGGCCGATTCTATAAGATGGGTTTCATCTCGTTCCAAAAAGCCACCGAAAGTGCTTGCCTTTCTCTAGTTACTTTTGATACATACTTTTCTACATATATATTCTACATATTCTACGCTTTTTCTAGAATTCTCTAACATTTGCATCACTTAATGTTTATTGAAAGAATTTCCGCTAGATTTCCTCGCATTCTCGTCCCTCTAAAAGCCAATCCATTCACTAGTTGAGGCAATTTGGTGAAGAAAACTTCTGACTGCTAAAGAATCCATGCACCAGAAAGGGTGTGCTTACAAAGTTGAGCACAAAATAGACTTAAAAGAAGCGGCGTCAAGTGATGATTCTGAATATCTTGCAGACCGCATGCGTATTCGCGGCGTCAATTCGCGAAATTAACTACCCTATCAACTTTTGATGGTAGTTTAGTTGACTACCATGGTCGTAACGGGTAACGGAGGATCAGGGTTTGACTCCGGAGAGGATGCCTGAGAAACGGCAACCACATCTAAGGAAGGCAGCAGGCGCGCAAATTACCCACTCTCAATTCGAGGAGGTAGTGACAACAACTAACGAGACTGCTCCCTTTGGGAACAGTCATCGAAATGGGTACAATTTAAACCCTTTAACGAGGATCAATGAGAGGGCAAGTCTGGTGCCAGCAGCCGCGGTAATTCCAACTCTCAAAGTAGCTTTTTTAAATTGCATCTAAATCAGTATTATGACTATAATCGATTTAGTATCTTCACAAGTGACACAAGACAAAAGGTTCTCTTTTCAAAGGCTTTTGACTCAGCCTCAGTGAAAACTTGTCATCAGGAAAATAGAGCCTTCAGTGCATCAGAAAGAATGCGTTTTTGAGCACAAAGTCCAACAGAGTCCAACAGAGTAGGATCCAAAGTCAGAAGTTCATCGTTGAATTGGAATTATGAAATGGATAAGAATTATGAAAATGGATAAGAATTACGAAAATAAACATACTTCGATCGAAAAATAGGTACAAGATAAATTTAGAATGGAAATGTTTCATGAAAACAAAAGTGATGCAAAAGAAGTTGAATCTTTGAACCCGAAGAGGGTGAATAAAGGGGGGAAATATTTGAAGGAGAGAAGGAGAGCGGCTAAGATCTCTCAGTCGACTGAACACGCACAATAGATGAGAACGTTGTGAAAAAAGGAAAAAGAAAAGCTCTATTTTTTTCTAAAAAAATCTACTCTACAAAAATTGCAACTTTTCTTTGGTGAACCCTCAAAGAATGAGACAAAAAGTGGATAAATTAAGATAAAAGAGACAAGATTACGATAGAAAGAGAAAGGGGACACGGTTTAGAAAAGGATTAGAAGAAAAGAAAGAAGATTTCAAAAGTTTTACCGCTTTCACCGACCGCTTAAAGATCTATAAAAAAAACAAGAGAAAAGGTGTAAATATCTGAAAGATAGGAAATTCTTCTCTTCCCTCGTTAAGTGTAGTGATGCTTCTTCTCCTTTCCGGGAAAAGGAGTGACCACAAACAAAATTATACGTCGACTCCAATCCTTTTCTTTCTTTCCTCGAATTGTTGCCCCCCTTTTGAACAAAAGCCCGACAAATTTGGTGTACTGCTGGGGAAGCTTAAATCCAAGACTATTTTTGGATCAATTAACCGACAAGAATGGTTTGTTCTGATGAATGAGGCACTCTAAATGCTCGAAATAAAATGTTTTAGTGTCCTTAGAAAGACTAAAACCAGCCCCCACTTGCTCCACTTTTTGCATGTTTCGTCTTTTCGATGCAATGAAAGGCGATCACTAATTGAGCCCCCGGCTTGCGAAAACCTTTTCACTCAGCCCTCCCTTAGGGACCAAATTAAAAAAGTTGCTTCTTACAATTTCTTGTTAGATCCTACTTGTTCCTCCTTCAAAAGCGAAAATTTACTGGTTAGCAAAAAAATGGCACAAAGTAAAAAATAAAGCGAATGACCCGTTTTAACATCGATAGGTATCACAATATAAAAAATTCTTAAGTCATCACAAAGTGAGCAACAAAAAAACAACCTGTTAATTTTTAAGTGTTAATGGAGAACAAAATTCGTTCCTTCGGTGATCTCTTCAGGAATCACTTCAGTGACTTCGGCGCGGAAGTAGGCCATTAGAAGATCCAACAAGATGTAGAGCTAAATTGACCAGCATTAAATTCCAAGTGGGATTATTGTTTTAATTTGCAGCAAAAATAAATTTTTTTAAATGAACACCTGAGCCACATTATAAATCAGCGTAACGGCAAAATAAAAATTCGCATTTCCGGATCCAGATACCACCCACATGTGCCACATGATTGGCATTAAACAAACACAAGTGGTAATCGTACAAGCGATGAGAAGAGAATAACGAAGAGCTAAAGTTTACGATTAAACATATAGCAAGTGATGAAACTACATTTAAAATGTCTTTGTTGCAGTGGAAGCAGGGCCATGTAAATAGCAGCGTCGCCGAGTGTTGGATAAGGTGACAAAGTGACCAGCAATAGCAACGAAAGAGTCAAATGCAACACCGGATCGGACCTGAAAACTAGCGGATTTGACTATGTACAAATCCCCAGTTACCTTAAAGCTAACGTCAATGGCAGAACATAAAGAAACGAATTGGCCAAGAAGACATACTCGTAGAAAGTTCGAAAATGTTCGAATACCTAAAAGGAAACTTTAAAAACTTTGTAAACATTAACTGACCTGCGAATAGAAATACCAAAAGAGGCCACAATTTGGCTTTAAATCTTCGTAGTTGACCCTAAAAATTTATAAATTACCGTATTAAAAAAGAAAATGTACATAAATCCGTAAATATTGGAAGCGAAGCCCCAAGTGTTGCCAGATAATACATAATTGATTCCCAGGTAGAGCGAAACTCCAGCAGTAAACCCTAAAAACTAAAAGTCAACTTTTTAAATCTCAAAATTCAACCTATAATGGATTTGATTATTTGCTTCCAATCAGAAAATTGAATCCATATAGACGCGATGAGAGTTACTGGGAACATTTGAGATACAGTCGCTAAACCAAGGAAGAAAGAAGACAACATGGCACTACCTAAAAAGTCTAATCATTAAAAGTGCAAGAACAAAAAACAAACCTTGTGCGAAAAAGTAAACAACGGTCGCCAATAATGCGTTGTGAAACGTTGTCAAATTGAGACACGCACACGAACCAATTGCAAGCGGATTGAGGAGAAAGCTAGACAAATTTTCCACTTCAGAACAATACAATCATATAAAAAAATAATCTAAACGCACCATTTTGCTACAATTTGTGCTACAGTTGAGTCGCCTTGAATTTTGAACGCTGCCTTTGACAGGAGGTAAGCAGTAACGATGTCGAAAAAGATGTGGAAGATGATGAGCAACGGAAACGATGACACGTCGATTACCTTGTTGAAAAAGAAGATCACTGATGGCAACTAGAATTTTTGTTATTTAATAACCCTGAGTAGAGCCTACCATGCGAATCAAATTTCCTGCCGCTGAAGTCAGACTCTCCCGTTCCAAAATGACACCATCACTAAACAATAAATTATTTGTAAGTGCAAATGGAAACAAAATTTTAAAACAACGAACCGTAAATTTTTGATAGAAACCAAAGGAGAAGTCCATTCTGGTTGGGAGATTAGGAAATTGTGAAAAAGTAGAACCGCTGCAACGCGACAAAGGATCGCAATGGCAATGTAACTAGAAAAAATTTAACATAATTCCAGGAAAATATTACCTGCAGTTGCGTCCGAAAAAAGAATAGGGCCCTCCAAAGGTTTGAGTTGCGTCGTAAATCTAAACACGTAAATTCGTTTGTCAATTAGTGGGTTCAAGAGCCCCATTAGCGATCATATTCTACTTACTTCATCGGTCTCGTTCTCTGACTGCAACGTTTCGGTTAAATTCGGCCCTTCAGCATCTGCGTAATACGTTGTCTCCAACTCGCTTTGTTCCTCATGCCCCGTATTTCGAGTTCCACGCCGTCTCAACATGAAATCTAAAAACTTACACTTAAAAACATTGCTGACTCCATCCCCCCCCCCCATTTCAATAAAGTACAATGTACAAATCAGATACCAAAACACGTCAAATGTGTGCTTCAGACAAGATCAACAAAAATAAAATTTATTGAAAATATGAGATCAAAAAATAAAAACAACAACCCGCTCAACAAAATGTCAAAAGCAACAAAATTTAATCGCCAGGATGATCGTCTTCTGCCTGATATCCCTCAAGTCGTGCCCTCTTCGCCGCTTCGTTTTCAAGTCGTTCTCGTTCTTCAAGCCGTCGCTTGTGAATCTTTTCCATGAATTGATTCACATGGTCCTTAGTGACAACCTACAAACAGTTATTGTGCGCAAAACAAATATTATTACCTGGTTTTTCTCAGCAGCTTCTTTCAGCATTGTATCGAGTTCAGCCTTGAATGCGTTGATACATTGGACGGCATAAAGTACGGCATCGGGACCCTTATCACCAACCATTCTAGTGGCAAGCTAAAATGAAAACATAAAAAATTATCTTATATATTGTACCTCGGTGAAATTTGCTGGTTCTTCTTCCTCTTTTTCAGCTTCAAGCTCTTTTTCATAGACCGAAAGCATGTCATCCTCATCGTACAAATATTCAAGACCAGCATCTTCAAGATAAGCCTAAAAATGTTTAAAGCAGTAAATTTTACAAAACTTACCAAACAATCGTTGCACTTGCAAAGATTCTTTCTCCATACATCAGGGCGTAATATGACAAACCTGACAGCTTTCTCCGAAAGTTCCGTATTTTCCCTCATTTGCTTAACTACGCAAAAAGTGCCTTCTAAATTTCTTGTTTGATTAGTTTACTTAGAAGTAAAACCTGGATTAGCCATCAACGCTCGAACCCATGGGTATTTGTCAACACAACGCACACAGATTAAATCTCCAGCTGGAGGAGTTTCTTTCTTGTCAATGTCCATTCCAAGGTGCTTAAAACATTATTGAAATATTCTCAAAAGGCAATCAATTACTGAAAAATGAAACCAATCTTCGCAGAGGAGACATTGAGCCATGGGTTCAGCTTGAGATTCGTCGGGATTCCAGGTGCATTTGTACATGCAAAACGATCCATCAAAGTTATGGTCGTAAACGTTGCGCCTGTTCTCGTGAGCTTTTTCCTAAAAATAAGAATAGTTTTCAACTTTGAAAAACTATTTACTTCAAAAAGCGTGCACTTGTTGTTGGGAGTTCGAGAGTTTCCACAATCACAGCAGAGACGGCGTTTGGTGTAGAGATTAATCAAAGTATGCCCTTCATGGCAATTCACTGCACATCCAACACAGATAGCTGAAAAAAGTTGATAAGTTTCAATTATTTTTTGACAACTCGTCTCACATTTGTTTTATTAAAATTTTAAAATTGCAATAAAAATTTCCCACCAGCAAAAGGTGGCGAAGGAGCACAAGTAGTGCAGGTGTAAATGGCTTGGCGAGGTTTGTATCCCTAAATTAAATGCAAAGGTAGAAATTGCAAGCATAACAATCACTTCAGGGTAAGTGCAGATCTTCGTGTTTTTCTCGGTCATGAATTGGCATTCATCATCACTGTCGGAGAACACCTGAACAAAACGATAGATCAGATTAAGTTGCGTAATCTCACGTCATTAATGGTAACCACTTTATCTTCTTCATTGTCTTCAAGAGTGATTACTTCAGCTTCGGGCTTTTGCGTTGAATCCTTATTCTAAAAATGAATATTAAACCTCAAGCATATTATGATTCCCTTAATTTAGTATCGTAATACGAAAAGATGATTACGTTCCTTTCATAAACGAATCTTTGAATTAACGCATTGACCTTAGCGATCAAAAAGTTTAGGATCCAACGTTTTACCAAAGCTATCGCATAAATATCAAAAACACTCACTTCTTGATCCATCGCTTCAATTGTGCAAACGTTTGTGTGAAGTCGTTTCTTTTCGTGGGTTCGTCACCACCGCAATTTGAATTAGCGCTCAGCTACGGGCCGCCTATAGACAATTTCCGCTTAAGTTGCATGTTCGCAAGAAACGAAAGAGAGCAAAAAAAGAAAAGAAATCAACTACACATACGCAAAAAGGGCTGGAACTAAATCAGCGCCGCGGAAAGTTGGCTATTTTAATCCGCTTTTGCAATAACCTTTGAAATGCGTGCTTTTGACATTTTTCCTGTTTCGATGTCGTTCTTAATGTGATCTTGCGCTAGAAAGTTTCCAAATTGAAAAATTGTATTTAACTGCGCTGCTGAATGAGATGGCTCTCTGTCTTCCCTTGTTCATTTTAAGCCTTTACATTACTAAAACGGCCAACTACATGTCTGCTATCTAGTTTATGCAACGCAAGTTTATTTAGCACACCTGCAGCAAACTAACGTCTTATTTGGAAACGAAAAACCAAACGCTACAAGGAAAAATTGGCTTAATATATTGCCACTGTCTTGTATTAAGATATTCAGCTAAAAGCCAAAGTAGTTTTACATTCTTAATGTGTCTATAAATCTACGCGCAGAAACTCTTTTATTTTAGCAACCTTTTTATCTTTTGCTTTCCTGGTCCTCGATTTGTAGCACGTTCCTGCGTCTTTTTTAACGAAGTTTTCTACAATATCTTTTGTTTCCAGTGTAAAATGGCACAAGACGGCAAGTCCACGCAAGTGCTTCAAATCACTCCACCACTTGAGCTTCAATTTCAAGGTTGTTTTGTCTGTACCTACCGTTTAATGTTCCTCATTTAGGTCCTTTTACGGATGTCTCCACGGCTCCATTAAAACTTGCCAATCCAACGGATCGCTCTGTCTGCTTCAAGGTAGCTTTGTAATGCATAATTTAAATTCAATTACGGAGAGACATGCATTGTAATGCATAATTCAAAAAATGTTTAGGTAAAAACGACTGCACCAAAACAATATTGTGTTCGACCTAATTCGGGTATCATTCCTCCAGGTATTTATTTGATCGATTTAATTGTCTCAGTATTAACTTTTTTAGGGAAATCAGCGGAAGTTTCCGTTATGCTTCAGCCATCCGGCAATGAGAACAACGTCGAAGCTTCTCGGCACAAGTTCATGGTTCAGACCTGCTTTGCACCGCACGACGATGTCGACTTGGAGGGTCTTTGGAAGGTATTTCCTAAACTAAAATGCAAAAGTGTTTGCGAAAAAATCATAAAAATTAGGCTTGTGCCAAAGTTCAAAAACAAGAACATCTATTTAGACTATCAATCCAAACGAATTGATGTACTCTAAGTTGCGTGTTGCTTTCGTTCAACGTCAAGCTGAACTGGTTTGTTTTAAGCTTTTTTTTAATAAAAGTTTTTTTGCAGGGATCTGCTAGTCAGGCTGAAGAAACACCAGCAACCGTTAAATACCCAGCAGTACCGACACAGGCTCGCGTATGTTTCGGCTAAAAAAGAGCTTATTTTCTCTGTTTTTAGACTTCATTAACTGGCGCATCAAGCTTTGGATTGTCTTCAGTCAGCCGTGGCAGTGAGGATGATCGTCTTCGTGCAGAGCAGCAAGCACGTCAGAAAGCAGAGGCCGAAGTAGCGGCCGTGAGACGTGATTTGGATAACGTGATGCAGGTATCTTTTAATTGCGTTTGCAGGCATCTTTGTCACAACAAAATAACTTTAAAAAGTTTGAACTTTTCTTTACAATTTATTGATTATAGAAATACACGAAACTGCAAAGTGAACGAAGTGACCAAATGTCACTTAATGGCGGTTATGGCGGCGTTCCAATGCTTCAGGTAATTGTATCTCATGCTGTGAAACCAATTAACATGTTTTAGGTCATTCTACTGGCTGTGGCCGGGCTTCTCATTGGACTCATCTTCGGAAAGCTGATCTGAACACCATCAACACAATATTCGCCTCATTCCTAAACAATCTTGCTATCAGTGTAATTTTATACGTGTTCATTGATTTTATATTGTGTTAGTGTCTAGTTGTGTGTATTACATAAACAAAATCTTAAACAAAACCCGGTTTAAGAGCAAAAAACTTTTGTATATTTTATTTTTTGCGCTGAACTACTCCTGTCATTATTATATCATAGATGTAGTTTATTCTCTTCACAAATTATCTTTGCCCTTATTTATGAGTTGGAAATATGTTACCTAAATAAATATTTGTGCTATCAAACTTCATCTCTAATGGAGATAATCTCTCGTAATACCACGAAAAGTGCGTATGGGATTGTATGGTTTTTCCTAACGGAAATTTTCTCGTGTGAGCCATTGGTCCGTTTGATGCCAGTAGATCTTCACTGTTGACTTATCCACTTTGTTGTTGGTTAACAATTGTTTATGTTGATCGACTAGAAATTTTAATATTTTTCAGTTTCGTCGAAGGCCTGCGCTGTTTTCAAGTGCAGCCCGAATGGGGCGGGAGAAAACGCAGTGTTGTGGCCGGAAATGGTGTGTCGGTGACGTGTGTGGAATTATTTGCGCTGTCATTACCTGGTTTGTATTTTAAGAAATTACAAAGAATGATTTGAAATAACAGGACATTTGTTAAATTTTAGGGGATTGGTGATTTACGGAGAGACGTGCATCTTATGGGTGATGATGTCTTCATGGGAGGTACAAAGTTTTTTGTATTTATGGACGCACTTTGTGTTGATTTTGGGTTTTTTTTCTTCTTTAATTCTTTACTAAGGTTGTCTAAGACGAAAGATGTTAAATTTAAATAAATTTTAGCTTCACCCAGTTCATCAGACGGTTAACTTCATCATCTTCAATTTCTTCGCAATTATGGCCCTGACAAGTCATGCAAAGGTAAACTTTATACTCAAATAAACACTTGGTTAATTTTAGACAATGTTGACTGATCCTGGAGCTGTACCAAAAGGGAATGCTACAGATGACTACATTGAGCGATTACAATTGATGAACGAAAATAAAGTACGTCAACTGTTTTTGATTAGAAATTACTCATAATAATTCAGGTCGTGTATAAATGCCAAAAATGTTGCTCGATTAAACCAGAACGCGCCCATCATTGCTCCGTATGTGAAAGGTTACCCTTTTTCTTGAACCTTGAAATTAATTTTTCGATTTCAGGTGTATCAGAAGAATGGATCATCACTGTGAGTTTGAAGTTTGAAATGTTATTAATGGGCTAATTATTAGTCCGATTGTAAATGCTTGCAAAGCTTGTTTAGCTTGAAAGATTAATTGATCATTTAGGCCCATGGGTCAACAATTGCGTCGGCGAAGGAAATCAGAAATATTTTGTGCTTTTCACGGTAAGTTATTGCGTTGATTCTTATTTAATTCTTGCTTTAGTTGTACATCGCTTGCCTATCAATACACGCACTTTATTGGGGTGTATGGCAATTTGTTGAGTGCGTCGGATCCGAATGGGCCACTTGTCCAGCATTATCACCGCCCGCTACTACGCTACTTTTGGTAAGTTAATTATTTTGCATTCTATCTATTTATTGACTTCAGATTTTTCTACTCTTCGAAGGAGTCCTATTTGCTATTTTTACTGGCGTGATGTTTGGTACCCAGATCTCCGCCATTTGCTCAGATGAAACCGCCATCGAGGTTTTTTTGGTTTACTTTTTATATTTTCTCATTTTAGAGTCTTAAACGGGGCGATTGCGAGAAGGTTCGTGGCTCATCTTGGAAAAATCTACAGGTAACGGAATTTTTTTATTGTTAGAAACAATTCGAGCTTATAAGATGGTCTTCGGTGGCCCGTTTTCTTGGAGATGGCTTTCACCGCTTGTCGAACCCTATGCTACAAAAGCGACCTTTGAGTATTCCGTGTGATTTTGATTTGCTTTTTTGTACGCTTCATTGTGATTTTTGTACATACTTCTAAGTCTTTGCTGAATTGGGTATCTCTTTGTAACACTGGTTTTTGTCAAATCGAAATTGTATTCTCACTCTTTGTGTTTGCGTAGGATTTGCTCTTTTCCCATTCAATGCGGGTCTGAAAATGTTTTTAAAATGTAATCCCTCTTGTGCCCTTGATACATGATCTTCAGTGAATACTTATACTTGACCTTGTCGAATTATTTCTCTGTATTGTGTTGTTTTTGTGCGAAAATTAAATTTAATAAATGTATGCGGTAAAGTTGGTAAATTGAGTACACGTTTATAAACACAAGCATATTTTTGCGACAAGAACTTAACAGCAAACAAGTTACTATAATATTGTTGTAATGTTAGCCATTGAAGTTAAACTTTTAATTGTTTCAGGGCCTTATGTTATCGAGAACGATCACCCGATGTAAATTGCTAGGGTCTGTAAAAGAAAGTCTAGCATTGAGGTAAATAACAAAAACTGCGGTTTTTTTAGTTTTTTCATACATTTTAGATTACGTCCAATTCATACGACTGCCATCGTACAAAAAGTGCGCAAAAATGAGAATAAAGATAAGGTAAGTAAAGCGTACATTTTGGACTTATTGAAAATCTTTTTGATTCTATCATCTTTATTTTTTTTTCAGAAAGTCGATGCGGCGATGCATCACGCTGCACAAGTGGCCTCAAAGAACGAATTTGTCAGCGGAGCTTTAAAAGAAATGGATGATTGTGACAAAATTTTAGAAGACGAACTCGGGAAGCGATTTTCATTTAGAGTAAGTGTTAATGCAAGCATATTTGTTTTTTAATCTAAAAATTGATTGAAGGAAAACGATCGCCTTGTTTAGATTGATACACGGATCTACGAGGATATTCTTGTGCCGACAAATGAAAAGGTTATTATTTCACAGCGCAACGTTCCGTATTATACAGACAAACACCTTTTAATACTTTTTTTGTTTTAGCTATTTAAAGAAGGAAAAAAAGCAAGAAATGGGTTTTTTTTATTGTTTTTGACGCAATTTAGCAATGATTTTATGTTTAGGAACTTGCTCGTCTTGGTAACATTGCGAGAATTTCCGTTAAAGAAAGGACGGTGAGTATAAACATGTCTCAGTCGCCAACACTCATCAAAGAAGCAAAACTAGCTCTACAGGTGAATTTTTATGGTGAATAATGGATAAAACGAAAACTCATAGTCATGAGAGGAAAAAAAATATAAACATAATTTGTTTTAGAAATCCGGAGCCGTAGCTTCAGCAGTGCAACAAGAAGGTGTCTGTTTATATATTCAGGTAAAGTAAAACTTTTGTTTTCACGGTTTTTTTCCTGCTTAGGTTCCACGAATGAGTCGTGAAAGACGAGAACAACTTGCTACGGATGCCGAGAAAATTGTCTTCAATCAATACAAGGATGAGTTGAACAAGGTTAAAAGTTTTTCTTTTAGAAGTTGAAAGCCGATTTAGATTTTTGCAAAATGGGATAAGAAAGCCACAGCAAGTTTGAAGACGAATGATGAACGAGTTTACACAAGGACACAATTATTGGACCTCAAAAAGGTACTAATTCGATCAACGGGTAAAGTTAGCATCTTATCGGAATAGAGAAAGTGAAAAGGTTTTTGTTTTACTTTTTAGGTAAGAGAGGCAAAAGCTCATGGCGTTGTCAAAGCAAAAGCAGCCGAACATCTCCGAGAAGTCATATAGGTTTTCTTTCGTACATTTTAACTTTTGTCATAACTACCTACTCTTCTTCGTTATTTGTTTAGCTTTTTAAAAGTAATAAATGGATATTGTAGAATTTATACACAAAACATCATATTGGAAAAGAAAAATCTGAGTCCAATTGAGTGGACCGATCACAGCTGAAAAAGACACAGAACGAAAAAATACCCAAAAAGAACAATCTGTGCTGAGAAACAAACAAAAAAGAAGGGCGAGTGCAAAAACCCAAAAAAAACTACCTACAGTTGCTTCCAAAAAAAAGAAAGAAAGAAAGAATGATGTCACCACGAGAAGTGATCCAAATATAGCAAAATAACCTGACGAGTGCGTGGAAAATTGACTAGCAAAAAAGAAAAAGGTAAAGCTATGAATTGATTAGGGAAATACACGTGTTATTGGCTTACCGACAAGAGAGTAACTGCATAACAACGATGATGATGGCAATGGGAACGAGAAGAAATGTGTCAACAACAGAAAAATGATGAGATCATGCGAACATTTCCTCTTATAGTTCTTCTTTGCCCAAAATCGAATAGCGATTATGAGACGGCTTCAATTTCTCGAATACACTTGGTGGTGGCTGCGTTTCGGAAGGACTCGCCGCCTAAAATAAAAACAATTTTTTTACGAGCATTCTAGCGTTAACCCTTTGAATTGCTATTTGCTGTAAGGGTAAAAAATACAAGCAATTACCTCTTGATTTCCTTGTGTAGCATCTGGGCCATGATGGAATTCTCTATGCAATTTTCCGCTATGCAAGTCCATCACAAATTGTCGAAGCTTGCCGGAGACACTAGAAAGCCATGAAATAAGCGTTAACCAGAAACAACTCACTGAATATCCTGATAATTGTTGAAGAGGTACATGTGACGGAACGAATCGATGGCAATAACCGGCAAATCCTTTTCAGATTTTCCGAGATGGTGCAATGGGTGCGCGAATTTCTTTCCATCGGCAACAAGGCAGTTTATCGAAGCTAAATGTTGCTGTTGATGGTAATTTCAAGCGCTGAAACCTTTTTGATCAGGAATCTCTCGGATAACACTATTGGTGAAGATTTCTTGGCTTGTCGTATCATCGGGATGCTAAATAAGAAATGCTTACTAAATAAAAAACAACACTTGGTCAAACCTTGAAAAGAATCAAAAATGGAAGTCCTTCTTCGGTCAATTCTTCCGCATTCTCGAATGTGATTTCACGAACAAGTGGCACACAGCGCTCGGTAAGCCATTTTCTAAAGAAATTTTAAGTTGCATTTTCAAAACGATTTTTACTTCATCGCATCAAAATCACCGAGGGCTCCATTATATGAATCGGGGATCGCTCCCTAAAATTATATGTAAAAAGTTGTGTAAAAGGTGCAATTCCAGCAAATCTAGGCTCATTTATACAAATGCGCACCGGTCCTTGATAAACAATTTTTGATCCATGTTGAAGGTCAGCTTGAAATACAGCGCCGACGGCTAAATGGAACGCGCACTCATCTCGCAATACAGAAGCAACCTGTAATTCACAATGTGAACAAACCCCGAGTGGTAAAGAGACTTAATAAGATTTTAATCAACTGACCATGTTATACGTATCATATTCCAAACCAGCAGCTTGAGAGAAATATCCGATGACGTTCCGCTTCTTACTCTAAAAATACACCTTTACAATTTAAAAAGACTATAAACGTCAAGTTTGGTCGATAATTCGTCAACAGTGGCGACCGTTTGAACTCCCGAATCGAGTTGTTTCTGAATAAACGCGGTGAGTGCCTCGGCGCTTCGCTGACTCCTGAATTAGAATTAAATCAAGTTACTCGATAAGTTTTATCGATGTATACCTGTACTCTTTCTTCACCAATTCGCCTTTGCGGAAGAGCTTCAATGTTGGGTACTTGTTGACACTGTAGCGTTGTGCGAGGTCAGCTAAAAAGAGATGCATTTGAAAAATTTAATTTTAAAGAATTTACGTTGTTGATCCGAGTCGACTGATGCCCAGACAATCTTCCCCGTTGGATACTCCTAAAGTTTAAAATGAAATCTGTGAGAATTAAAGGAAAACCTTGAACTTCTCGGCGGCTTCTGCATAGATCGGCTTTAACATTTGCGAAAAGCGGCACCATTCGGCGTAAAAGTTCACAAAGACGACATCATTTGATTCTAAAATAAAGTGGCATTACAAAAATTGCTTTTAAACCTTTAAAGTACAAAGAAATAGCTCACTCAAAACAACGTCGATGTTGTTGTTGTCCAATGGCACGACGTCGCCGAGCACAAAAGCGACGAGGCTCTAAAAACAAACATTGATGAGTTTTCCAAATCATCAATGTTTGTTTACTCCGCTTACTGACCCCCTTACTGACCTCCCTTACTGACCTTCCTTACTGACCTACTCTTACTGATCTATGCTTACTGATTACCCTTACTAACCAAATCAGGGTCAATCTTATAGCTTTTTACGCTCAATTCTTTCATCAATCAAGATCAATTCTTTAACATGTACCTTTCTTCCTCAAAATAATTAAAAACGTACCAAACCCAGCAGCAAATAATTCCACATAGCCGATGCCTCGATTCGTCTTTAAAACGTGAAGCCTGAATATAAAAAAAAAATTTTCGAGTTCAAAACGAAAAAAGCCGGATGAAGACAATGGTTTAGGGAAAGAATTTGTAAAGAAAAGGCATCGTTTAAATAAATCGTTTAAACAAAAACCATCGTTTAAATAAATCTCCATTTTAAATGTAAATCAATATTAAATAGCTTTTCAAAATTGCAAAAGCCAAATAAATTCAGTTGTTGCAAATCATCTTTCAAAGTTTTTTTTCTTTGTCGATGACACCCTCTATCATTATCGGATACTTGTAGCTTAACATAGTTCTTTGTACACGTCGGCCGTTGAAAAATTGGAGCAACTTTTGCGTGCAAATGACCCTACGGAATGGGAACGACCCGACGGTGTGTTACGTAGGGGGTAAAAGGGTCTGAGGAAATTTTTGGCGAACAAATAGAGGATTTGGAAATTTTTTGATCTTGAATGGACCTTGAACGGACCTTGAACTTGCAAGGACTGAAATTTTATAACCTAAGTGCTAAGTTGGATTTAAGTGAAAGTCTAGAGTTATCCACTTACCTCGGTAACCCACTTGTTTGCCTAGTGGTGTTCTTGATTTGATCAATTCCCTGTTTAGTTTAGCCTTTTGGTTGAAATAACAGTGTTTACGATATTTCAACAAAAAGGCTTCAAAATTGCATTGAAGTCTTGGCCCCTCGTTTGACAATAGCACGATTAATGGACCCAATGAAGGAATGAAAGTTTCCAATTCACACGGCAATAGAAATGAACAAATTGCCTGTTTTTATGTTACGTCCGAATCCGACCAGGTGTCCGGATCCGGAGATTATTGATTTAAATAATGAATACTTTTTCTTTGTGTTTAATATTTTTGCAAACATGATTGAAAGGGAAAAACATCAAAAAAAAAAGCAAAAGAATTTTGCGGCACCGGGGATCGAACCCGTGACCTGTGGCCTAGTTGTTACTTGCTAATTAGCAAATGTGGTCGGATCAAGACGACCGAATCCGACTACAAGGCAATTAATGGTCAGATTCAGTCGTCAGGATCGGATCTGGACGCCTGATCGCGTTCGGATATAACATACCTACTCGAGGAATCAATAATTCCCAAGACAATACCTGTTTGCGTATTTTACACTTTTTCATTTACTGCTATCTTTGAAGGTCATTTACTCCAATTCCCACATAAAGTTGCCCACTCGATCACTTTTTGCCTTTTTCTTTTCTCTTTCTTGCTTTTTCGAATCTCTCACTATCAATTTTTGCAGATACATGCGCATTCTTATCAGCGCCTCTACATTGGGCAAAAACTTCTTCGTCAGTCGCAGAATGGCTTCCTATTTGATCAATGAGCCAAAATACGCTTTCCTGAAAGAATTGGGTCTTCAAGAAGAGAACGCCGGTGTCTTCTACGGAAAATGGGCCGCCTCGGGGCCTGTTGTTGACTCGATTGCTCCCGCCAACAACAAACCCATTGCTAAGGTTTGTTTTTCAGTCAATTTTTAACTGACAAAGGAGTCAATGGTAGATTCTTGGCTCTTAATAAATTATTGGTTTAAAAGTTAGATCAATTAAAAGCAATTAATTTTTGCTTTAGGTTCAAAATGGAACTCCGGAAGACTGGGATAAGGCCATGGTCGCCACGCAAGAAGCCTATAAAACATGGCGAACGGTTGGATTTTGAAGTTAAGAAATATTTTGAAAGGTTTAGCTTCCCGCTCCAAAACGAGGCGAGATTGTGCGACAAATTGGTGATAAACTTCGTTCACAACTGCAAAATTTGGGAAAATTGGTAATTTGTTAGGCAATTATGAAAAACATTAACTTTGATTTGTTTAGGTTTCACTTGAGATGGGAAAAATCCAGGCTGAGGGTGTTGGCGAAGTTCAAGAGTACGTGGATATTTGTGATTTTGCAACGGGATTGAGCAGGTCAGGTTTAAAGGCATTTTTTTTGGAGAAATGATATGTTTTAGATCACTTGCTGGGCAAGTTTTGCCTAGTGAACGCCCTGGTCACGCTTTGTTGGAACAATGGAATCCACTAGGTACATTTTCCATGGATTTTATTTTAATAGTCGAATTTCAGGAGTTGTTGGAGTGATCTCAGCCTTCAACTTCCCGTGCGCTGTTTATGGGTGGAATAATGCTCTTGCTCTCGTGTGCGGCAATTCAGTCATTTGGAAGCCAGCTCCTAGCACCCCCTTGACAGCCATTGCAACGATTAAGTAACAATTTAGTTTGTTATAAAAATTTTGTGTGCTTCAGGCTTGTGGCTAAAGTGCTTGAAGAGAATAAGCTTCCCGGGGCCCTTTGCTCGCTCGTTTGTGGTGAAGGTGACGTTGGACAATCTATGGTCAAAGTAGGGTTTTAATTTAGTTCTTTTTCCATAATGAATTATAGGACAAGCGAGTAAATCTTGTTTCATTCACCGGATCAACTGAAGTGGGACGAATCGTCGGACAACAAGTTCAAGGTCGATTCGGAAAGGTGTGACTTTATAATAAGCTTGGATAAAGAAGACTAACTATAAAGATAATTTATGATAATGTCGCTATATGGACAGGCTTTTAACGGTGTATCTGTTTAGGTTCTTCTTGAGTTGGGTGGAAACAACGCGATCATTGTGAACGACGATGCCGATTTGAATATGGTCATTCCTGCTGCCGTTTTTGCCGCTGTTGGAACTGCTGGGCAACGGTTTGATCGTAAATTTGATTTTGTGTACAGTACAGTTCTAGTTGCACTACAACCAGGCGACTTTTGGTGCACGAGAGCGTCTTCGACGAGGTAAACGTGAACTTTCAGGCTTTGCACCAAGCCTGTAGCCAGGGCTAGGATGGTAGGGATGGAGTGATGGCTGACCTTTCTCCCTCCTCTTAAAAATCTTTCTGGCTGCGGGCCTTTTTGCACTCGCTTGTTTAGGTCGTTGATAGAATGAAACGAGCATACGCACAATTCGAAGCACGAATTGGAGACCCCCTTGAAGCCAATACCATCGTCGGACCTTTGCATAATGATGTCGGAGTGATGAAGGTAACTCTGCTTTATCCTGGAGTGTCAATAAAAAATGTTTAGTACAAATCAACCATCGCGGAAGCGGTTGCAAACGGTGGAAAAATTGAATATGGAGGAAAGGTAAGCCGTTGATCGATAACTGATTACTGCAGAATTAATCTGGATAAGCATAAACCCTCACGATGTTTATTTTTTAAAGAAATAAATAAGTTATTGTTTTAGATTCTGGAACGTGAAGGAAATTTTGTTCTTCCAACTATCATCACCGGATTGAAAGCTGATTCTCCCGTCGTTCTTCGAGAGACCTTTGCCCCAATCCTTTACGTGATTAAAGTCAAGAACTTGGACGTGAGTTTGAACGACTCCTTTTTAAAAAATCGCATTTAGGAGGCAATTCAAGTCAACAACAATGTCGCTCAAGGATTATCGTCATCGCTCTTCACCAACAACATTCAAAATGTCTTCAAATGGATTGGGTAAGCAGCTCTTGCTGAGTAATTACAAATGTACTTTTGTATCTAGACCTGAAGGATCGGATTGTGGTATTGTGAACGTTAACATTCCGACATCTGGTGCGGAGATTGGCGGTGCTTTTGGTGGTGAGAAGGTTGGTTATTTTCTGATTATATTCAAATGAAGATAATTTAATTCTTTAGGAAACGGGAGGTGGCCGTGAATCGGGTTCGGATTCCTGGAAACAATACATGCGTCGATCGACTTGCACAATAAACTATTCAAAGGAACTACCATTAGCTCAAGGGATCAAATTCGAATAAGATTGACAACATTGTTTTCGCATAATATTTAGTTTTTGACTTTTACTTTGATGATTGTGTATCTTTTGTGCATTTAAAACCGGTTAGTTTTGCGCACGATTGTCCGACATGTGGTTGTTTTAGTACTCCAAACTTGTTAGATTGTTCCAATAAAATTTTTATTAATTGTTGTTGAATAAGCGTACAATTATTGCGTTATGAAGCTCTGAAACTACCTAAAGCTTGAAAAGGATTGAGAATTTTGTCCCATAATTTGCCTATGTTACCGTAGTTTTTTAGTTTGTCCCTTTCGCTCGCTAATTCTCCAAAAATTTTCTCTACGGAAAAAGCGACTGAATATTCGAATTCCCTTCTTTGTCAAAATTGATTTTACTTTCTCATACTGACACTAATATTTTCGTTATTACAGAAATTTATTGTAATGGATGGTGGCTCGACTCCAGGAAATGCAGCAGGATCAGGTAAGAGCTTGAAATGATTATGAAATTTGCAGTGCAAAATTTACACTTGGGTATTTATTTTGGACCAGAAAATATCTGTTCTCAATCAAATTGCTATATTCATCTTTTGATAAACCCGTTAAATCAAAAACTAAAGCGAGAATCTTTATCCATGAGCTTTACCAATTCAATTTTAAATATTTAGGCTCTGCGATGAAAATCAGCTCGATGATTTATATCTGCGGTGAATGTCATGCAGAAAACGAAATAAAGCCGAAGGATATCATTCGATGCAGAAATTGTGGTTACCGAATTTTGTACAAGAAACGTTGCAGGTTTGCTTTTTATCACGTTATCATAGCAAGTTTCTATTTCAGGAAGCTCATGGTCTACGATGCTCGTTGAATCTTTTATCTTTAGCTGTTGCTGATCTCGGATTTCTAGATTTTTACGCTCTTAATTTGTTATTGTGTTGCTTTTATTCATTTTTGTTGTTGTTTATTAAAATTTTGTCGGGTATTCGATAAATTACAGGATGCAAATAGACGGCTCCAATGAGCGGCACATTCAAGTGTCGTTCTTCATAAAGAACGAGAAGTAAGTGTTAAATCCATGGTTTTGGGAATTACTGTTTTTATTTTAGAGAGATCTCAATTCCGGATGATGTTTTTGACGTTCCAACGACAGCAGACAGTGAAAACTTGAATGCACTTGTTAATCAAAGCATCAAACAAAACGAAGGTAAGGCTTTAATTGAAAAACTTTATTGATCCTCCAAGCCATAAAAACCATGCAAAATTTTAGATGATTGGACGGATACGAAATTCGAACTCTTGATTGGCGAGACTTTTCTCCGGAGCACGCTGAACGAATTCATCGAGGAATATTCAGTCGACACGGTTAGTACTTGTTTTTGTGATTTTTGACATTATGGGAATTTTTAGGAGCATGTTGTGAAGATTGAGTGCATTCTTGGATTGGAGCCACCAAAGCCACTTTTCGATTTACCAGCCCCCGACTGGATCAGTAGCGTTCATTCTTTCAACAAATAGTTGAGTTTTTACCTTTTTTTGCTAAATAAGTATTTTTAGTGTTTTGGCCACAACTTTCAATGGAGAAATATTGGTTTGGGACCGAAAAGGAAAGAAGATTGCACAAGTAAAGAGTTTTAAAATAAAACGTACTTATTCTTGAGATTTAGATTTCTAAGGATTCCGGAACTGCTTACAAGTGCTCAGAAATTATTACATCACCGAAAGGTTTGTTTTTTTTTTGTTTGACAATACAGATAACTTTCAGGAGATTCAATTGATGGTCTTACATTGGCGGTCAGTGGAGAAAAGCCAAGCATATCTATTCTGGAGGTAAGATTCGTGGTATCTGTTTTTTATGTTATGCTTTTAGTTTCGAGGGAAAATGGCTACAACTTTGCAACAACTTAGAGGACATGAAAGGAGTGTGAGCTCTATTGCGACTAATAAGGTTGAGCTTTTGAAAATGTTCATAACATATTTGGTTAAGGACAAAACACGGCTGATCTCTGGAGCGTTTGATTCGCATTTAAAAGTTTGGAACTTACAAGGTAAAACTTTATATTGTGGTATCAATTTTTTTTTCTTAGAAAGCGCCGGCTCAATTGAGAAGCCAACTGAAAGCAATGATAAATCGAAGCGTAAGAAGGAAAACTTTGTAACCAAGGTACATTTTCAAAATTTATTACCAGCGGTATTTTTAATTAGTTCGAGCATAATCCTAAATCCATTCAGGTTCCAATGGTTACTCTCGGTGGTCATAAAGATGCTGTCGTCGCAGTGAAATGGTCTGCTTGGAATGACGCTCATTGTGTCTCGGCTTCTTGGGATCACTCAATCGCTGTCTGGGATCTGGAACTTGCTGGCGAAATTTCAAGAATAAGACATTCAAAAGTAAGTATTAACCAATCAATTGATGAACCTTTGGCACAGTTTCGTAGTTAAGCTGTTTTAGGCGTTCACTTCCATTGACGTACATCAAACAACTGGATTGGTGATTTCTGGATCAGCTGATTCGATTCCACGACTATTTGATACGAGGAGTACTGGTAAATTACATCTCATTTAAACTTTATGATTTTGGATTTGCAGAAGGCAGTTTGGTAAAACAATCGTTTGTTGGCCATACCGGATGGATCTCTTCAGTGAAATGGCATTATGCGCAGCCGAATGTTTTCATTTCTGGATCGTTCGATTCGGTTGTAAAACTATGGGATATTCGGTAAAAAAAAGCAATAAACAACGTGCTTATATCGCCTTTATTTTAGAAGCTCCAAAACAAGTTTATATGATCTACATGGACACACTGATCGAGTGATGTGTGTTGCGAGTGGAGATGATGGTTGGTGTTCATTTATCAATTATTGCAAGAAAATTACTAATGTATAAACTACAAATTTTCTTTTAGCGACAATTCTTTCTGGTGGTGCAGACTCGACGGTGAAAGTTTTCGGACAATAGGAATCATTTGACTTTTAGTTGTTTATTTACACACTTTTTGTTGTTCCGCCTTGTTAAATTTGTTATTGTTTTTGTTGATAAATGTTTTTTTTAATAACGTATGGTTATTGCAAAGGTTTTTTGCCTTTATGTTTACCTCTATTTTGAACGTTGCAGTGTGTTTTAAAAGATTGTATGCCATTCTATGCCTTGCTCAGTCATTGAGTTAATCTGAAATCTTGCGCACTTTATTTCATGTCCTGACTAAAGTATTTATATTTGCAGTATTTGTTAAACTTTTTTTTATTTTTAGGTTTTCGTGAGCGAAATAAATAAAACAACGCGCAATCATGGGGAAGGGCTTTCAGAATTTCATGTTGGTTTTTATCGTTTTTTTTTTAAAGTATATGATAGGAATATAAAACTTCTTTTTTAGTCATATAAAATAAAAAAATAGTTTTTAAGCAGATAAAATGAAAAGATTGTATAAAAGTTTGCTATAAATACATATATAATAATAAAAAGTATAATTAATGAAAAAAAAATCTATAATGTATAATTTTAGGTCCAAAAAGGACTTCCATCCGTCCGCATGGTGGAACTTGAAAAGAGTAAGTTCACAATTTAATCTTTATTTTTGAAATAAATCCCTAAACTTAAGTGCAAAATCTGGTTTTTTAGGTATGGGAAGCACGAGAGGTGAAATCAAAGAAGGATCAACGAGAAGAGGAAATGCGAGTTGCCTATCAGAAGGAACAAGAAGTCCTCAACAACAAAGCCCTGCTTGGAGACGAAAAAGCAAAATTGGGTCTTTCCTTTATGTATGAAGCGCCGGCCGGAATCAGTAAAAAGTAAGTTCCACTCTAGGGTTTTGTTTAACAAGACTTTTTTAATTTACTAAAGCTCCAACTCAACTAAATATTAGTCTTTTCAAACTGTTTATGATAAATTCTATAAGGCTTGGAAATTTTAGAGAGGAACCCAAAGAAGAACCGAAGTTTGAATGGCAACGCAAATATCAGGCACCTCGAGAGGAATGGGCAAAAGGAAACGAGTTGATTCAAGATCAACCTTTCGGAATTCAAGTAAGTCTAAATTTCTCAATTTTTAATGTTGAAATTCAGGTTCGCAATGTTCGATGTGTGAAATGTCACAAATGGGGCCATTTGAATACCGACAGCGAATGCCCATTGTTCGGAATGAGTGGAAACTACGAGGATAGTGGATGTATGTTTTAAAAGTTTTGCTTCTAATAAGTTTTGTATTTAGATGCTAACAACCCATCGGATCTAATCAAGACGGCCAGAAAGGAGAAACTTGTAGCTGAAAGGAGTGCTCAACGAGAGGTTTGTGTTACCTGGTTATTTGTAAGTAAAAAAAATTTCAGAAAGATCAGAACCAGCTAAATGAGGAACAGCCTGACAGAGTGCAATTGGCCGAAGACATGCGCGAAGAGCACGGATTCCGCCTAAAGGGAAATGTGCTTGATGCTTTGAGGTAAGTTGTTGCACGCATTAAAGAATATAAGTTTCATTAAAATTCATTTGCATTTGTTGTAATTGAAAAATGAATTCTCAAGATTTTAATATTTAAATTTAGAATGGATGATCAACTTGCAAGACTCGGAGCCTCATCATCGTCAAGCAAGCCAAAGACGGAAGCTGAGCAAATGAATGAATTCATCAAAGGGTTGTCGAAGAAGGAGATGAAAAAGCTTATGAGGTACTGTGGCTTAAAACATAAAAGCAATGTGGATCTCTTCAGGAAAATACGGGGCGAAGAAGAAGAAACAAAATCGAAGAAGAAAGACAAAAAGGATAAGAAGAAAAGCAGAAAAGAAAAGGTAGCTTATATTATGTGAATAGTTCATTAAGATTTAGTACAACCTGTTAGTGTAGAGATTCTATAAATGCGTTTTGCGTTATAGCAGAAAGAACATTTAGCGTGCTCGCTCTCGTACACCAAAGCGTGCTCGTGTTCGCTCGCCCTCCCACTCTCGGACGCCAAAACGTGATCGACAGGAAGATCGGAGCTCATCTAGCAAACATTCGAACGATAGAAATGTATTCATTTGTTTTCTCAGGATTGTTAAAAAAGCTTTAATTGACCCAGGGTTAAATTTGTTCGGGTGCGTAACTACTTCACCTAGATCAGGGTTAATTTAGGCCATTAATTTAGCTTGTAGTTTAAACAAAAAACTTGTCTCGAGTTAGCAAATGTTTGAAAGTAGCACAAACGACTTTACGAGAAACGTTCCTATAGCTAATAACTCTTTTTAGGAAAGAAGTCGACGCGATCGATAAAGGAATCCCATTCAACGGTTGAAAAAATATTTGGAAATATTTTGTATAGTCACAATGTTTTCTTGTTGTACTTTAATATGACCTTTGAGACAATTATCTTGGAAGAATAAATCTTTGCTGTTAAAACTTTATTTCGCGCAGGATATTTGTTTCAACACAATGTTTACTTGTCGAGAATATTGTAAATGTATTGGATAAATTATTAGCAAGGATCGGTTTTAGAGCGTGGAGTTAAACGATTCTTTTATTTTATCTGTAAATATTTTATTCTCTACTTTATTGTTTGAAAATTATTCTGCTAATTAATGGATCAAGATTCATTTAGAAGAAAGAAAATGACCGGAACGGATAGATATCAATTTCTGCGACAACAAATTGTTCAGTTGGAAAAGGTTGGTAATATCTATAAAAGTAACGTAGCTAATGGGAACTTTGTTATCTAGATCAAATCTAATGCTTGTGATTTAGGAGAAAACCGCCTTACTACAGATGAAACGATATTTGGAAGGAATGAAACGAAACATCGAATTTGAGGTTAGCATATTTTGTGGTTAAATCTTTTGTAAATTTCAAAAATGGTTGGTGAAAAACAAGAAGCTTCTGGCTTTACTAAAGTTTCATTTTCTGCAAAATTTAATTTTTAAACCCGATAATTTAGCTCGAAAAACACCGACTCAGAGGCAACGATCAATCGCATGCCAACAATCCGTCAAACTTTAACGATTCATCGTCACCAACATAGCGGCTCAATAGAGGAATCCTTTGTCATTTTTTTTGTTATTTTTTTTGCTATAGTTATTTTGTTACTAATCACATTTACGGGTAAATAAACTTTAACGTGCTTTCAAAGTCATATTCTAACGTACTCGATCGTGAATATTTTAAAAATTTGAAAACATTAATTTACTTTACATTTAAATTTAGAAATGCCAAGTAAATTTGGCTTTTTCGAGGTTCGAATCGGGAAAGAAGGCCCTTATCGGATAGAGTTTGAATTATTCTCCGATGTGGTCCCAAAAACAGTGCTCAACTTTATTGAGGTAAGGACGAATTTACTAGATAAAGCTTATTAAACTACCGGATCGATGTGCTCGTTTACTGTTTGCCACGCCGTCAGTCGAAAAGTACTGGTTCACTCCTGAAGACTTGATTTTAGTTTTGCCGAGGAACGAAAATTGATGGACGGGTCTACTCCTACAAAAACTCGGTCTTCCATCGAGTAGTCAAGAGTTTCATGGTTCAGGTAGACTTTTTAAAATCTTGTTGATCTTAATTTCTGAGTTTATAGGGAGGTGATATGGTAAATGGCGACGGAACCGGGCGACTGTCGATCTACGGAAAGACTTTCCCCGATGAGAATTTCAAGCTAAAGCACGATAAACCTTATCTGCTTTCGATGGCCAACAGCGTATGTTTCAAAAAGTTATTCCAGCTAGAGTTTAATTCAGGGCACTAATACAAATGGATGTCAATTCTTCGTTACATGTGTGCCATGCCCGCATTTGGATGAAAAGCACGTTGTTTTCGGCAAGGTTGGTTACCAAATTTTCTTGACTAAAAAAAGGCTTTTTAAAGAGTCTTTAAAAACAACATATCGAATAATTTATTCACGACATAAAAGTTCAAGTGGTAAATTCATTTGTTTCTGCACTTCATGGGTTTTTTTGGAATGTAGGCAAAAAAAGTTAATAAATAGCGCATCGATCAATAAGGCCAAAAGGTACAAGTTAATACTCCCAAGGTGTAGTAAAAGCCCAACAAGTTTAAAGGGCAAAAAAAGAGCAAAAGCAAACTTACATTGTCGTCGAGTAATTGCCCAATTGCGAAGGGAAAAGGCGTCGAGTCAGGCGAAATAGTCGAAATGATGTTTTCTAGAGAAAGTTCTCGCTATTTATTTGACGGTTAAATGCTAATTATCTGTTTAGAGACATATTTGTAATTTTCTTGTTTGCAGGTGACCAAAGGGCAAAAAATTGTCGATCGTATTGAATATGTGGACGTCGATAACAAAAGCAAGCCACTTGCTGATGTAAGTTTGAAGTTTTTATTTCTTAATTAGATTTATTCAGATTATCATCATAAATTGTGGAGAAATGAAATCGCCAAGTGAGAAATCTTCAAAGGAAAAGGAAAAGCCAAAGAAGAAATCCGGCAAACGCTCTTCGTCATCTTCTTCGGATTCATCCGAATCTTCAAGTGATTCTGATGATGGAAAGTGAGTTTCTGATTTTTAATTTTCCATGAATTTCGTAGACCAGAAAGGTTAGTTCAAGTGGTTCGAGGTATAGGCATCAAAGTGCTGGATTTAAAGCTGCCCCGATTTTTGATAGTAAAATTGTATTTAGAAAGCGCAAGAGAAAAACAAAGAAACGAAAAGATTCTTCGAGCAGCAGTGAATCGTCGAGTTCTTCTGAGTCATCGTCATCCGAGGAGGAAAAAGAAGAGGAGGCTAATCAAGAAAAGTATTTTATTATAATTTTCGTCATATAGTATCTGTTTAGAGAAAACACGACTGCGGTAAAAATCTCCGACATACCTGACATGCCGGCTGAAAAGAATTTCCTCTATCGTCACAGCAAAACACCAGAACGAAAACCGAAAGACGGAGAAGAGAAAGATGAGAAACGAAAGGAGAAAAAGCGTTTTGGGAAGGACATAGATCGGGTAAAAAAATTAGGATATTGATATCATTATTTTCAATTTTTTAGAGAGATCGGGGTGATCGTCGCCGATCTCGAGAACGTAGCCGTTCGCGTGATCGTCAAGGGAGACATGAACGAAATGGAGGACGTCTATCCGGGCGAATGGCTTTCCGAGTAAGTGTATCTTAAAAGTTAACTGCAATTGTTATAGCTTGTAAATTGTTACCTGATGTGGAGGCAAACTTAATTGATACCGTAAATACTGTAATTGAAGGGCACCCTTCCCATACAAAATTGGCCGCCCAAAAAGTCACTACTTTTGAAAAAGAGTTTGACTGAAAAGTGCTTAGAATGGTGGATATGGGCCATATGTATAACCTGGGTTGGCAGTAGAATTGAAAAGGATCTAAAAAAATTTCAAAAATAAAAGTGTAAAGGGAAACCCGAGAGGTCGAGCTCCAGGGGTCAAAGCTGGAAAATTTTTTCTTGTTTTAAACATGTTTTTCGTTTGTTTTAGAGCATGTCCAATCGAGCTGGAGGGATTCTAAAAGATTTAAAAAAAATTATACATGGTTCCCCTTATGTGATTTTCTTGGGGAGTCCGAAAAAGGATAGAGAAAAAAAATAGAAGGACATGCTCTTCAATTACAGTATTTACGGTACGAAACTGTCTTACATGACATATAAAGTAACCTTTTAGCGTTCACGTTCTCGATCTCGCTCTCCAAGACGCGACGTTGATAGGGGGCATTCTAGCAGTGGCAAATCTGGCGATAAAAAGGTATTTTTGAACCTGTCTTATCGTCATGAGCAAACGACTCCTTTAGATTCGTGGTCGCGGTGTGTCAATGTTCTACTCAAGTGTTGTGAAAAACGAGGAACCTCACCGTTGGACAATTGCTACGGTAAAATTGTGATAAATTCTCATCGGAAATCTTTTCAGAATCGTACTCAAAAGTACAGCGATTTCATCAAGAAGAAAGAGGAGGCGGACGAGGAAAAAGCTGAATAATTATTTAGATTTCATGTTGTTTCATTGATGCTGTTCTTTGTTGGTATATTATTTCGGTTGTTAAGATAATTAATCACGTTCTGAATAAATTTGCGTTCCAAAATTGTTGAGATAAAAATGCCCTGTTATACCTCAGATAGAACATGCATTATATTTTAAATTCAAGTGTACAAAGTACACGGTAAGAAACTGTTTTGATCACAGAACCGTTGCAATGTTTATTTTAAGATTTTATGAGAGTTCACGCGCAAGCTGATGGCCGTACCCACAAGAAAGTCATCAAAAGATGTTCGGAAAATTTCGAGGTAACCTTTGGAACGGTTTAAGCGTTACTAAGATGTTTAAAAGTTGTTTTTGTTTCAAATATAATTCAATGCTACGGATTGGACATCCTTTTCAAATTTATTCCATAAGAAGATCTTTTTTTTCTTAAAATCTAATCAATTTTTTTTGTTTTAACCTATTCTAATTCAGATCTCATCGGTTCTTTCATTCAACGAGTTGACGAAGAGGTGTTTTTCAAGAATTTTTGTCGACAAGTTTATATCCTAATCTAATGTTTTATTAAGTGAACAATCAATTTCTTTTAGAAGACGCGCCTCCTTTGAATCAACATCGAGTTTAAACATCGCAAGTATTAAAGGTAAGATAGCAAACTTTTGATTAAAACCTGTTTACATTTCAGTTTCACCCCGAATCCCCATTCTCAAATGTTCGTCAATCAAATCATCGCCATCTCAAGAAGAAAAATGGTTGGGGAAAGCAGGAATTTTCATTCATTTTCATTTTAGTTCAATTTCGAAATTGATTGACGATGAAAATTCATTGGATTTTCGTAAGTTTTCTTTCAAATTTCAATGTCAGCTTAAAATATATAGATAATCGCAGTTTTTTCCCAATCACGGTCATGAATCTTCTTGCAATTGAACATTTAGACTCAATCTCGTATTGCGAATCGAATAACGAGAAAGAGAATGTGAATCTCTTCGACGAGGTCATCTCACCATTCAAACGTCGAACGATTTCTAAAGGTGGCGATTAATACTTTTATTTCTGGGTCAATTTGAATTTTTTTTATAAATCTAAGACTTTAGGAGGAGGAAACAAGACGAATCGCTCATTCTCCAAAAAATCGGTCGTAGCCTCGCGAAAAAGTACTCTAGAATCAAAGGTATGCTAGTGATGTGAGTAGATTTATTGTTTTGAGGTTAGGCTGCAATTTGCCAAAGCACAAAAAGAGAGGCTCAAAGCGAGTCCAGCATGGAGTCAAAGGTATTTAATTTAAATTTTGAAACTTTGGACTTTGCTTTTATTTTAGCCAAATTTACTACAACAAAGGATCATTGACGAAAGAATAGAAGAAACTCCAGAGAAACCATTCAGGTTCAACCTTTGAACATAATCTTTATAAATTTTCTCCAGACTCTCAGATTCTCTGATTCCATCGCCGAGTAAAACACCGGAAGCTTGGTAAAAATTTATTTTTTGATGCAAAAAATGTGCTTTTAGTTTCCTTAACTTAATCGAAGATGATCTCTTTTTGAGCGATGAAGACGTTGATCGACCAGGAAAAAGGTTTGTGGTTGCAATTTAGGGTAAATTTTAAGAATAACGAAACTTGCTTGGTAGCTATGCTTATTGCATTCTGATAAGTTTTACATATTTTTGAATTTAGCGACTCTCTTCTGATAAAGACGATGGATGAAGGGAATTCTGTTTTCTCGAACGAAAAGCTACAATCGATAAAAAGCAGCACGAACATCGGAGAAATTTCGTGCAAAGCAGAAACGCTTTCCAGCTTTTTCACGGCTTCACAGGTGGATTTGAAAATGCTATTAATATTTAGATCATTATCATTCTTTTAGTTCAAATGTCCGGCAACACAAGAGAATGAATCTCCGAATCTTCCACTTCCATTTGAGGTGAATTGTGTGACTTTCAATTTCTAACACCATTTTTCTTAGATTTTCTACACTCCACCAAAGCCATTCTCAAATTTTACCCAACCAGCCACGCTCAAACGGGAATTGTTCGATGATTTGGAGGAGAGTTCGCCGATCAAATGGCATAATCCATGTGCGAGTCAGGAAACGATTGTAAAGGTGTGTGCTTTTTGAAACACATTTTGCTACTTTTTAAATATCTTGGCATTAGGCAGAAATTCGTGTTGTGTCACATAGATCATTTGCTTTTTAGAATGAACCACAAGTGCCGGCGCCTTTAATACGACGACGGGGAACAATCGAATCGGACATTACAATTGTCGATGGGCCCACCCAACTAGCCGCCCGACGAGGATATGAAATTGATGAAAGTAGTCAGGTTGAATGAAGATTTTCGTTCTTTGACAGCAATTTTGTTAGTTTTTAACCGATTTGATAGCTGTAGATTGCGTTGATTGATTGCAACAATCTCTAAATTTTCTCTAAACCTCTAATCTCTAAAGCTTCAAAACCAAAAATTTATTTAAGGGATCCTCTCGTTCGAGTTTCAACGAAAATGCGGAGAGACGCTCATCGATGTCACTTTTTATCGGATCGAATCACGAGCTGCCACCTGGATTTGATGATGCGTTTAATGCGACAAATCCTCATGAAACTTCTTTTCGGTATCGTTTTAAGTGACACCTGTTTTTGTAAATTAAAAGCTGTTATGTTTGAGTGAAATAACAAGCCTATAGAAGTTTTTTGGTGCAAAATCTAAAATGAATAGGAAAAACTCTTTTAAAGTATGAAATCAACAACAAAGTGTTCTTCTTAGACGTCGTGCACTGACCGGTTTGCCGCTCACCTTGCAGAACTATTTTTCCGCGAAACGCTCCGAACAGAATATCGAACGACGAAAGCGGCAAACGAGAATGACAGCTATCGATTTGGTGATTGACGAGAACAAAACAAGGCAATGCTGGGGAGTTGAGGTGCTTTTTTGAGCTTATCAGATCGGGAAAGACGTGTGTTTCAATGTTTGACATTTCAAGCAATCGATCCTCATTCAAATCCAGTTTAGAAAATTTCGTCATATTGCAAAACGTCAGAACTGGGATTGCTAAATTGTTTTACTGTTGTTGTTATTGTTGAAAATTTGGAATTAAAATTCGATTCTTCTAAAGCCAAACCAATCTTAGGCTGCTTACACATTTTCACATTTTATTTTAGTTCTTGTCATCTTCTCGCGGTGAAATCATTCGTCGTCCATCGAAGAATTCGTCTCGTCCCTCGGATAAAATTCATTCCACATACAATTCTCTTCGATTATCCGATGCAAATGAAGTAATAATTGATCCGACTTTTCTCTAATCTTTTAACAAATTTGCTTAACCGCTTTTTCATTTGTGTTATTTAAAGTTTAAAGTCACGGGCTTTATATTTGTGATATTTGTATCTTTTTCCCCCCATCTGCACTCAATTTTACTGATATGTTAAATAAATTTAATTATTTCGCAAGCAGCATGTAACGTTTTCTTTAAAGATTTGCCACAAATGTGCGAATGATTTTTAGGGGAGAAAAAAAAGTGATCCCAAATCCGGCGAGACTCCCGATTGCGGCAAGCAGAGAACCGGAATTTTGATCAAATCCGGTAAATGAATCCATTTATCCCCAACAGATCTTTTTCTCCATTACAATCAGATATCCCGATATGAGAGCTAATGATCTTGATAGATATTTACAGCTATCTATAGCTATAGCTGTAAATAGTTGTCAGCTAATAGCTATAGCTGTAAATAGTTATCAGCTAATAGCTAACCTTGATAACTAGCCTTTTGTCAAAGTTTTCTTTAAAGTCTAAAAGACATCTATTTTTAGCGATCGTACTCGAATCGGCAGGAATCCACAAAACCCGAAATTTCTTCATTTCTTCATCTCTACCAAAAATGCGCCTTCTATGGGAAATCTCGTGGTTTTCTCTCTTCTCTTCCATACTATTTCTACAAGTATTCGCTGAAATGAAAGATTTCTTCGCTTTGGATGAAGACGATCAAGATTTCTCGCCAATTGAGGAAATGAGTGGAAGAGGTGAGAGAATTTTGATTTTTTAAAAAAAAACACTACCTAAGCTAGCTGAAAGTAAACTTTAAGTGGCTGAAAACAATGTTTTTTTTCTTAATTTTCAGTTCTCTGGGATTCCTCCCTTCGAAATCATTTCTCACCGCATTCTCGCGATTTTGTTCATTCACCTGTGATCTCTCGATCGGTGCGCCGGAAACGATGCTCTTGTGGATGCTCGGGATGTGAAACGTTTCCGAATCGACCCTGTTGCTCAAATGGTTCGTTTGTTTTTTTGAGGAAGCCTTGATTACAACAGCTTAATTATCGTTTTAACTCTAGCACTGTGGATAAAGTTAGTTCCTTAGTTAGTTAGTTAGGATAAAGTTAGTCGGGTTTGACGCTGTCCCTTCTTTTTTTTTCCGTTTGCCGTTTGCCGTTGGTAAGCTACGTATTTGCTTTGCTCGTATCTTAGCTTCTTAGCGTCACAAGCCAAACTCCACCCTTTTTTTCCGTTTGCCGTTGATAATCTACGTATTTTGCTCGTATCTTGACTGGATTTTATTTGAAAAATGTTGAATTTTCTTTTATTTGATTCGAAAATTTGATTTCAAGTCGAATGAAATCAAATTTTCGGATCAAATGAAAGAAAATTCAACATTTTTCAAACAAATCCAGCCAAGATACGACCAAAATGCGTAGATTATCAACGGCAAACGGAAAAAAAAGGGTGGAGTTTGGCTTGTAACAAAAAAAATCTGTCAGTTCTGTTGGCAATTGAAGATTTTTCGCCTTTTGCCAGCACAAACCCTTCGATTTTAACTATTTTGACTATCATTTGGTGCAGAATGAAATTGAGCGTCGAATGATCCCAAAAACAACTCAAAATTTAATATCCATGCAAAGTTATGAGGCAAAAGGTTGACCGGGGCGGGATTTAGGTTTTTAACCAACAACTTTGCGTGGATATTAAATTTTGAGTTGTTTTTGGTAGCATTCGACGCGCAATTTTATTCTGAATCGAATGATAGTCAAAATAGTTAAAATCGAAGGGTTTGTGCTGGCAAAAGGCGAAAAATCTTAAATTGTCAACGACAAACGAAGGAAAGAAGAGGCGGAGTTTAGATGGTTGGGATAAAGTGCAAAAAAAGAAACAGAAAAGTATTGTACTGTCAACTCAGTAAACAGTTATTGGAATGAAATGCGTCAGGGATGACTGTTAGCCTTAATCACTGCATTCCCTATTCAACTGCTTGGTTCAGTAAGATCCAAGCAGTTGAACAAGTAGTAAGCTCTTGATTTAGTTGATCTTTATGCCCGAGCTTAATGCTTAATGCTTAATGTAGTTGAAAAGCGCTTAGACAAGTATGCTATTTTATCTTTGCACTACTTTGCATTTGCAAAATTTGCTATCAGAGTGCACATCGATGTCACTAGATTTGACCGCTTGAATCTTACTGAACCAAGCAGTTGAATAGGGAATGCAGTGATTAAGGTTAACTTTGCAAAGTAGTGCAAAGATAAAATAGCATACTTGTCTAAGCGCTTTTCAACTACATTATTTCAACTAGCACCTCGGGCATAAAGATCAACTAAATCAAGAGCTTACTACTTGTTCAACTGCTTGGATCTTACTGAACCAAGCAGTTGAATAGGGAATGCAGTGATTAAGGCTAACAGTCATCCCTCACGCATTTCATTCCAATAACTGTTTACTGAGTTGGCAGTAATGAATGCGCTGAAATCACAAAAGCAAAATCTAGAGTGTTGCTCTTCTAAACCCCTCCCCCTCGCCTGTTGCCCTCCTCCACCACCACCAAAACCCTGTTGTCAACCGGCGTTTGGCCCTTGTTGCCCATCGTGAGTTCCGAGATTTTTGTGCTATTTGAAGATTAGATCTTTTGACATTGAGAATACTCACAAGTACTCCAAAGGGGAATGTCAATTGCATGCGATCAACAAGGGAATGCCAAATGAAATGAGCAGAATTCAACGCTGATTCCGAATCTGCTTTCCGTTTTTCCTATGGAGCACTCTGTCAAAAATTATAAGCCTACAAAGTTTTGTATGCGATTTCAAAATCACCGAGTTTATCAGCGGATTTCCCAGGGGGTTTCGAGAGGCACTGGTGGCTGAGTGGCAGTGCGTTGGGAGACGATGCTAAACCCTCCGGGTTCGAGTCCGCTCTCCTACTTTTTTCATTTGCTTTTCTAAATTTGTGAATTTTTGAGATTGAGTTTGAGTTATTTCTATTTCTAACCTTAGGAGGGCAATGACCTTAAGAGCTCAAGAGACAGTGGTGGCCGAATGGCATTGCGTTAGAATACAAGGCTAAACATCTCTGGTTCAAGTCCCCCTTCTCCTTTTTTCTCTAGCTTTTCTGAATTTGCAAAGTTAATCGTTGTCCCTTTCAAATAAAAGCTTATTTTAGAGTATTTTTCATATAAATGTTGACTTTTAACTATTAAAATTAAAAAATGACATCAATGACCTTGATGCCAATATCGTCGTTGAAAAGAATGAAAATCCGCTTATAAACTCGTTTTTAAATATCAAACAAAACTTTGAGCGCTTATAACTTTTGACAGAGTGCTCCAAAGGAGAAACAGAAAGCAGATTCGAAATCAGCGTGAAATTCTGCATCGAATGGAGCATATCATTTGTCCCAACGGACATTCCATTGTCAGAATTCCCTTGTCAGAATTTCCTTCTCAATTCCCTTGCTTTTCAATCCCATTTGCAGTACTCCAAATTGTTGTCCCGGTCCTTGTTGCTCGGGTCGACGACCGCCATTTGATGAGGGAGATGGATTGGGCGAGGAATACGATGAACCCGGAGCACCGGCACCGGTGAGTTCACTGGGAAATGTTGATGTTGATGTTGAATGGTTTAAATTTCATTTCATCTCATCTACAGGAGCAACCGATTCCCCCAAAAGCTTGTTGTGCGGCGGCTGTCCCTCCAGCACCCCCACCGCCACCGCCGCCTCCACCACCACCACCAGGTAAAAGACGAAGCACTGGCAAGTGACAAGTGACAAGGGATCAACTATTTGTCTAATTTTTAGCTAGGTTTACTGTAGTTTTTTGGCTTTTAATCTTTGAATTGACTGGGCTTTTTTTTGATATTTTAGTTTCTCTTTTTGAAAATTAGACATTCCCAATCTGGAATTGGAAATTTCCCAGTCGAACCTAATTCCGCCTTTGTTTTCTCGACCGTTTCTTGTCCGATTGCTCTGAAATTTTGTCTACAAATAGAAAGACACATTTGCAGCTTATAGACAAAATTTCGAAACAATTGGACAAAAAATGGCCGAGAAAAAGATGAAATTCGGCGTTGAACTTGGACTTGAAATTTCCCGAAATTACCCGAAATTATTGTAAAAAAAATGATTTCTAGATTGCCACAGCATTTTCACAGTGATTAAGCCCCAATACAGTATGCTAGAGCTACAGTAGACCTCACTATAGTATAAGTAATTACACGGGGAATCAATATATATATATATGTGTAGAAAATAAAATCTCCGTCTCACTTTTGGTGGACTTGGAGTAAACGCCCCTCAACACCAGAAACTACACGAAAATACAAGAATTTTTTGTTTTACCACTTTTTATTTGGCTCAGCCGTTTTTTCTAAAATCGAAATTTTAGAAAGTGGCAGTAAGAGCTTATCAGCTAAATACTTTTAGCTTTACATTAGACATTCCAATACTTCTGTATCTTTTCCATGATAAATGCTAATTTTTTTGTAGTTTACATGAGCGTAGTTTAGAATCTATTGGTAGAGCATTGGTAGAGCGGTCGCCCCGTAAGCGCTAGGTAGGCGAGAGGTCCCGGGATCGAATCCTGGCCAAACTAACATTGGCGTTGTATTCCTAGCTCCTTGTCCAACTAACAAGGAAAGGTCTAGGGTGATGTGGAGATGGAAAATGAGCTAGACCTAGATTTTTAGCTTTTCGCTTAAGTTTCAACAAGGCAAGGCAAGAAGTAGCCAAGTTGCCAATCTAAAAGGTTTTTCAAAAAACGGGAAGAGAGGCAAGAGGAATCGAACCCGCGAGCAATGGACTCGTATCGGAACACACTACCACTGCACCACCGCTGCCATTACCGGCGGCCTTACGAAACCTGTCAAGAATAGATGAGAGTTCAAAAGCACTCAAAGTTTTGGAGGGAATGAAGCTCTTGAAAATCATCCTTCGAGTTTAGAGACAGATTTTCCAAAGGGATTCGGAAGCAGTGCTGGCCGAGTGGTAGTCGGCTAGAATACAAGGCAGAGCATCCCGGGTTCGAGTCCGGAGTCGGCTCTGTTTTATTTTTAAAGGCTCTTCTCTTGTATAATCATTTTTCAATTCCTTTTCAATCAGTCCTTTTCAATTCTCATTCTTCTCAGAGCCCCCAGTTCAATGCTGTGATCAAGCACCAGAAACCTCGTCGCCAAGTCCTTGTGGATGTCCGAATGGAGGTAATTTCTCGCAAAATAATAATCATTTACCAGTTTAGCATAATTTAGCACGAATTTCTCCGATATTCAAACGATTTTTCAGATTGTGGCTGCGGAAAGCCGTGTTGCTATTATCAAAATCCGGCTTGCTGTGCTCAAGTGGGTTGAGAAAAGAGTTGGCCAGGTTTTAGAGGCATTATTCTATGCCCGAGCTTTAGATAAGCCTTTTTTAGACCTCTACAATTGATCTCTGAATCTCTAGGGTCTTCCCTGTTGCCCGCCAATCCTTCCCCTTCCTCCGCCGCTTCCTTGTTGCCTTCAGCTACCATCACCGCAATGTTGCACGCCGGCTCCACCGTGTTTAAGGTAGAATTTGAGTCGACTAGCTAGGACACTAGCTGACTAGACACTGTTTTCCTAACAGTCTCCTGAACAATACTGAAAGCTAGATCTACTTTAAGTGGACTATTTGAATTGGTTATTGGATAATTTGACGGTACTTTCTCGAATCTAGAGCCTGTCCGACTTGTCCATGCCGTAAACGAGTGATGCTTGGGAAAAGAGCACGACGAGATGTGCATTGTGGTGCTTGTGGTTTGTTTCTTTCATTAGATTTGATAAACAAGAGCGAAACTAGTTTATCATCGTTGAAATCAGTGTTTAATCATTGATTTCATCCCGGATTTCATTACGGATTTCATCCTTGATCTCATCCCTGATCTCATCCTTGATCTCATCCTTGATCTCATTCTTTGTCTCATCTTCATCTTCAAATTTCAGCTGACTCAAACGGTTTATCAGCTCCACGAGCCGGTGCTCTCTACGAACGATCGCGTGCTATACGAAAGAGGAGACAAGTTAATGGGGTAAATTTTATACCTAGTCTATCTGATCTATATCTATCTACAATCTATTTATCTATATCTATCTACAACCTAAAAAGTAATCATCTATCTACAATCCGTTTGCACATCATTTCGATGAGCGCTTAGAACAGAAATTGATCGACGAAACAACTGAACGACGAAACAACAAGCCATCAAGGCCATAGATTGAAAAAACAATAACTAGCAGATAAAATTTAATAGTTGATTGCTTTTTCTGATTGCTTGATGAATTGAAAAGTTCTCTTTGAGATCTTTGCTAGAGATCAACGTTTCAATTTCAGCTGAATCTAGAGAATTCTAGACAACCCGAATCACCCCCTTCAATTCAATGACAGCTGGATCTAGAGACTCCAGACAATCGCGCCCATCAATTCATCAAAAGCAAATTGCCGACGATTTTTGTAAACTACTAACAAAGCCCACAAATTCTTGATCGGCTTGAGGTCTTGGCCATTCCAGGAGGCCATCCATGAGACCATTCCATGAGGCCATTCTATTACAGCCATTCCATTACAGCCATTCCATTACAGCCATTCCATTATAGCCATTCCATTACAGCCATTCCATTACAGCCATTCCATTACAGCCATTCCATTACAGCCTTTCCATTACAACCATTCCATGAGGCCATTCCATGAGGCCATCCATGAGCCCATCCATGAGCCCATTCGCTGTCACTGTTTTGTAAGAGTTGCTGGAATGAATGGGGCGCATTGTTCTGTTGAAATTGATAGACTTGTTGAGGGTTTTGTGCCATAAATTGAAGCAAATTTGTGTCCAAAAAATCGACGTAGCTCTTCTTGGCTGTTCATTTCGTTAGAGAGCATTTTGAGATTCAAATTTCTCTGGGCTTGTTAAGCTTATCGAGTCCGGCGAAAGATTGATCGAAATCTAAAGAATGATAAAACAGAACCTAGTCATGTTTAGTATCAAAATGAAGCTCAGAATAAGGGCTTTCGGGGAAGCTGGGTTTCATGCTCGACGGAGCTTCAGGCAGTAGAAAAATCGAAGAGCAAGGCAGACTGTCAGAGATCGAAGAGCAAGGCAGACTGTCTTGCCCGGACTCGTTAAACAGGTCTACTGCAGTACAGTAGACCTTGCGGTACTTACGAAACAGTACAAACACAGGCTAAGGAAGTCAATAATCGAACTACATTACAATAGAGCTACAGTACAACCTACAGTACTGTAGACGTGTCGTAGACGTACTGTAGACGTCGTACACTAGTCCAAACTGAACAAGACTGAGTTTAGCTGTGTCTAGCTGAGTTTAGCTGAGTTTAGCTGCGTCTAGCCGTGTCTAGCTGCGCCTAGCTGCGTCTAGCTGTGTCTAGCTGTGTTTAGCTGCCTCTAGCTGTGTCTAGCTGCGTCTAGCTGTGCCTAGCCGTGTCTAGCTGCGTCTAGCTGCGTTTAGCTGTCCCGATCTTCCTTCTGCAATGCTCAATTCTTTAGCAATGCTCAATTTGTGTCAATGGTCAGCCGAGGGATCGAGTGAAACGACGAGAGAAGAGAACTTTGGTGAGCGAACTTTTTCCAATCGATCGATCCGACCAATCGATTTCATTTCATTTCCATTTTTCAGTGTCAACCGTGCACCTATCTACAGCCACAATACTCACCGAATAATCCCTATCTGAATGGGCAAAGCATTGCTGGGATGAGCCCCGTTGGAGTGCCGATGAAGAAAAGAACGAAACGATCAGCTGGAAAAGTAAAAGAAAAATTATTTGCGCGGCGAGGAGTCGAACCCGAGCAAGAGATGGATAGCTGGCTTTGAAAACAAGCACCTTATCCACTAGGCCACCAGCTCACTGCGAGCCGGCGAGAGAAAAGCTTTTTAAGCAAGGACTAGAGGCTAATCAAGAGAGCAGCAAATTTATAAACAATCCTTTCTAGCGCACTCAATTCCCTCAAAATGAGGAATCAAGTGCACCAGAAAGGGTTTGTTTTCAAGAATTGAGCAAATTGCTTGAGCCGATCTCGATTATTTCCCAATTTCAGTGCCTTCCCCATCCCCAATGCACACTGGCGCCAAGGCGACGCTCAAAAAGAACCCTTCACTCACAAGTTTCTTTTTAAAGAAGAAAAATGGATTTTTATTAGTAAACTGCTAGAAAATTGACGAAATCTAGAAAATAAATACTCTAATAGTACTCCACTCGAAAAATGACGCTGCGGAGTGTCGCGTAGCTCGGAGCATGGCTCGGAGTCTAGCCTAGCTCGGAGTCTAGCCTAGCTTGGAGTCTAGCGTAGCTTGGAGTCTGGCCTAGCTTGGAGTCTAGCCTAGCTCGGAGTCTAGCCTAGCTTGGAGTCTGGCTTAGCTTGGAGTCTTGCGTAGCCTAAGCCTAAGCCTAACTCCGAGAACTAGCTGAGATCCGGAAATTGGGGGTATAGCCCAAACCCAAATAGACTTAGTGCTAGGCGCTAGCCGTTAGCCTTCGCACTAAGTCCAAGCCTAAGCCTAAGCCTAAGCCTTAGCTCAAAGTGTCAAGCTTTGAACACGTTTTTCTCGACACTTGTTTAAGCTACGATGCTCGTTTATGTATCAAAAAATAGCTGAAATTCAGCGCTATTTTTTGATCATAAAAAAATCTTTTGAAAGGATGAGTGCTGAAAAAAAAACTGAAATAGAAATAAATCGAAATAAAATCGGCCAAAAAACTTTTACAACTACGCGACTTTGCTTAACTTTACAACGACTTTAGCAACGTTGGCTAGGGTACTATTAGAGTCTTTACGATAATTATAGCTTCTTTAACAACGAATTTCTATTTAAGCAAGCAATTGAACAACTAAATTCTAAAGTTTATAGCGAATTCTGAAGCTTTTTCAGTACTGCGAGCCTTGTGGTGGGTATTATGGTCGTCGAAAGCGAGAAACCGAAGAAGAAGTCAGGATTTGAGAGTTTCTTTTTTTAAAATCAAGTTTTAGATCTGCATTCAGACGAATTTGAAGAAGAAAGAAAGGGTTTGAAAAAAAGAAATTCATCATTTTCTTCCATAAATTTTAATTTTAGTGCGAAAAAGAAGTGAAAGGAAATGACGAATTTCAATTCGAGGCCACAGAAGAATCGCTGTTGGCCAGAATGAAAAGACAGGTGACACGACTGTTTGTCTGTCTGTCTTTTTGTCTCAGACAACTACGGTAGCTCTTCGGGATTCCTTTGGGATCTAAAATCATTCATTTCTCTGTCCCTTTTTTGTCTCAGACAACTACGGGAGCTCTTTGGAATCTCTGGAATCTCTGGAATCTCTAGACTCTCCAGGCTCTCTAGGCTCTCTAGGCTCTCTAGGCTCTCTAGGCTCTCTAGAACCTCTAGAACCTCTAGAACCTCTAGAACCTCTAGAATCACTAGAATCACTAGAATCTCTAGAATCTCTAGAATCTCTAGAATCTCTGGAATCTCTGGAATCTCTGGAATCTCTGGAATCTCTCTGGAAGCTCTGGAATCTCTCTGGAAGCTCTGGAATCCCTTTGTAACCTAACAATCATTCTAAAGCTAAGAGTACTTAATGATTCCAATCAATAAACCCTACCTTTCAATGGACTCGAAATTCTGGAAATTCTGAACTTCTGGAGATTTTCCAGCTTTCCAGATTTCCATTCAATCGCTTTAGAATCTCAAGCTTACGCTTACTGAAGCTTAAAGAAGCTACATTAAGCGAAAAGCTTAGTGTAGCTTAAACTCAATGAAGTTACAATTGCTCTTGTCTAACAATGGAATGATCAAAGCTGTCGTTGGGATTTCGATCTAGAAATCAAAACGGAACGCTGAGCACGATGGTGAAATCCGTTTTTGTGAATGATTTCACCATCGATAGCCGTTCATCGTACTCGTTCATCGTACTCGTTCATCGTACTCGTTCATCGTACTCGTTCATCGTACTCGCTCATCGTACTCGTTCATTGTACTCGTTCATCGTACTCGTTCATCGTACTCGTTCATCGTACTTGTTCATCGTACTCGTTCATCGTAGCCGTTCATCGTACTCGTTCATCGTAGCCGTTCATTGTACTCGTTCATCGTACTTGTTCATCGTACTTGTTCATCGTACTTGTTCATCGTACTCGATAGGCGTTCCGCCTTCATTTCCAGATCAAAATCCCACCGCCAGATCTGCATTCCTTGCATCCCAGATCTGCATAATTGAATCTTTCCAGGCCTACGACGGAAAAGGTGTGCTCGATCTCGTGAAAGTGTTGAGCAAAACAGTTAATGGGAATCAAGGTATGGAAATGAATGTCTTCAGAGTAAAAATTTGGTTAAATTCATCATAAAGCAAAGCATCTGGCGGCAAGCGGAATCGAACCCGCGAGCAATTCACCGCTATCCGTTTTGAAGTCTAGCACTTTATCCCCTAGGCCACCGCTGCTTTAAAAACGGGCCGGCATGACGCCCTCTTATAGGTGCCTTTGCCGAAACTTTGAACCCGTTTTTCTCGAAAACCAGGACTCAAAAAAAAAAGTAAAAAATACGTATTTCTTAGAATTCTACAGCCGGATTTTCTAGCTAGATCCGGTTTTGAAAATCGCTAAAAAGACAGTTTTCTAGTTAGATTAGATTTTAGTTTGACAAATCTTAGCCAGACTTTTTTTTTTGCTTAAAAAGCATTGTCAGCATTGTCAGCATTGTCATTTCATTAAAGCAACTCCATTTCGTTCTTCAGGCTCTGCCGGATGCATCAAATTCCCGGCTTGTGTGCTGGCACAGAAAAGGCGGCGAAAGAGACACGTCGAGCGAGTCAAACAATACCATAAGTGAGTGGAATGGTGTACTTTGGTGCTTTTGTAAACGTGCTTTGTGCTTTGTGCTTGTAAACGCATTCTCTCTGGTGCAAGGAGTTTCTCATTTTTTCCGCCAAGAAAGACTCATCATTGGAGAATTGAGAAAGAGGAAAGTGGAGAATTGGTGTGCACGAGAAGGAGCTCGTTTACAAGCTTTGAAAACAAAGAAACCTTTAGATCTGTGGGCTGTGGATCTACAGACTACAGACTACAGACTACAGATCTACAGATCTACAGATCTACAGATCTACAGATCTACAGACTACAGATCTACAGATCTACAGATCTACAGACTACAGATCTACAGATCTACAGACTACAGACTACAGATCTACAGATCTAAAGGTGTCTTTAGATCTTTAGATTACAGATCTAAAGCCATCAAAATGTTATCTGCTTTTGTAGCTTCATCCCGAACTTTTAGACAATTCCGCGAATACAAACGAAAGCTCGTCACTCACCGAGAAGAGCACATGCGATTCAAGCGACAATTCTTCGCACCCGATCAGAGTGCGGTGAGTTCAAAGCCTTTCCAGATTTACCTACAAGAAGCTTCTTATTTCTTCTCAGACTAAGCCATTCCTTAATTCCAACCATTCGTTTTCATTTTCTATTTTTCGTGCTTTACGGTGGTGGTCGAAAGATGATCGGGCGGAGGGAGGGCAAAGTTTTTCGCGGCCAACTTACAGCCCATTTTTAAGCATCTTTAACTTGTCAGATCGGAAAGTTTTAACAAGATTTAGATAGCTTAAAATGTCAACTTTCAGAAACTATTTATTCCATCAAAAGTTATTAACAAAAACCAAATTAAAATTAGGCTGCAAAAGCTGGTCAAAAGCTTGGTCAAAAGCTCCCGATAATCGCTGGCCCCCCAATCGCTGGCTAATCGCTGGCTTCCGATAATCGTTCATCGTAAAGCACTCGATTTTACTGCACCCATAATCGCTGTTATCTCTACGCAATTTTTGACGCGCGAAAATTGCGCTGCACGTTTCCAAAGAAGAAACGACAACGAAGGGAATGACAGCTAAGGGAATGAAAGCTAAGGGAATGACAGCTAACGGAATGACAGCTAACGGAATGACAGCTAAGGGAATGACAGCTAACGGAATGACAGCTAAGGGAATGACAGCTAACGGAATGAAAGCTAAGGGAAGGACAGCTAAGGGATTGAAAGCTAAGGGAATGACAGCTAACGGAATGACAGCTAACGGAATGACAGCTAAGCGAATCCTTTCACGGTTTCAAACGTTACTACATAAATTCAGGGTTGTGTCCCGTGTCCCGCTTGGGTGACGATGGCTTTAGCGCAACGAAAAAGAAGAGACGTCTCGCCAGAGGATTTCCCGGTAAACACAAGAGTTTCTAAAGTTTAAGACTTCTAGAGTACCTCAAATACAATACCTTTCAATTTCCTGTATACCTATAGGGTAAATTCCGACTTACGGTATCGAAAACCCTCCGAAATTTTGATTTCTTCTTTCCAGGAAAGCGACGATCACAAATTCACTCTATCCGAGGCGATTCAAGACATTCGACGGCGGAAAGGTTACGAGCCAGGGTTTCAGGTTCGATTTTTTTTCTCTCTACTCTATATAATCTTCACTTCAGACTCACTCACAAATCGGTTCTCACTGTGATCAAACGAGCGATTGTCTGAGTGAAGTCGAATACGCCATCTATATGAAAGTCTATCACACGAGAACGAAAAGAGAAGTCAATCTTTCAAAAAAAAAAAAACTATAAAAACCGTAGCTTTTAAAAGTTCTAAATCTTATTAACAAAAAGCTTTAAAGTAAAGACAAACTAATTCAACGAAATTCTAGACAAAGCGTCGAGGTAAATGCACACAATGCGGCTCGTCTGAAGCATTGCATAAACGAGTGAAGAGAACATTTGGACCCGATATCAACGCATCAGAGGTCAGTTCATCTTAACCGTCAATCACCTCCTTTCAATTCTCAAACGTCAGCTTTAAACTGCAAATGAAAAACTAATTTAGCATGACTGCCTGGCTTTCCCATTGTGTCGAAATCGATTCAAACGAGATGTGAGTTTGAAATTATCTGCTTTCTAAATGGTGCGACAGGGCCACCGTAATCCCGTTCTCTGAAGGGCTCCTTCTAGAAAAATATAAATCGAGAATCTAATCAGTGCTTCAAAATTCTCAAAGTTCCAGCTTTTCAACTGCAACATTTGCACCCCAACACCGACACGCCGAAAAAAGAGAGAACTCGAGGATTTGGTGAGTTTACCTGAAAAGAAGATTTAAAACTTTATCCTGAATAAGTGCATAGACCACAACAAGGGAATTTTAGAATTGCTATCCCTGTCCACAAGGATGAATTTCCAAATAATTCCACTCAAGCGAAACACAAGCGAATCTCAACTACAAATATCAAATACAGTACATATATAGATGTGTGCACATAATAAAACTTTTAAAGTTGACTATGAATAAGAGACATATCACATAAAAAAAGGACACGGGGATGAAAATAGAGGGTAACCGTACTCAAACAAAGGCAAATGATAATGAAAGAATAGAAAAAATGAGTAGATGAGTAGACATGAAAAAGCTAGATAAGAGTTACCCCATGTTTACAACATAAAAGATTTCTCTAGCACCTAAGCCATTCAAAAAGTGTACAAAGCAAAAGAGCTGAATTCATTTTCTCATCCATTCATCGGATTCCTCTTACATGTTCAATTCCCTCAGGCACAGTGCAATGCATTTCGCCTCCGGGCCGACCATTTCACTCCATTTTCTCAGCTTGTCAGTCACCTGAAAAAACAAATATTATATGAATGTTCAAAAACTTGGTACGAGTTGGTTTATTTAAGCTTTGTAAGTTCAAAGCAAAAACTCATCTTACTAAAAAATTTAACAGATTTTCCAGGATTGAATTTTAATAGATTGCTTTAAACAAGGCCAACCAATTGTCAAACTTATGAAAACCCTCACCTCTTCCGTATTCAGATCTGGATTGACGTGTTTAACGTGTTCCCAGGAGTAAATAACCTAAAAAAATGCATTTTGACTAGAAAACGAACAAAACTTTTAAATTTACCTCACGCTTGTAGACAACATTCAGCTTATTAACGTCCATCTTTGTGGCCGACGGCATTTCTTTGCGCCAAATCGTGAAATTTCCCTCATTTGCTGCAAGCATTGGGAGACATTCGCTCAACGGAACCTAAAAGATAAATATCTTTTTCGGAATTACTTAAAAGACTTACCCATGTAAACGAGTGATCACATAAAAGATCGGATGGATGAAATTTCCCCTTGTATCGCATCTTCGGACAGCTGCTGATGTAGTACCCCATGTAGTAATATTTCAATTCGGCACGATGAGGCAACAATTCACTTTGAACATAGGAAATCTCACTGAATAATCGTTTTAATTAAATGTTTAGAACAGAAAACCCTTTACTGTAAAGCCGTGTAAGTGCCAAGGGTCAAGAAAGCATAATCCGGATCATAGAAGAGATATTTGCTTGAAAGACACCTAAACCATCGTAAAAGTAGTGCTGAAAGAGGGCACAAACTTCGGCAAAATATCAACGACACCGACAGCAATGATCTTTCCATCCAAGCGATATTGTTCATGATAAGAGCCAAAGTGGGGTCTAAACAAGACATAAATATCTATTAGAAAGTTTTGACAAAGAGATCAACTTACTCAATTTTATCCTTGGTTTGATCGGTGAGCGGGCTCTTCACCAAAAATCGTTCAAAATCCTCGAATGAGTTGCGCTTGTCTTCATGAATCTGTAAATAAATGGATAGCAGATGCTGATTCCACTTTAATTAGTCTTAGCCTAAATGTAGCTTAAATAAATCCATACCATACTCTGATACTTCTTGTAGAGTTCGAACTCCTCTTGCGCATCGTTGCGATATTCTTCCGAATTAACCGACACGAGACGAACCTACAACATTTGCATTCTTCTCCAAAAAACTAAAAATTACCTCCAATTTATGTTTCCAACTCTCATCCCATTGCGGAAGAAAACTTTCAAGGGTCCTTTTCCGAGCTTTCTCTTTCTCGATTCGTTTGCGTTGCTCTTCTTCGACATTTAGTCCTTTCGCAATCCATCTATTGATAGCTCGTTCACTAAATATTACAAAGTTTTACTTTAATTAAACGGTTTTACCATCTAATAAACTTTTTCTTCTTTACGGGAGATTCATCACTCTCAAGGTGTCGCTTTTTACTGGATGGAGGCTTTGCTTTGGAAACGGTGCCAGAAATGGATGCCTAAAGCAATAAGATAAAATTTTTTTATATAATACATATAAGGAATATTAGCTTTGAGTTATTTTAAGACATGCCAAAGATACCAGAAACCCTATCAACGTCCAACCTGTGCACCGGCCTCTTCGTTCACTTTGCTCTTTGGAATGTGATCGTTCTTCAAATAGTCATTCATCACTCGGAGGACCTTCCGCTGTGTGCGCGATAGCTTGAATTTCGTGACATCAAGTCTAAAGTTAATGAAATATATTTGAAAAATGTCAAAGCGTAGAACAAACCTGATTGTATATTGAGGGCAACACGTTTTATCCATCGTCGGCTTGTAGAGGTAGCGCCCGGATCTAAAAATCACATGACTTCCCATTTTTCTCAAGATTACCTACCGACGCCAGCCACGATCTAATAAAATTTGGTAGGCATTCGGTGTCAGGGAATAGCCCAATGCACCTGAATGTTTCATGTTTAAAATAAAATGGAAACAAAAGTAAGATCGTGAGTGGCACCGCTTTGTTCATTAAAACGAGAATATTTTCTTACCGGTCCCACCCACGATCCAAAATAATTTGCTCGTCCTCCGGTTGCAAGGAAAAAGCTGTTCCACCTAGACTTGTTTACATTACTTTAAGCAAAAATTTTTACAATCCTTGTTAGATTGTTAGCTTTCTATTTATAACTTGCAAATAAGTATTTTTATTAAAACTAAAACCAACCGAAACTGTACGAGTTGCCGGAGTCAACTTTCGAGTCATCCGTAATGCTTACATCTGGGCCTGGCTGCGTCTCCTCTGAAATCATAAGATACAAAATAGGTGAAATGAGTATTTTTTAGTTCAAACTCCAGAGATACGTATGGTTTCTTTTGTTTGAAGGGCTCTATCAACATAATGCCAGTATTAGATCACCCAACGATTCAGCAACCGGCAATCAATTCATCAAATTCCCTTACTTGATTTACTTCGTTGCCTCGATCGACAATAACCACAGCTACCCTTTTCACTCGCCCCGAAGTATTCGACGATTGAGAAATACGCCATCTCTAAAAGTAAGAAATTATATTGTCAATGACCGAACGCTGAGACAATGCACAAATCTAGAAGTATTTACATAACTCCTATTCTATCACAATCTTTCGAATGAATCATATATCGTTTCGGCGTAACCAATCATTATCGCAACAAAACACTTTCCTTTCGTAATTTTAAAATGCCCAGGTACTGTCTCTTCAGGATTTTTCCACGAGTTACATCAAACAAAAACTCAGAAAATGTTTATTCACTAAGCTAGCAAAAACACAACAAAAATAGAGACAATTACAAAACTTCCGCTATCGTTTTCTTTTCCTTCTCAAGACGTTTCGCTTGTCTGGCTGCCTAAAATAATGGGTTAGAAGAATGACATAATAACAAAATTGTGACCTTCTTTTCCTCGTCTTGTTTTTGTTGAAACATTACTTCAAAGCGTGGATCTTTCGGGTCAATCCAATAACCAAAGTACTCCTAAAAAGCAAGTTTCCGTGGTAAGACTTTAATCCAAAACCTGTATTTCGCGGATCTTCTTCTCCAGTGCCACCTCCTGAGCATCTTTTTCTTTCTCCTTCTTTACTTGACCAGCTTGATACTTGGCGAGTAATCCGGGGTAACGTTTCTCATTAGCTTCCAACTCGGCTATTCTAAACTTTTACTTTCTGTTACGCTTGCTTCATTTTACATACCTATCTTTATCCTTCTTTTTCTTAGCAGCCTCCAACGCTTTGACTTCTTTGAGCACCTCCAAATAATGACGGTAAAACCCTATTGCTTTCTCTTCCTCGATTTCCTAAATAAGAAAATGATCAAAAGTACTTGCAATTTTCTCACCTCAATAGTCGGCCAACATTGTCGGACATCAACACCACTCTCGAGACCATAAGTTCCAAATCTGTAAAAAGGTGTAAGCTATTAGGTTGATGCATAAGTCTTTTTGTTCCTTTTCGTCTGCCGTTTCAAGCCAACAAATGCACCAATTAAACTACGATTGATTTCATTAGAAAAACCAATTATTTTTCTGCAAAATAACATTAAAACGGGTTTAAAAATATTTTATGCCTGGATTTTCTTGAGAGTATGAAGTCGGGTAGTCAAAAAGGGCTAACTCGATCATGCGGTTTAGACACCTTAGCTAAAGAAAACCTATCTTCGTGTCAATAGATAAAAGATAGAGAAAAAAAAGTTTGATATTTCGCCAAAATTTCAGAGAAATTCATTCAGCCAATTTTTCCGTAGAGTTTTTATAGATTTTTACGAAAAAGGCGTTTTTCACTCTCGAATTTGCTTGAAAGTGAACCGAAATTGATTTAAAAAGATGGAAATTGAACAAAAAAACACTTTTTTTATAGAGCAAACTATAGATTAGTTGGTGAATTTGTTACTTTTTAACAGAAGTACGAAAAAAACGAAAAGACTTATGCATCAGCCTATTAATTGATCATAAAATCAAAGAAGGTTAAAACCTTTCTCTAGCTGCACTTCTCGTTTTTTCCCATTCAAATTCGACTGGAGGGATTCCCCCGGCAGCAATAATTCGATGGCGAGGCTTCATGCTAAAACAAGATTTGTAGGCAAAGACAAATTGGCTAAACTTACTGAGAAACATTCAATGACGCTTCCTGTCGATACGCATCATATGTTTCCTCGGGAATTGCTTCGATCTAAAGTTTAAAGACATTAATGTTTAATTTGACAACAAATAGAATTTACTCGGGTGTGTGCGCAAAAAAGATACCCGTGTTTCCGAGGTCGATGCGTACTTACAACCAGAAGACCATAACAACTTCGACAAACGAACTCTGAGCATTCTGAAAATATATTCATCAAATATGACTCTTTGGACTTTGTTAATGTTAGAATATTCCTCAAATGCTAAAACATAAGTGCTCCAAATCTTTCATTTGAAAAAATATTTATTGACTGTAGATTTTATGAGAAAATAAGAAGATAACTGGGAGATATACATAGTGAGATACTTGTGACCCATATTTGCAAAAAGAGAGTACCAAAATAAAAACATTCAAAGCGAAACCAAATAGATAAGTTAGGTTTCAGTCGGCGTTGGCTCATCAGTATCATCGTCGTTGTAGATGTTGTCGGCCATTTGCCAGACCTAAAATATTTGTGTAAGAAAAAAAAATCATTAGTTGCATTGTAGTTAAGCTACTTTGCTAGTTATACCATTTCAAATTTTACCTGCATGACATTATCCTCGGCCACTGAACAAATAAGCCAAGGTTCTAAAGTTACTAGTTATGAATGCAAAAGTTATAAAAAAGTTACCATTGGGATTCCATGAGAAATCGCTCACTTTTGCCGTGTGACCACCATGAATGAAGAGCAACTCCGGAGGTCCATCCTAAACAAGTTTTCTATTTTAATATATAAGTTGGTTGTTATTGCCTCTGCATCTTCAGGCGTTTGCTCCTCTCCAATTTTGCTAAGATCCCAAACATGAACACGGCGGTCGGTTCCGGATGATGCGAGAATCGTCTCATTGTGAGGTGCCCATTGCACCTGAAAAGTATTCTCTAAAATTTTGAAAACACTTACTTGGAAGATTTCATCACGATGCGACACAAATGAGTGCAATTTGTTCTTCAAATTTCGCAAGTCCCACAAAGCAACCGTCTAAAACGAATAGCTTGAGTGATTTGTAAAATTAACAAACCTTATCTGCAGATCCAGTGCACAGAATGTACTCCGAGAATGGATTGAAGGCAATGCAGTTTACTTCAGCTGTATGAGCTTCCACAGCATGAGATGGCTTTTGATTAGTGTTGTTTCTAAAGTTTGATTTTTGTTTAGTTGAAAGCAATCCCACTTACCTAGTATCCCAAATCATAAGCTTGTGGTCATCACCAACTGATCCAAAAATTGCTTCATGAAGTACATGCCAAGCGACATCTTCAACAACCTAAAGTAAAAATGTTAACTGTTGACGCAGTTTCAAAGTTCTATTTTTAGATCAACGTTGAATATAGAAGAAAAACTTTTACCGCAGTATGTGCCTCAAATTTGCTCTTTGCATCGACGTAGGTTCCGGTTCCAGTTGAAGAAGCACCGGCAACATCCCAGAGGCAAACCTGAAAAGAAACCTTCCAAGTTATTTGCTGAAATTGAATCAAACCGTCGTGTCATCACTGGCTGAAAGTAGATTGCCCATCACGTTTGGATTCCAAGAAAGTCCATATCCTTCTCGAGAGTGTCCACGGAGGCTGAAAATTAGAGAATTAATATTTGAAAGAAAATTATTACATCAGTTGCGGCTTGCATTGACCATCATTTGTTGGATTGGCAGGATGGCGAGTATAATCAAAGACGAATACCTAAAAGCATAATGAATAAGGAAACAAAAACAGACAAAGTCACAAAGAAACAATCATACATCAGCGCTTGGAGATTTCGTGGCAATAATGTGTGGATTCTGTGGCATGTAACGAGCACGATTCACCTCTCCGTCATGATTGATACGAATCTCGTGTTCGATTTTTCCCGTGACCGCTCCAAAACCACCATACTCTAGGTTTTATAAATCAATATTTCACCAATTTGCAAGAGAATTTACCATTCCGTTCACTGTCATACTTGCTACCATCAAATTGTGCGTCGTCGGTTGGGAGTAAAAGCTAAACAAATTGTCAAAAAAACTATAATTTTATAAATTACCTTAGCAATAACCAAATGATTTTGTTCGTCGGAAGTATGTGTTCCAAGGATTAAGCGATGAGTTGTGTAGTCCTGCCCCTCAGCCTAGAAACAAAACCATTCAAAGTATACTGGTTTAAGTGCAGTATGTCTTGTATCTGTTGATCAGCTTGTAAATTTATAAACGCACTTTTTGCACATCAGGAAGCCATTGCACAGTGAGTGAGGGCCACTCGAGTGCGTGCGTCATGATCATGTCGTAGAGGCTAAAAACCGTATGTTCAACTCGTTCTCTTTATTAGAATTCAGATCAGCTCCAAAAAGCACTCACAAAGGTGTGTTCTTCTTCCATATTTTGTACTCCTCGTTGATAACCCTTTCTTCTGTCGATCCATCGTCTACTGCTGCCATTCTAAATCTGAAAATGAATACACTCCTTCCTGAAAAAAAACTCGGGAGAATGAGAAAAACCCATTAAATTCACTGAAGATCCCTTACAATATTACACCACGAACGTGAATATCTTATCAAAACATAATGTTATATCGGTTTATCGTGACGTTTCAAAAAAATAGGGTTAGCAAGTGAGCTTTTTGATTGGCGCGGGGAAACGGCCTATTTCCCAACGAAAAGCACCAAATGACGACAATTTGGAGCCAGACGTTCACCCGCTTTTCAATCGGGAAAAATAATAGCGTCCCAGCCAAACACTAAGTATTTCCAACAAATTTGAAATTTTCTTTACTTTTTGAATTAAATATTTTTGTTTCTATTGCTTTTGAAAGTTTCAATGACGTTGTCTCGTTTTCCGAACTTGAACTTGTTTTAAAGTAGATGACTCCTCAAATTGAATATCGGATCCAGGCACTGACCTTGAAATGCATTTTTCAGTACTTTAACAATACAAACGTTTATTGCACTACCAAACAGTGAGCACGTAAAAATGCATGGAAAATATTATACAAGGAAACGCAGAGATGAACATACAAAGGTTAAACGCCCATTTAGAAGCACTTGCGATGGACGATAGAAGGGCCAGTTTCGTCGTACTCTTGCTTTGAGATCCACATTTGCTGGAAGGTAGAAAGCGAGGCGAGAATCGATCCACCAATCCACACAGAGTACTTGCGCTCGGGCGGGGCCACGATCTTCACCTTCATAGAGCTAAACAGATAAATTTAATAAATATTAGGGACAATCTACCTTGGGGCAAGTCCAGAGATTTCCTTCTGCATTCGATCGGCAATTCCTGGGTACATGGTAGTTCCTCCAGAGAGCACATTGTTGGCGTAGAGGTCCTTTCGGATGTCAATGTCGCACTTCATGATAGAGTTGTAGCAAGTCTCATGGATACCGGCCGATTCCTCCCCCAAGAAAGATGGCTAAAAAAGATGATTGAAATACACGAGAAAGTTCGTGCCTGGAAGAGTGCCTCCGGACAGCGGAATCGCTCATTTCCAATAGTGATGATTTGTCCGTCGGGCAACTCGTAGGTTTTCTCCAAGCTTGATGACGACGCGGCTGTTGACATTTCTTGTTCAAAGTTCAGAGCTACATAACAGAGTTTCTCCTTGATGTCACGTACGATCTCGCGCTCAGCCGTTGTAGTGAATGCATAACCACGTTCAGTAAGAATCTAAACATACAAATTGGATTTTATAAACAAGTTAAGTGTTTACCTTCATCAGATACTCTGTAAGGTTACGACCGGCGAGATCCAAGCGAAGAATGGCATGTGGAAGAGCGTATCCCTCATAGATTGGAACAGTGTGACTCACCCCATCACCAGAGTCAAGAACAATACCTATAAAAGAAGCTTTACTTGTGGAGAAAAGCAGGCTTACCAGTGGTGCGTCCAGAAGCATAGAGCGAAAGCACCGCTTGAATAGAGACGTACATCGCGGGCGAGTTGAATGTTTCAAAGATGATTTGGGTCATCTTCTCGCGATTGGCCTTTGGATTGAGTGGTGCTTCGGTGAGGAGTACAGGATGTTCTTCTGGAGCAACGCGAAGTTCGTTGTAAAAAGTGTGGTGCCAGATTTTCTCCATGTCGTCCCAATTGGTGACGATTCCTAAAAAGACCAAGCAGGTTAACGTGGAGTAAAGACAACTTCTGCTACCCCAAATCCTTACCATGGTCAATAGGGTACTTGAGCGTCAAGATGCCCCTCTTAGATTGGGCCTCATCACCGACGTAAGAGTCTTTCTGTCCCATCCCAACCATAACGCCTTGATGACGAGGACGACCGACGATTGATGGGAAAACGGCGCGGGGAGCATCATCACCAGCGAAACCAGCCTAGAAAGAAGAATTAGTATCAATAGTTAAACAAGTTTCTCTGATAGGTTCACCGGAGTGTATCAACGCAAATATCTGTCTAGTTAAAAGATTAAACGTTTTACCTTGCACATTCCCGATCCGTTATCGACCACAAGTGCTGCTACCTCTTCGTCGCACATTTTGTCCAATGTCGAGTTGGTCAGAAGTAATATCTAAAGAAATAGAATCGTAATGCTAAGAAACAAAAATGATATCAAACGAAAAATGCAAGGTAATAATGTTTAACTCTGCAGCGTTTCATGATCGACATGGACGACTCAATTTTTTTTCAGTCGAGTCGAATCAGCCCCTCCAATTTTCCGTGACTCGTCGCCTATTTTTCGGTCAACTCGAATCAAATCCATTATAAAAACCCAAAAAAGTCTGTCGACTCGAGCCAAAATTTGCCTATGATAAGAATCTACGAGCAAAATTGGGAAAAATCAACGTAGCACGCCTAATTTGTGCAAATCGGGAAAAACGAAAATCACTCACTAAACCGTTGCGCCCGCGAATGAAAGAAATGAAAAGTTTTCTCTTTCCAAGCAAAAAAAGACAAAACTTAACTGAATATCTCCATTTCATTGTTAAAATAAAGAGTACGGTAGTAGCCCCTTTTCTGTCTTTATATTGTCTATATTCTTTATTTTCTGTATTTCAACTTGTGTTTATTGTCTTCCTTATGGTTTTGATTTTGTTTTGAACCATAGATCCAACTACCTACCGTAAACCAGGGCCCAGTTCCACCGAAGTTTTGCAAAAGTGTAAAATTTTGCAAATTTAGTAGTGTTTTTGCAAGAGCCTTTCAGGTAGCTTGCAAAATTGCAAAATTCTGCGATTGTGATATTGTGATATATTAGATTTTTATGGTTCTTTTCCAATATCGGGGGAGCGATCCGATTATCGAGGGAGCGGAAGGATTATCGGGGGAGCGAAAGGAAAATCGGAGGAGCAAATTTTGGCAGCGCTACATATGTCCTATTGTCCTACGAACAGGAGCTTGCTTTGTTGCAAAAAGTTATCGACTCGAATTCCTCTTGAATGCTTGGGGACCTTTCGCCGTGCGCAAGTGTCACATACCCAGCGAAATAGATCTTTTCCCTTTGAGCGAACTTTCATCGATTCGCCACATTTGCAAATCCATGACTGGATTTCGAGTTTCCGGCGTTGCTAGAAAAATAGGTTCTGAAAATATCACCAATCGAATCAGCGTACCCGAAAACCCTAGGAACGATTTTTTGGCAACTTGGTAGAGGCATTTTGGAAGCTCCACCCACTGCCCCAAACCGTATAGCCCCAAATTTGCAAAATTGGTAGAACCGGGCCCAGATCATAGACTTTGGTAGTTTGATAAGCTTTGATAAGATTACGTTTTGTTAGTTCAAGTTACTGGATCACGAACAACAGGATGATATTGTTTAAAATCCATGATCATTTCCAGGTTAAGCCATGCAGGACGAGCTGCTGGAGGCGTTTCGTAACCCGTACCTCCTCATCTCTTTTGTCAGCGTGCTCTCATTTTGTGTCACCGGAAGTGCTCAAGTCACAGATGCTGTTCAAGTCGAGTTCAAGGTTAGCTGCCCTTAGTCTTTCTTTAACATTTTCCGATTAGGCTTACCGCCTTCAACAACTCGAAATGGGTGGAACTTTCGCGGGAAGTCGTAACGCTCGAATGTCATTCGATGCTGTGACACTTGATGGAAATACCCTCAGAAAGTGAGTGAACCGCTTGAAATCTAAAAATGAAAGCAATTACCTCAGATGCATCGTTGTCGACTGGTTGACGTTAGTTGGCCGAGATCTTGATGGGATTTTGTCTTCATCGGCCGGTGCTCTACTTATCGTTATCCCCTTCGATATAAAGACGCTAAATTCAGAGCAAAGAAAGGTACTGTAACTTCTGTAGGACTTTCTGTAACTTCTACCGTAACTTTTATAGTTTTATAATGTTTCATAAACTTACTTTAGTCCTTTGCTGATTTGGAAAGAGCTCTGCTGGCAGTTCGAACTGATCTCCCGGTTTTTGTCGTCCAATCAAATGCTGAAACGGCCGCACTACTGGAAGATGCAGCTTCAACATCAGCATCGGTAAGAGTTTGTGAAGATTCAAATACGTTCAGAAGATATTTCAAGTTAAAACTTACTATGTTAGCGTTTCGATGATACATGGGTACTGTAGCTCTAGTAGTACTGGGTTACTGTAGAGCTGAGGTAGATGGGTACTGTAGCTCTAGTAGTACTGGGTTACTGTAGATACGAGGTACATGGAGTACTGTACTGTATATTCGGTTGTACGTCTGTTATTTAGTCAACTGCATCAGTTATCTCATCGTTAGCCTCGCCAACAACACTGCTTTCAACCACGTCCAGCCCATCAGCTACTGCTCTCAACTATCAGCCGAACAATGTTGTGGTTCGTTGAGCTGCCCTTTTCCATTTTCAAATCTTAAAAATTTAGGCCCGCTTGAGCTCCGGTGATCGAACAGCTCCAACTATTGCTTTCGTTGCTCACTATGATACACATTCCGCGTTTCCGGTTTGATAAAAATCTTACTGTATCTTTTCATTTTAGGGATTGAGCCCTGGAAGTGACTCGAATGGTAGCGGAGTTGTGGCGCTACTTGAATTATTGGCAATTTTGAAGAAATTCTATGATAAACCCAGCACACGACCTCCCTATAATCTTGACTTTCTTTGGTCAGCGGCTGGCAAATTGAACTTTCAAGGAGCTCGTCAATTTGCTGAACAATGGCAGGATAAGAATCCAGGTAGAGAAAATGAGTAAGACAGGGTACCGTAAGACTAGTTCAATAGATAAGGCCAAATAGATTTAACGAACAGACTATCAAGCTTTTACCTCACCTTTTCAGAAAGCAAACTCGAGCTAGCGATTTGTGTTGAGGGAATTGGAGGAAAAGGATCACTCTATTATCATGTCGCCAAAATACCAAATGAAGGCTCAGCTGCTGAACGATTCCTTCAACGATTAAGAGCGACTCAAAATATTGAGGTAGAGATTCGTAAAATATCTTTGATAGCTTTGATCTTTTCATTTCAGATTGTAGCGAAGAAGATCAGCGTCAATCAACTTCTTTCATGGGAACACGAACGGTAAGTGAATTTAGACGAGGGTAGATGTCTGGATTTGTATCTAAAAGTGATCCGATTTTAGATTCAACATCAAACGACTAGCGGCTGTGACTGTTTCTCGTTATCCATCGCATGAAGAACACATTCGTCACTCATTATTGGATACTCCAGAACAAATCGACAAAGAACAACTCAACAATGCGATTCGATCATTGGCTGAAGCCGTTCTTGGCTATTTGCTTAATTTAAAGGGAGGAGTTGCTTCTGACAAGTTCATAGTTTTAGGAAAACTCTTTTAAAGTTCAATTCTAGTCGAGTAGAAGCTGACTACACAATGCTTAGCAAACAAGCGGTGAACTCGGAACGGATCGACTTCTTTATGTCACAAGTAGACTGACTTTAATGACTTTTTACAGTAGATTTTAGTTAACAAATGGAGGACGATCTGCGGCTGATCAAGAGAATACAAAAGCGGTTGCTTCGAATATCGCAGCTGCAGCTGGAGCCTATGCGAAAGTGAGTAATGGAGTCTTACCTAGGGCCTGTAATGATTACTGTAACTATACTGAAAATGAATACTAAGCTAAGCTAAGATATTGTCGGTAGTCGGTAGCCGAGAAGACTATCCACTGGACTATTGTAGGAGACGTTAGGCAAGAAGATGTTTTCCATTGTTCAGGTGACTCAACAAGGTGTTCTTCTGTCGGAGATTTCAATCTGGGCAGGCATAAGCGATTCAATTGTCGCTGAAAGAGTTCGCCCAGCTGCTTTTGAGCTCTTTGTTGCTGCTGGTGTTATTTCATATTTGGCAGTGTTCTATCAGGTTTGTTAGGACTTAAAGAAGATACTGTAACAGAGCCTTGTTGTAGATTACTATGTTAAAATACAAGATTATGTTACAGTATGCCGGCCGGCTGGCTGGCTAGCTGGTTGGTTGGTTGGTTGGTTGGTTGGCTGGCTGGCTGGCTGGCTGGCTGGCTGGCTGGCTGGCTGGCTGGCTGGCTGGCTGGCTTACTGTAGCAAGACTGAAGCTACAATACTTCATTTATGACCTAAAGATACTGTAAAAACAATCGTTTGTCTGCTTACAGTGTCTCTAGGAAGACGAGAGTACTGTAGCTATAGTAATTTCAAGCTAATATCTAAATTTCAGCTTTCTAATGTGGCTCTATCAGTGCTCGAGGGTTCAGTAAGAAGTCTGAAGAAAGTATTTTAAATATATCGCTTTATTTCTTTTTTCATGAAATCTCAGCTTTATTCAAATTCTCGATTTCCAAATGCTCAGTCCAAATTTTTGATTTGTTTTCCCCATGTTGTTGTGATGATTTATGTTTTGGGTAAGTGAAAAATTAGTATTGGCTGGATTCCGATCGATTAAAGTGCTTTTAAAGGACAGAAAAGAGTACAGTAATCCGGTTGTTCTTTTAGGTGAGAAGAAAAGTTAAAACTTGTTTCTAAGAGTAAGCTATCATCTGATTTTCAAAGATTTGCTAGACTTTCAAAGACTAAAGACTTAGATTTTAAAAAGACTTAGCCAACCCGGAGTACACTTTATGCAATACGACGGTATCGGCCATTGCTTTCACGCAGAAACGCTCGAACTAGCCCTCGATATTGTTACAAAGGTCCTAATTGTGCTTCATGTGATAAAAAAGTTGATTATTTTTTTAAAAACCCGAGATCTGGAAGGCACGCTGTAGAAATGAAACTAAAATTTCGGTCCTAGACTTAAAGCTAGTGCTCGGCCTACTGTAGCTCTAGTGTCAAATAGAAATTCACCATTTTCTCCTCTGGATTGTGATTTTTCTATAGTAATCAAACAGTGTGAGTTCCAGATCTCGAAATAGAATCAGAATACTGTAACTTTTCTACTATTTAAAAGACTTTAATCGAGGGAATACAGTCTAGCCCACTGAATACTACTTCAGTGTTGATTAGGTGACATTAGACGGCAGTCATTTCTCCTAAAAAACGTTGTTCTTGTTATTTATGAATGCAATTTTAAGGAATAAAGATGTAAAAAGGTTTTTGAGATCTTAAAAAGACTTTTAAGAGCAAGAAATTGACGATAAGTGTCGCGGATTACGGTAGAAATAGTGTGCTTTATAGGCAAATCGCTTTCAAATACCAAAAATCACATTTGGTATCTTTATACATCAATGTATTACCGGAAAAAAACTGTGTAGAGTAAAGAGGAGAGTAAAGATAAGAGTCAAGATGATCAAAGCTAAAGTATTTGGTTGTAAACGAAGCCCTAAATCTTTCTTAAATTGCTAATATCTCAGCGTCGAATCAATCGATTTAAATGAAATTTTAAAGCGACTATTCTCAAGATCTTGCAAGCTTAATGCCAAAATTATAAAGTTATTCAGTGATTAGCGGGTAAGTTATAGCAAAAAGAGCAAAAACCATCACATAGATTTCAAGAAATCAAAATTTTTGAAATTTTTGTCTTTCTGCCTCAAAAACCGGCTCTGAGGTGTCGATTTTCGAAAAGTACGCATAAATGTACCCCAGAAAAACATGTTTTGTGGATGAGTGGCTGTGAGGAGGCAACTTTACTCTTAGCATGAATGTTTCAAAGTGGAACTTTGAAATGCGCAAACTACTCTAACAACTTTTTTTTGATTCTGTGGAATTTGCTAAAAAAAAAGCTACAAAACCGGGGAAAGCTTTGAAAATACGAAAAACTACAGTAATCGAACGTGAAATCGCGATTTGAAATCAATAAACCATGTGCTCGATTGGCTTTTTTTTCGTGGAATATCTACCGTAACCTTTCTTGGTTTTTACCTACGCGGTTCTATGCTCCTTGTTCGCTTTTCAAACTCAAAGAACGATCATTTAGTTTAGATTTTTAAAAATTGACTTTAGAAACTTTAGAAAAAAGCTGCGTATCATCGAAAATCTCAGCAATTTAATGATAGAAATCTTGTAAATTTGAAATACGAAATTAAAGATATTCAACTGTTCAACTGAATATCATTAAAATCGTCATTTATTTATTTATTTGTTAAATTTTTTTGTTTTCCGCCAGAATTCCTAACTTGCGGGGAGTGGGACAAATGCTGCCTTTTTTTTGCGCACCCGGACATTTGCGCACCTTTTTTCGCGTTTTAAAAAAAGCTAATATTAACCAATTTCTATTCCAAAAGTTGTTTTTCTAGGTAATTTTAGGGTGTAGAATCGAAATTTTGACATATCAGAGCTTGTGGAAACAAACGGACGGAGTTATACAAAGAGAAAAATCGACAATTTTCTGTAATTTGATCTAGCCGTTTTGTCTTTCAAATTGGTTCCACAAGCTCTGATATGTCAAAATTTCGATTCTACGCCCTAAAATTACCTAGAAAAACAACATTTGGAATAGAAATTGGTTAATATTAGCTTTTTAGAGCTTTTTTAAAACGCCAAAAAAGGTGCGCTAATGGGCAAGCTGCGGAAAAAAAGGTGCGCAAAGTCCGGGTCCGCAAAAAAAAGGTCGCATTTGTCCCACTCCCGACTTTAGAAAAAAGCTGCGTATCATCGAAAATCTCAGCAATTTAATGATAGAAATCTTGTAAATTTGAAATACGAAATTAAAGATATTCAACTGTTCAACTGAATATCATTAAAATCGTCATTTATTTATTTATTTGTTAAATTTTTTCGTTGTCCGCTAGAGTTCCTGACTTGCGTGCAACTTTTTTTCGGGGTGGCTACTTTGCGCAAAATTTTTTGCGTAACTGGGTCTTTTGCCTAACTAGGTCTTTTGCGCAACTAAGTCTTTTGCGCAACTCGCCAGAACTTTCTTCTAAGTCGGCCAATCTTTATGATTTTGGTGTCATTTTGTTACACTTGTTGAGATCTACAAAATGAAACCAAAATCATAAAGATTGGCCCACTTAGAAGAAAGTTATGGTCTCGTGTTGTGCAAAAAATTTGGCGCAAAGTAGCCACTACTTTTTTTTTCACTTTTTCTCAACGCTTCTTACTATTAGTTCGTTTTCTTTATGCTTTCAAGTGTAACAAAATGACAAGGTTTTCTGTGTAGTTTGGGGTCGTAGAATCTGAATATCGACATTTTAGAACATTTAGAAGGAATCTGGTAAATGCGCAAGGGGATCTCCTAACAAACATACCTCAAACTACCCAGAAATTTTACCAGCTTTACCTTTAAACAAAAACTTTCAATATTTCGTTTTAAGGAAGTGTTTTGCTTTGTTTAAGTTGAGCTCTACAAAATGACATCAAAATCATAAAGATTGGCCGACTTAGAAGAAAGTTATGGCGAGTTGCGCAAAAAATTTGGCGCAAAGTAGCCACCCCGACGTTTTTTTTTCCTGTTTTTCTGCCTTTTTATTGTTATAAGCTAATATTGAAGTTATAATATTTGGGGGGACAGCAAAAATAAGCCAAATAAGCTGATTTTTTGGTTTTTGACTATGCTTTTTTGGTTTTTGACTACTTTTTGACTGTTTTGGTTTTTGACTATGCTGAATCGATTGGTGATGGTTTCGCACAACATTTCACAACTTTTAACAACGTTTTTAGCAAATAACAACAGCAAAGTGTCAACAAGTCACCAATGAGGACATGACTTAAAACAACGGGTACTTTTTGGCCATTTCATAAGTACTAGTATACTTATTTCGGGGTATTTATGTGGTTTTCAATATTGTGTTGCTTGCAAAACTTGTTAAAAGTTGCGAAATGTTGTGGGAAACCATCACCAATCGATTCAGCATAGTCAAAAGCCCGTGGGTGCAAAAATCAGCTCATTTGGCGAAAAAAGAATTTCTGCTTTCCCCCCAACTACTATAGCACTTTAAGATTTACTTATTCTTTAGGAAATGTTGGGACAAACATCGCTAGCACTCTGTCGAGGTTCAAACCGCCATTTACAGGTGTGCTTTTAGGGTTTTTTTAAACTTTTATACAGGAAACCTACATAAAATCTATCGAAAAAGTCTTCAGGACTCATTGATTTGTTACAAATACCAAAAATGTGTTAAAATTTTTGGTATTTGGTACTAATAAACTTCGAGGAACCACTTTGATCCGATTTTGTCAGATTGTATTGATTGTTTGTTGTTTTACCGACGTTATTTTCCTTTTTTCTGGGGTAATCAAGCATGATGAGGTTATTGATAATATTTTTAGAAAGTTTTGAACAATTTTTATTGAAATTTTGATAAGCTAGCTGGAGTTTTGCCTCTAAACGGGATTGCTGAGCTTTAAAATGAAGAGAGGGACAAAATACAGTGATAACTTGTAGGCAAAAGTGATAACTTGTTCAAAATATTCTAAAAATATTGTTGTTGCTTTCCGGTTAATCGGGGTAAAAAAGATTAACGGGTGGTGAAAGGTTATTTTGGCCTTTTTTGGCCTTTCTTGGCCATTTTGGCCTTTTTTGGTCATTTTACAGCTCAATTTTAGATAGATTTTTGTTCATAACTTTTAATAAAACAAATAAATTCAAAAAGTTGACGTTCTAAGCTATCTAAATCTTAAAGTTAACTTAAATCTAAAAACTTTCTGATCTGACAAGTTTAAGGTGTTTAAAATCGGGCTGCAAAATGGCCAAAAACTTTCACCGCCCGTTAACCGGAAAGATCCATATCGTCAATGAATTAAGCGTATTTGATTACCCCAGAAAATGCAAAACATACGCAAAAAATGCGCCTAGAATAGACGGGTCAAAATGTTCTGCCGTCTGACCAAGTTGGGTCAAAGTGGTCTGCCGTCTGACCAAGTTGGGTCAAAGTGGGCCCCTCGAAGTTTATTAGTACCTAAAACTTAGCCATTTTTAAACTTTATAAGCAAAATTCTCGTTCTACTTGTTTACAAAGGCTTTCATGAATACAATGCAAGGTCGAGTCGAGAGGCCACTTTGATCGGAAGTTTCTATTCTAGTACTTGTAGCTGGTAAAATTCGTTTAAACTATTTAAATTTGATATCCATGCTTAAAGTTTGTTACTTTATTTAAACTGATTCTTGTTTAGGTTTTGCGAACGTTGAAGCAAACGGCCAAACGATGTGACGACCTCAAGACACCGATTCAACAATGGGGCTGGGAGTATCTTCTACGACAACGGGCCCTTAAACGACCACTCTCACCAAATCTCGGCATCTACAAAATTCAGTTGACAATGTAAGTTTTTCTGTGATAAAACATTGGCTATTTGCGGGTAATTTTAATGATTCATACTTTTAAAATGTTTTATAGGCAATTCTAGAATCTAGCCTATACAAAAGAATAGATGACTTTTTAGGCTAAAGTTATCGCAATATTTTCTTCGAATTTTGTCCGTTTTACGTAATATTTTTGATCACATTCGATGAAGAATCAAACTCGGTATTGAATGGAATCAAAATTAAAGATTAAAGATTAAATACTAAAGACTAAAGACTAAAGTTTTAATTAAAAAACACTGAAATTAAACCGTTTAACTTTTTTTTTGTTTAGGGGAATGTCCGGAATGCACCGTGTGACTGGTTGTGTGATGGCTGGTGCGATGCTATTTGGATCGGTTGGATTCGCCGTCGCTCCCTTCAATTTCACTCAATTCATCGACTACATCAGAGGCTGGAATTTACCCGCATTTGTCACTGGAACATTTAAGGTGGATTTGACTTCAATTTGTTAATAAAGAACGATTTTAGTGGATCATTGCTTTCCCGATCGTTTACCACTCGCTTAACGGCATTCGACACATGAGCTTCGATATGGCCAGGGTAAGGAGTTTTTAAAGCTTATACTTGTTTTGATATTTTAAAGAAATCGATATGATACTATTGATGTATCATATCGCGTTTTTGTAGATAAATAAAATGTAGATGTAGATAAATAAAATTATATGCTATTGTATCCCTTATTTTGCCATTTGCTTTGTGCCAAAGGATAACAATGCTTCTAAGAAGCTAAATCCTTAGATTAATGTTTTAGATTTTCGATTGGGTGAATGCATATCAAATGGCTAATCCATGTAAATTTCTCCATCAGATCAGCTATCTAATTTCTGTTTGGTTAGAATGAAAAGTTATAATCTTAAGCTAATAACAGCGAAGCAATTTTTTTTATTTGAAATGAAATGATGAAGAAACTTTTCGATCATTCTCGAATCAACTCAACTTTGTTCTTCTTTTGAGCCAAATTTCTATTAGCTCGGTATTTTTTTTGAATCAACATGCTTCTATTCAAAGATTTCAGTGAATTTTTATCAATATTTTTTTGAGTTTTGGAAATAATTTGAAGCGATAAAGCCCGGGATTTCTGAATGAATTAGCTTTTTATTAAAAACGCCCATGAAAAATCATGATTTTGCCTGAAATAACTTGTTCCACAGCTGAAATCTTCCGGTAAAAAGCTGATTATTGCATAACTTTTTCTTTACTAGAAACCTAGAAACCTAGAAACTAGAAATAGGAAAAAAACTAGAAAATTTAGCCATTTCATATGCATTGACCCAATAGTTGACACCTAGAACGTTTTGATTACTTAAATAGCTCTAAGTTTATTCTTAAGCTGTTCATATTGTGCTTAAAATAGCACATAATCATTTATTTACTCATTTCCATTCTTTTAGGGTATCGATTTGCCTTCAATCTATAAGAGTGGCTACTTGGTGATGGCTCTTTCCGTTCTCATCACAACCCTCATTGTCGCCAAAGCATGTGCCTGTAGCAAAACGACTGAACGAAAATAAATCGCCTCTCAAACCTTGATTGCTTTTTTGTAAAACCCGTGATTATAGTCCTTTTCATTTCTTTGTGAAATAGATACATTTTCTTATGATTTTTCTTTTCTTTTTCTAGTTGGCTTTAGATTGTTTTCAGAATTTTATTGTGCAGATGGGATTTTTAGAGAATAAACATTCAAATTTCAGGTACTTTGAGTGCAGCTTGGACGGGACGAGTCGGCAGTTTGGGGAATGGCAACAGAAGAGTATGGGATTTATTTTGAATGATATTTGCTTTCAATTTGGCTTCTTTGGATCAACCAGATAATCTTAGAGAGCCATCCCGCCGGCTGGTTGAGTACGATTACGAAGAGCCGCGATTGCACATTAAAGGGTTGGTATTTAGTAATTTTACTTGTCGTTTTCTAAAAGGTGTACGGGAAAGAAAGACTACCGCACTTCAGGCTTAAAAGGTTTAACGTTTTTGGCGAAAACGATGGGACTACGGTGTCTTTTACGACGCCTTTTATAATACAATAGAAATCTACTCGAGCCAAACCATTTTCAGCTTTGTTGTCGACTATTTTGCCTGGCGAATCTCTCAAGCTGGTCATGAATGGTACGAGCAACCGGAACTCCCATTCGGTGTACAACCCGAACATCAAATGATGCGGTAAGTGGATTCAAAATTGAAATCTCATTGAAAATTCATAAGTCTAACATTTTAGACAAGTGGCCACTCTTTTCGAAAGAAGACAAGCGAAAGATTTCGAGGAGCTTTTCAAGGATTTACTAAAAGATGGAGAAGATTTGGCGTTTCCACGATATTGTCAGGTGGATAATTGAGATTTAATATGATTATGTAAATTCTAAGGACATGAGAGTTTTTAAATTATTCAGTTCTTTTTAGGTGATCGATACTTTGACGAGAGCCGACCCTGATGATAAAGCGATGTCGTACGGAAGAGTGGTTTGTTTTAGAAAGAAACTGTGATTTCCATTATTGGCCAGGGATACGGGGAATTACAAATTGCATTTTAGGCTAGCCATATACCGTAATCAGAATATGTAAAAGTTGTAATGAAAAATGAATTTTCAGATAGGATTGATCTCTTTTGGGGGCGCTTTGGCGACTCGTTTTGCCGAGATGAACAAGAGGAATGAGATTTTCAAGGTAAATATTAAGAGTGCTTTATTTTAAGTTGTTAGATTTGTTGAAATATAAATATAAATTCCAGATGGCTAACTATACCTCAAAATATATCGATTTGCGGATTCGACTCACTTGGGCAAAAGATGGGAGAAGTTGGGTAAGGGAAAATTTCATTTTAATGGCATTTAGGTTAAAAACATTGTCTAATCAAGAAATTTTAGTCCGATTTCATGCGCACCAGTTTGGAGGCTTTGGAGAGAGGAGAAAAGGGAGAAATGAGTTTCGTGATGACAACAAGGTGGGAAAGAAATTACGTGGAGATTACGGTAATCATCACAAATAGGAGAACTACAGTAACCTGACGTGAACTATAGTAACCTAGGAAATGTCTTTAGCATAAGTAGTTGTTGTATTGAATCTCATGAAAGATTAGGATTACACTAACCCTACTGTAGTACTATAGCTCGAATCGCTATGGAGTTACAGCACCCCAGTGATCCACCTATTTATAAACTTTTCCTTGCTTTTGTGAAGAAGTAAGAAGATACAAGAAGCTACAGTAGAATTGAAAGCTTCTTAAAGGACTACTGTAACTAGATCCAGAGCTACAGTACACCCAAAACGTTTTCTAAAACTTTGTCTTATGGTAGAAAGAGAAAAGGGACATGTTTTAGGAAACGGATTTGAGGGAATAAAGTTCATAGAACAGATTAGTCACATCAGATCATAAAAGAAATTGAGCCAATTCTCATCTCATCCCCTTTTTTCTTTTCTCAGATTGGGTCTCATGTTGACAGCGGGTGCAATCGCCGTTCTCGGCCTTCTCTTCTCATCGAAATTTATCTTCGCGAAACATTGAATATCTCTCAACTAGGCTTACTTATCGAGAATATCGATATAAACGGCAAGTTTAGACCGTTCAGATCTCAGTTTCTAGAACAGCTATCAATCTGAAAATTGTTTCATTGGAAAGCCAAGAATGTGAGCTTTTGATTGCTTTTTTATATATAACGACTTTTGATGAGTAAGCACCTCATAAATCTTATCGATATGTATCGCCATCGAAAGTATCGATTATCGATAAGTATTGATGAGCTTTTTATGGCCAATCAACTATGAGAATTTGCTATGTATAAAATAGCAATCAAAAGCCGAAATTCTTGGCTTTCCAATGAAACAATTTGCAGATTGATAGCTTTTCTAGAAACCGAGATCTGAACGGTCTAAACTTGCCGTTTATATCGATAAGTCTCGATAAGCGAGCCTCTCTACTCTCAACAGTTATTATTGCTATTGATAATATTATTGAGATTTCTTTAAAATTCATTTTTTTCAAGACTTTTGTACAGATTATTTGATTTTAAACCGTCTAAACCTTTTCCTGGCCCAGCTTTACGCTGATTTTATTGAATTTTAAAACTTAACTAATTGTAACTAATGAAAAATGGCTTATAGACTATCCAACAGGAATAAGTCCCTCCCGAAGAATCCGTTTTCTAAAAAGTGGATAATTTGAAAAAGTTTCCCTAATCTTTCTTCTGTTTTTTTCCTCTATTCTACTTAGTTTTCTTTTCTTTCCATTCAATGCGTTTGAGTCTTCATCGAATGAGCTCAAAAATAGTTGCGTAGGACAGAGAAAAGCTGAAGAAAATATTACGGTAGCTTTCCCCAAATTATTCACTTTTAGAAAACGTGGCCTTTTTGAAAGGTTTTGTTTGTATGTTTTTTCCCCCCTCATTTATTTGACTACGGTTTTCACTTCCTCTCAGCATTCTGTAACAAAAAAAGAAACTACAGGTAAACCGCCAGTACTTGTTCTCAGAAATTTTTCTTACTTCTGATCTCACTTTTCTCCACTTTTCTCAATTTTTCTGATTTACATATGGAATTTTTCGTTTTCCTATAAAACTTTGAGATTTTCAAAAAGATGATACAGTAACCAGGCAACGATTGGTAGGGAAGGTGTACATCAATGCACTTCAACAGACAAGGTTACGGTAGAAAGAAAAAGACAAACAGGATTACGGTAGAAAGAAAAAGACAGACAGGATTACTGTGCAAAGAAAAAGACGGACAGGATTACGGTAGGAAAAAGACAGACAAGAAGATCACCCTCTCTACCACTAATAACAAAGCTCATTTGAGAATCGGCGGTGTTTCTCGACTCTTTTCGACACAAATGCGTGAAAAGGAAAGAGGAAGAAATTTGAGTGTGACACGAGAATTCCATCCAATTAACATCGATTCGAATCCAATTTTTCTCAAATTTCCCCAAACACTAATTCAAATTTTCAAATTCAGAAAATGCTTTGACCAACAAGATTCAATTTTTAAAAAAAAAAAAACTGATGATTTTAAATGGATTTTCTGCGAGCTGAGTCACCGGATGTGAAAGCGCCGAGATACTCGTGGTGAGTGGGGATTCGCTTTCATCCTAATTTTCATCACATTACCTACTCTAGCCACAAGTTCAAGTTAGAAATCCTTGTTTCGTTTTCGCCTTGTACTTTGTGCTCAACATCTGTGAACGCACCCTTTCTAGCGCACTGAATTCTTCATTTTTCTCACAAAAACGACTCGGCATCGTTAAGAAAGTGCAGGATTGAGTGTGCCAGAGAGGGTGCGTTTACAGATCATAAGCCCAAAGTATAGATAGATGATCGTGCTTCAATTTTCCAGCCTGTAAACGCACCTCTTCTGGTGCACTGATTTTTTTTTTTGAGAACCCAATTTTCCAGGGCTCACGCCCCAGTTTCCACTGCGATCTCGAATGAGCACAAATTCTGGAATCTCTCCGGGAAAACGGTGATCCGTCGACGATGCGCTTTCTCGGCACTCTTTGTGACAATCATTAATTTGATGGGAATCGTCACGCGTGTCAGTGTTGAATCAGGTCGGATATTTTATCACAACAAAGATCCAACAAAGCCTTTGGACCAAGTCTGCAAGTCAGGTGACAGGCGTACAGTCGCGTAGTCTAACTTTGAACGCGTCCCATTTTCCGCGCTTCTTTATGCTACAGTGTGCTTTTGGGTGTATTTTTTTGGTCTCAAAAGTGTAGTTGGGAAAAATCTAGGGGTTGAGAAAAAAAAATGATTTTCTAAAACGTTAGACTACGCGACTGTACGAGGAGTTGACGTTTTATTAGAACATTTACGATAATCTCATTTCCAGGGCCGCGCACGAACGGTGATTTCTGGTTGCACGTCCATGTCGGCTTGGCCCTTTTCTCTTTCGTTTTTTCTGTTGTCATGACCGCAACACGGGGTCGTTCATCTGTTGTTGTCGTTTTAAGTGTTCTCACCATTTGGTTTTCGATCACTTTTGGCATTTTCCTTCTCATGACAATGGCCGTTTCTTTAGCCGCAACTCATTAGGTGTACACATTTCACATTCCCAATGCCTATCTCTTTTCAAATATGCAAAGTAACCTCAACTTGTAAATTTTGTATATATATTTTCAAAACAATTCAGCAAAGGTTACAAACCATTTATTTTCAACCCCAATAAACGAAGAGATCATCATCAAAAAATAACACAATAAGTGATAAAAAGTTAACCATCAATTTACAGTAGGAAAATCCACAAGTCCATAAAAAAAACCTGTTGTTTATTGAAAGAATTCGGACATAATTTCATCATCATCATCGATTCCCATTGCGTTGTGAAGGACGGGCGCCGAAACGAGCTCCGTCGGTGGGGCGAATGAGTGAATTGTGTTGACGAGTTGGGTTGTCACCTAGAAAATGGTGTCTAGCAAAATAATTCTAAAGAAAGTAAAATCAAGCCTATTAAGGCTTAACACTATTTAGTTAATACCTAACACTATTAACACTAACACAACTAAATCTATTAAGCCATTTCGAATTAAAATCTCGTTGGCCTTACCTTATTCGTCAGTTGTATCTCGACATGGCTAGGCCCGGAGACTTTTGTTAAAGTGAGCGGCGGTTGTTGAGAGAGTCGTCTTCTTTGCATCTCCGTCAAATCAACAAGCGCTTGTCCTTGTCTGTCGAGCTGTTGCTAAAACAAATCATGTGAAGGATCTTTGAGAACCTTAACAACTAACAATGCGTGACCAAAATCTCAGCTGCTAACCTTGCAATAAATATGTTTCTAAATCCAAAAGCAGTACCTGTATCGACAATTCGTGTTCTGCTTTCAGACGAGCCTGAATCTCACCAATAACCGATGTGTCAAGTCCCAGATTTCCAATCGTTTCCACTTCGTGGAGCAGCGTGTTCAAATCAGGCTCCTCTTTCTTGATCACCTAAAGAAAAATCTTTGATTTAGAAATTTCGAAACAAAACAAACCACTTTCCCATTTGTCTTTTCAAGTTGTCGAATCGTTCTCGAGTGCTCTCCATCGGTGAGCCCGTCCAGAAACTCGTCAACTACCTAAAACAAAAAGTCTGACATACATGTGACATACGAATGTTTACCATAACTAATCTAATAAAATTTAAAGTCTAGTTTATGGTACAATACAGTCCCGGTTATCTAATTACCCGTTTATCCATTTCAAACAAACCTTTAACATGTGATCGTTGGTATTCGTCACCATACTCCTTAACGAAAGCGCATCGGCGACATTCTCTCGATCACCGTAAGTTCGTAGGAATAGATCGGACTCTTCCTAAAATAAATACTGATTTAATGAAAAATATGGACAAAGTTTGGCTTTTGGAGTAACCTCATTATCAAAAGTAAGCATTTAGAGATGTAATAGCCTAACTCAATACCAACCTTATCCATCGACGCCCATGTACTGTCAAATTGCGGAGCAAATGATGAGTACGGTCCATAATCCAAATAGGTAATCGGTGTCTAAAAATCAAACCTTATGAAAAGTTTGGTAAAGAAGCGAACTTGATTTGGTCGAGTCTCAATCGGTGTGAACATTCCAGGAGTTCCTTCTTCGAGTGGGCCAACGATATCAATCAATCGGGCTTCCTAAAAATAGGCTACTTCAAATGAAATCCTATTAAAACCAATAAATGTAATCTCTCTTTGACAATCTAAACACCTTTTTATCCGATGGTCCCATTGCTGTCAGAATATTCAACACAGTCGCCCCATCTTTGTTGTCGATGAAAGCCAAATGGGAGTTTTTCAGCAATGGAACCCTCGTTGTAAGTCGCGTCGATTGTGCCGTCGGAATTTTCTCGAGCAACTCTTTGCCTGAATTTGCTTTCTTTTCACTTGAATTTGACAGGTTTTTAGGCTAAACAAGGTTTTTGATTTGACAAATGTTACTTTAGAAACTAACCGCCATATGGATCGTGCAAAGCTTCACGTCGTTTATTCTCGAAGCGTTTTGGAAGTGGTGCGAGTGGAGAGAGACCGATTTTCTCGAATGGAATCTCACGAGCTCTTGGCATCATATGGAAGAGATATCTACAAACGAAGATTTCGATACTAACCTTAAGTTAAGCTTAATATCTAAATTAATATCTGACCCAGGGGTTTATTCTATTAACCTTAATGTACTACGCATGTTTACTGCAGATTAAAACCCAATACTAACCGTAAATGTTGGTCGGAAAAGTAGAATCGGACAATGTGAGCGAGACGAGTGGCGGCAAGATGATAGACGGTATTTGGATGATTGTAGGCAAGCGCATTCGATACAATCAATTCGGCATCACCGCGCATTTGTGGAATCTAAATGAAACTTAAAATGAGCAAAAAAAAGAAGTTGTTTAGGTGATTTTTAAGCAATTACCTATATTACATCATAATTTAGTATCAAATTCTCCACCTCTTCATACTTATCATCCTCGATTTTCTGTCGCATAGCCGAGAAATCCATTGGGTTCGTGATAACCTGAAAGAATAAAACAATAAACTGAATATTGAATCAAATTTAGACATAGGAGATCTATTTCGAAGACATAGGAAATCTATTTCATCTATAAATAGCATCTAGATAACTATTTTAGATATCTCAGGCCTATTTTACATATTCGACAAAGAATAGAATTTAAAGGATACCTCATGATAATCGGGCGCCATCGAAGGAGTGACGGGAAAGGCGAAATATTCCTCGGGATCTTTGCCCATCAATTTTCGTAGCAAATGATCGGCAAGGAGTTGAAACGGAGAATATCTAAAAAGCGTCATGTACATTATAATCCAAATCTATAACTTACCCTCGTATTTTTGGTGGCTTTGCTCCAGAGTCCTCTTCCTCTTCGGGTTCTGGCTCAGGCGTTGGCTCAGGTTCCTGAAAATTTCTTTCTGACTTGCGCTTGCTTCTTTTCCCCTAAAAATCCAAATTTTTTCAATATTGCCAAATTATTTCTGAATCAATTCCCCTCACCTCTTCGTCGATGACTCCCTCTTCGATCTGCTTCTTTCGCAAATTGACAGCTTCAGCTTTCGCCGCATCGCGAGCCTTTCGCTTGATCGTGTACTCGGTCAACTTCTTCTTTCTCTAAAAAATAAAGTATTTCAGAGTAAAACTGATCGATAAACACACCTTTTTATCCTTTGGTTCTTGGTCGATTTCTTCATGTCCGCTTTCAGCCGTCTCTCGCTCGGAGTTCTAAAAAACAGTCTTTTAGCAATTTTGAAAATTTCTATAACGTTACAAGTGTTTTTGGTTTCACATGTGCATAAATGTTGTTTTTAATGATTCCATTACTTAAATTTTAGCTCAAACTGTCTCCTACCGTAAATACTGCAATAGAACCCCACCCTATAGGAGCGCAGCCTAAGTTTACTCTCAAACAAACGCTCAGATCTCAAATTAAAGTAGAATGTGGCAATTTTTTTTGAGATATTTCACATATTCTCAGCATTAACCAGCGCTTAGAACAAAATGACTGAAAGGTGGCAAAAAAGCCGATTTTTCATCAATCACCCACCCTCTACTTTAATTTGATACCTAAGCGCGCAGGCACAAACATACTGATGCTGAGATATGAGCGTTTGTTTGAGAGGAAACTTAGACTATGCGTCGTCGTTAATTTAGCCGAATTTGTTAGAAAACAATGTGTTTTAAAAGCATTGCTTCCAAAAAGCGAAATAAATCCACAAATCACCTCTTCTGAGTATTCTTCTGATTGTTTTTCGTCGACATCCTTGCTTCCTTTCTTTTTCAGAGTGGCTTGTCGAAGAGCTGACGTCGGCTTTGGAGTTCCTAAAGTTAAACAATACGTTAAACAATACAACAAGCAATACAACAAGCAATACAAGATAAGCAATACAATGTTATACGTCAAAATCTAGTCTTTAAGGATTAAGACAAAGTTCTAGGCAATTTAAATATCCTTTTTTAGGTAAAGAGTAATTAAGTAAGTTACAGATAATTTCAAAGGTCCTATGGGCTTTGGGGTAAACCACTTTTTTTCAGCAAAACCATTTTTCCTGGGGTAATTGATAACGCTGATCACGGAAAAGTTATTTTTAACACATGTTAGAATGAAATAAATGTCCGTTTTTAAAAGCCAACGTGCTATAGTAGTTGGGGGATTTTAGTAGACCTATAGTAGGCAAAATTTTGTTTCACCAAATGTGCTGATTTTTCAACCAGCGGTTTTCAACTATAATATTGTAGCCACGTGCCTCTAAGGTACGCGGCCAAAGCCTAGGTAAATATAGAAGCCTTGAATGTTGTTGAAAGTTACGAAGTGTTGTGTGAAAGCATCACCAATCGATTCAGCAATCGATTCAAAAACCCCTGAGCGTAAAAATGAGCTCATCTGGCGAAAAATCTCTTCCCCCAATACTATAGCACCGGAGTTTTAAAAACGAACATTTTTCCATTACTAACTCGTGATTCGCGTCATCAATTAACCCATAAAAAATGGTTTTCGTGAAAAAAAAGCTCATAGTACCACATCAATCTCAAAATCTTACTTGCAGGCCTAATGGACGGTGGAGCGCCGACCATTGAGCGTCGTCCGAGTGGCGTTTTATCACCCATCTGAAAAAAATAGATATATAAAAAGTATTTAAGAAAGATAAAAAACTAAAAAGATTAAAGAAACATTAAAATAAGCGAAGGTGTAAAGATTGAAGTAGAAATTGAATTTGAAATTGATGCAAAGTAGTTAGGGCAGAGTTAAAGTTAGTGCAAAATGGAAAATGGATAAAAGTTGTGCTTACTAGCTACAAAGCTAGAAAGGGGGTAGGCTAATTTCCGCCATTTTATTTGCGCAACAGGGTCATTTGCGCAACTTTTGTGACGTTTTTAAGGGACTAGCGCAAAAGCAGAGCGGTGCGCTTTCTAAAGCGTTGGAGGTTTGCTAGAAAGCTTTCTAATCTTTTAACTCATTTTTTTAGAAGGGACCCAAGAATCCGCATCCATCGGCATACTGCGGTCAGACTTTACGAAGAAATGACGCAAATAATCAACCGTTTCAAGCTTTCATCGGCTATCAATCTCACTGTTGGACAAAACTACGCACAGAAGAAAACCGTATTGGCTCGACAAAAGCAACGTTTCATTGCTATTTCTAATGGTCGCTTGCCCGGTTGTGATTTTGTGCAACATCTTTCTTAGCTTAAAAGCTCCAAAGCTATAAAGCTATAAAGCTATAAAGCTATAAACCTACAAAGCTATAAAGCTAAAAAGCTATAAAAGCTATAAAGCTACAAGGCTACAAAAATTCCCTTTTCTATTTCGAATTAAAACAAATCCACTGGAAAGTAACTTGAAATTAAAAATATAAATACAACTTTGAAATATCGAATTGCTAACGCATCCCCTTATCCATAGCATTCAAACAGACGGCAAAAGGCACGTATCGTACTGCAATTTGCCCGTGAAATCTCTTCGCTTCAAGACCCGAACACTTTCAAGTTCATTTCTGACTCAAACTGAATCAGCTGTTGACCTGTTTACCGCTAAAAGCTTTTTCTTATTTCATAAAAACAACTGTGCAAATTGGTAATTTCTATTCAAATTTGAAATGTTAACGCTTGGCCGGCTCGGTGCCGGACATTTGCCAGTCTTTTTTGCGATAATCTTCACGATAAATTTGGGTTAGTTTTGAATTTTGAACAAAAAACAAACAAATCGATGAATCCATGACAAGGATTAATTCAACACACCGATTCTTTTATGACCTGATACAAAACAGACGGCGCTGGGATTCGAACCCGTGACCTCTTGCTTATCGCTCGCTAACGCTCTACCAATGAGCTACACCGACCTGATTGCGGCCAGAGTAGAGCCTTGTGCCTTACTAGTTTCCAAAAGTTGGGCAAAAGTGCTGGTCGGACTTCTGGTTCTACCTGACCTTATTTGGGTCTTATGGGCGGCATTTGGGCGGCCTCTTGGCGAGACGATCTCGCTGGAGGCGTGGCCGAGTGGTACAGCGTTCGTTTCCAGGTCAGGGTTGCAGGCGAGACCTCACGGGTTCGATCCCGGTTGTGGATTTTCCTTTGCTTTTTAGCTCAAGAAAGAACTAGTGTTCTTTCCGATGGAAATTTGGTTCATTTTCAGGTTCCACTTATGTTTTTGCGGTCTATCACGGTGATGTTGATCCTGTGTTTCCCTACATTTCAGCTGCCGGAAATGATCGACCCGAGAGTTGCTTCTTTAGGTGAAATTATTAGTTTTTCTTTTAAAAGTAAGTATGTAGCTCTGTGCTTAGCTCGAAAAGAATTTAATTTCCAGATTACGGTAATTGGAGAGTATTGTTTAGAAAACGCAGTTAATTTCAGTCTTCTCATGAACATTTCTGCGTCTCTCTCGATTTTGATTATCTACTTGCGATATTCGCTTATCAAAGAGCTCATTCGAGGATCCGATAAGGTGAAGAGTAGAGAATTTTTCAAACTGGAACCAAAACATATTGGAACCATATTGGAAACATATTGGAACCATAACTAATCTAAAGTTAAACTAGAGATTAGAATAACAGTGATACTATAACAAATCATACTATAACAGTCATACTATAACAGTCATACTATAACAGTGATACTATAACAGTGATACTATAACAGTGATACTATAACAGTCATACTATAACAGTCATACTATAACAGTCATACTATAACAGTCATACTATAACAGTCATACTATAACAGTCATACTATAACAGTGATACTATAACAAAGTGATACTTTAGGTGATTGAGCACGCCAATAAATGGTCTCTTCTCTTCGGGGTGGCTGGTGGGATGGGAATGATGGTTGTTGCGAATTTCCAAGAGTCTGCGGTCATCAAAATTCATCTCGGCGCCGCTGTGACATGCTTTGGATCGGGTGGAGTCTATATGGTGGGTGAAAACAAAGACAGTAATCTTGGCTAGAGTTTAAAACATCATGTGCAACTTTAAAAGGAGTCAAATCAGATTTTTTCGTGCCAACTTTTTTGCAATCATTTTTCGCCAAAAGTACGTTAATTTTTTTCTAAGTGTGTGAGGCAAAAGTTCTGCAGCGCCTATACTATAGCCCTATACTATAGCCCTATACTATAGCCCTATACTATAGCCCTATACTATAGCCCTATACTATAGCCCTATACTATAGACTATAGCCGTAACCAAGCTTTTCATTGGCTTTACTAGAGTGTTTTCCTCACGAGTTTTCTCTAAAAGGCAACAGAAAACTACTGTAGTCGAGCCGTCAGTTTACATTTAATCCATCCGATTTTGTTATCATTCGATGAGGAAAGTCATAAGGAATCATAATCATAGGCTTAATCATAGGCTCAATCGTAAGCATAGGCTGAATCATAAGCTGAATCATAAGCATAGGCTCAATCATAAGCATAGCTCAATCATAATCATAGGCTCAATCATAAGCATAGGCTCAATCATAATCATCGACTCAATGAATGATACAAAAATCGAGCTGATCGAATGTAAACTAACAGTAGTTTTCTTAAATAGGCAACCTTTTAGAAAATGCATTACTTGTGAGGAACAAACTTTAATCTTTACTGTGTTCTTGGACTTTTCTAACGTTTTCTAACGTTTTCTAACGTTTTCTAACGTTTTCTAACGTTTTCTAACGTTTTCTAACGTTTTCTAACGTTTTCTAACGTTTTCTATCGTTTTCTAACGCTTTCTAACGTTTTCTAACGTTTTCTAACGTTTTCTAATCGCTCTCTAAGAGGTAAATCGTTTTCTAAAAGATGATTCGTAGAAAAACTGTAACCCTAATGTTCTATTGATAGAATAACTGGGAATTAAGCTTTTGATTAAGCTTATCTTAAACATTCGAATTCCAGATGATACAAACATTTATCACAATGCGAATGCATCCATTGTACAACAATCGTCGAATTGGATATATTCGATTAGGATTGGCTGCTTGGAGTGTCATCACTTTCACAATGGCTCTCACATTTGGGGTTGGCTGGGTTTTTTGATAAAACTAAAGCTAAAGAGAACTAAAGAAAACTAAAGAAAACTATCTAAAGAGTTTAATAGTTTAAAAACAGTCTTATAAAAAGCTACATTAAACAAATGTAGCTGATAGAAAGCCAAATAGAAAGCTGTAAAATTTTTTGAGCAATTTTGAGCAATTTTGAGCAATTTTGAGCAATTTTGAGCAATTTTGAGCGATTTCTAAAAGTTAGTTTTTCGCATTTTCTATCATAATCTATTCTGTATTCATTTTCACGAAGAAACAAATTGAAAATACTTTAGATAAACTAGAAAATATCTAATCTTTATATCCAATCTTTATATCCAATCTTTACATCCAAATTCCTTAGACTTTGGCTGCTTCCGAGTTTCACAAAGTCTACCCCGATCTCCCAACTCCAAGACCATGGAATCGAAAAGTTTGGATGCCAGGTAAACAAGAGAAACGTTTTGATAAGAGATCTGCCTTTTATCTGATAAAATATGAAATTCAGGCTACAATTTGCATATCGTCTCAGCTGTTTCTGAATGGTTAATGGCTGTCGCTCATGTCTCTTACATTCTGTCGTTTTCGCGAGAATTCGAAAAGATTCGAGCCAACTTAAAGGTAAGCGCAAAAATCCAGGCAAAATTCCCGTACTTTAACGAAAGGATTTATCAGTTTAAGTGAAAAAATGGGGAAGGAAAAGGGCCAAACGACTCAAATTGGGGTCTCCCCATCTCCTCTTCTCTCCTCTCTTCAGCGATTTATGAATTCCCTTCATAAATTCAGCTCATTCTCTCCATTCTGACTTTCTTTCTTCATTTTTCTTTCAAACTGGATGTCATCGATAGTGGCTAGAATAGAGAAAAGAGACAATTATGGAATTTACATTTTTCTAAATCTAAAATTAAAAAAATTTTTTTTTAAAAGAAACATTAGATTTCTAATGATTTCAATAAGCATACTGACATCCAGAATGCATCTTCTGAATAGAAAAGTTTCATTTACACCACCGGATCGGCTGTAAATTGGAGTGAAGTGGAAACGCTCACCAGAAATGGTCAGAAATGAGCGCGGTAGAAAACGAAAAACCCTCAATGAGCTCCATGATGCCCAAAATGATGAACGAAATTCGAGAAAAGCTAGACAGTGCACTGAAATCGGGGTCAACTCGTTACAACAAAGGAAATTGGCCGGAAATGGGTCTAAACGATGCTTTGTTTTGCAAAAATAGCACCGTGTACAGTAGCCTATCGTAGACTAATCGATCGACAATGTTACAATAAAACTAACTTACGATATTGTATTCTAAAAGATGCTCTTTACTGCTTTCCTCATTTTTGCCATTTCAGGTGGAATCCCTTGTCGTCCATCTCGACAATTCTCCATTATGGCGCAGCACGGAAGATCTTGAAAGATACGGATTTTAGAAAATGACTCAAAATCTTACTGTAGCCTTTCCAAAAAGCATAATTTTCTTTTCAAATTACCGTGGATGAAACTATCGTAATCCTTGGTTAAAACTACCGTAATCTTTCCTTCAGCTTTTGTCTTTTTACTAAATTTTGAAACGCAAGAGAGTTTACAGCGAAAAATTTTCGGGACGCATTCTAAAATGCACTAGCTACCGTAGTCCGTAATTTCCATTGCAATGCATTGCTTAAAGCCATTTTCCGTTGTTTTTATTTCATTTTTCACCGTTTTTCTTTACAATTTCATCGCACCATTCTCTGTGATTGTTTTTATTAGTTTCTTTTTTTGTTTTACTTTGTTTCAAGTTTATTCATTTTTTTATAGGATGAAAAACAAGGGATTTGCCATTCTGCCGCTTCATCGTCAAGATCAATGCGTGAGTGCGATAGCGCGATTGCTACGTGTTTCTCATCAGCTCGTCTCAAAAGCGATTAAGGAATACAAGGAGCTTGGCAATGATGGAGATCGTCCGGGAAGAGGCAGAAAAAGAACAGTCAACACCTCCAGAAATCGCAAAGTGATTCAGAAGCGCGTGACCCGGAATCCACAGGTCTCAATGAGAAAGATCGCTCGACAGACGGGGATCGCTCGCGAATCGGTTCGACTTATGGCCAAAAATGTGCTCAATCTTCACCCTTACAAGCTCAAGCAAGGGCAACAACTCGACGACGACAACAAACGAGTTCGACTCGAAAGATGTCGAGAGCTTCTTGAGTGGGCCGCAAGTCCACACTGGGAGCGAATCCTGTTTTCTGACGAGAAGCTCTTCTCGGTGGATTCCGGGCCACCCGCTTCTGAGTCACTTTGCGATTTCTGGAGGTGTTGACTGTTCTTTTTCTGCCTCTTCCTGGACGATCTCCATTGTTGCCAAGCCGTTGATCTTGATGAATTTGCGATGAAATGGTAAAGAAAAACGGTGAAAAATGAATAAAAACAACGGAAAATGGCTTTAAGCAATGCATTGCAATGGAAATTGCGGACTACGGTAGCTAGTGCGTTTTAGAATGCGTCCCCAAAATTTTTCTCTGTGCTCTTGCGTAATTTTGAATTTGATTCGATGAGGAATCAAATTGGAATTGAATTGGAATTGAATTGGAATTGAATTGGAATTGAATTGGAATTGAATTGGAATTGAATTGGAATTGAATTGGAATTGAATTGGAATTGAATTGGAATTGAATTGGAATTGAATTGGAATTGAATTGGAATTGAATTGGAATCAAAACTTTGAATGAAATGAGATCAAATTTCAGTGAAATGAACAAAATCTGAAGCAAGGATTAGGATAGTATTTTCCAAAATTTTCCATACTCTATCCAAAAAAAAGTCCTCTGATGAGCTTTTTCTCGAATTTCTCGATTTCTCTGCCTTCTTTTCTTTTCGTACAGGTATCTTTTCATACAGGTACCACCTTTTCATATTCATTGCCTTTATCTACGCAAAGAACATCGAACACTATGGGTTTACAATAAATTATTCTTCTTGAAAAGTAATCACAATCAAGAATGACAATCAAGAATGACAATCAAGAATGACAATCAAGAATGACAATCAAGAATGACAATCAAGAATGACAAAGTTTCCCCATCAATTCTCTAATTTCTATTGAAAACATTTATCTAGAAGAGATTTCCAAAAGAAAATGGTAATGATAATGAGTTAGATAAAAGTTTGAAAGCTCGATTTTGAATGGATTAAATAGATTTTGAATGGATTAAATAGATTTAAAATAAATCAACTCAAATCAAAATAAATCAGAAGATCAACTATGATATTACAGATATTATCGTGAACTTTTTGATCATTTGGATAGTATCATTTGAAATTTTTGGCTTGATCTGATCTTGATCTTGATCTTTGATCAGTTCAAAACATTTGAATAAATTAAAGAAAACATTATCGACTTTTCTCGGCTCTTGTGATTTAAAGGTTACAGTCGACTCTCTCTATAACAGAACTCGATACTGGAAAACTCGATATAACGGAATGGAATTTTTGTCCCGACCGACGCTAACTAGGGAAAGGCACCAGGTCAAGGTGGCCTTTGAATACGAGAGCGTTAGCTTTACTGTTAGCTATACTGTTAGCTATACTGTTAGCTTTATTGTTAGCTTTATTGTTAGCTTTATTGTTAGCTTTATTGTTAGCTTTATTGTTAAAACAATTACTATTAGCTTTTGAAATAGTTTTAAAGAGAACACTTGAGCTTTTCAAATGATATAAAAGAAAAGACAAATTTGCTGTCATGTCGTGAAGCGATCATTTGCCGAAAATGCTTTCCGTTTCCGCAATTATCGTCGAAAGAAGGTGAAAGTTGATTGAAAGAATTGCAAATGAATATCGATATCTAAAATTTAGTAGATCGTTTGTTTAATTAAAAGGCAGTAAACCTTGTTAACAAAAATGTGACAGGGGTATTTGAAAGGGCTAAGATTGCTGAGCTTGTGCTGAGACTTGCAAAGCTTGTGTTGAGATTGCTGAGCTTGTGCTGAGACTTGCAAAGCTTGTGCTGAGATTGCTGAGCTTGTGCTGAGACTTGCAAAGCTTGTGCTGAGATTGCTGAGCTTGTGCTGAGACTTGCAAGACTTACGAGACTTGCAAAACTTTAAATATTTATGGAAACTTAGTAAATTTAGATATCAAATCTCTTCGAATATTGTAGCTTTGAGTAGTCATCTCACTTTTGTGATAAAACACTTTGACTACTACTTTCTACTTAGCTTTCACTTGACTACTTAGCTTTCAACCTTAACTTTCAACCTTAACCTTCAGCTTTAACCTTCAGCCTTAACCTTCAACTTTAACCTTCAGCTTTAACCTTCAACTTTAACCTTCAGCCTTAACTTTCAGCTTTAACCTTCAGCCTTAACCTTCAGCTTTAACCTTCAGCCTTAACCTTCAACTTTAACTTTCAACTTTAAAACCTTGTCTTTTGCAATTCCGAAGTTCTCGTAAAGTAAAAGGTTTTCTTTTTTCAAAAGCCAGCGTTCCCTTTTCTTTTCTCTAAAAAGAATTTTCTCGCAAATGCATTTTTAATGATCTCAGTTAGGTCTTTGTTCAGCCTTTGTTCACCGATTTTTCGAAAATTAGCTTCACCGCCTTTTTCAAAGATTTCCCAATTTCCCAAGTTTATCTAAGCAAAGCTTTTAAAGGTTTTAGTAATTTACAATTCTTTATAGATTTACTTGTGCTTTGTCACCAAATCTAGTGATCAGCCAAAGAAAAACAACCGTAAAATGCTAATAGAAGACACAATGGTCTTTTAGTTTTCATTTTAATTAATTTGAATTTAATTTTATGGTGTAAAATAACCGCTCAGAAAAGAAAAGTAAAGTAAAGATGCTCTGAAATTGTTATATTTAAAAGAAAGCTGTATTGATATATCTATTGGCCAAACATCAAACGGTTAACTCAATTTGAGCGGAGCCAAAACTTGATCCAAAGCCACCCTTCCATTTTTTGGCCACCTCTTTTTCTGTGCAGTCAATTTGAACGCTTGAACGTCAACCCAAAAGCTGAACAAATTCAAAAACTTCAAAACAAAAAGGAGATCTTCAGCTTTCGAATAATACTCATATACAGTGCCGCTCAAAGCCTTCAACTCGTCGAGGCATTGATTCAATAAGCTTTTTGATAACTCCCGCATCAATTTTTGGCCATTCTCTCTTGTAATTTCCGGTACAAATCACCAGAATTTTTTTTTTGCTTTATATCCTTGGCATTGTTTCTTCAAGTAATTCCATATATGTTCAATAGGATTTGCATCGGGACTCTGAGCAGGTCATTGAAGAACGGACACGCGATTTCGATTGAGCCAAGTTTTTTCGATTGAACCAATTCGTTGGGCTGTGTGTTTGGGGTCGCGAACCTGTTGAAAAGTCCATCCGTTAGGCAAATTTTGCTCAACACAAAGCAACATATATTTATATTGCTTTTGTTGAATAAATATCTTTAGAGCTCGAAAACTTTTACAGCATTGGTAAGGGGGGCCATTACCTTTAACCCATTCGAAATTTCGAAAATTTTGAATAATCGCTGCAGGAAAAACTCAGGAACGGACTGCTGCAGCGCTAATTCGCTGCAGCGCTAATTCGCTGCAGCGCTAATTCGCTGCAGCGCTAATTCGCTGCAGCGCTAATTCGCTGCAGCGCTAATTCGCTGCAGCGCTAATTCGCTGCAGCGCTAATTCGCTGCAGCGCTAATTCGCTGCAGCGCTAATTCGCTGCAGCGCTAATTCGCTGCAGCGCTAATTCGCTGCAGCGCTAATTCGCTGCAGCGCTAATTCGCTGCAGCGCTAATTCGCTGCAGCGCTAATTCGCTGCAGCGCTAATTCGCTGCAGCGCTAATTCGCTGCAGCGCTAATTCGCTGCAGCGCTAATTCGCTGCAGCGCTAATTCGCTGCAGCGCTAATTCGCTGCAGCGCTAATTCGGGGGCTGAGAAGTAGGCAGACAGACAGACAGAAAGACAGAAAGACAGACAGACGGAACGTCTAGGAGCGTCGCGTAGTCTAAGTTTAGTCTCAAACAAACACTCATATCTTGACACCAGTACGTTTGTTTCTGTTCGTTTGGGTATCAAATTAAAGTAGAAAGAATGGGGAATTTTTTGAGCTATTACACAGATCTTTAGCATTAACTAGTGCTTAGAAAAAAAAATGATTGAAAAGTGGCCAAAAAAAAGCCGATTTTTCATCATTCACCCACCCTCTCTACTTATCCATATGGGTAGATACATTAATATCGTGTTGCTTTAATCACGCTCGATAGTAAATCACTCGATAGTAAGGTCACGCTCGATAGTAAATCCTTTAAGAAGTATAACTCTTTTAATTTTAATTCTCAATTTTATTCTGCATCGAATGATAATTAAAATAGACAAAATCGAAAGATTAATGCAGAGATTCTGCTGAGAAAAACACGAAAAACCTTAGAAAAGGACAGATTTTTTTTTGTT